TTCAGTTTGATTACAGTCCGGGACTACTAAAGCAAGGCCCGCAGGGCAAACTTTTGAATGATAACGGCTTGACCTCTCTTTTCCTTATGATACTCTTGCATCCAATACACTTGTATCTTTGTCACCACTAGCTTGACTTATGAATGGTGAGCCCCAAACTCTTTGAGCATGATAGGGAAATTTTACGACGTGAACTTAGAGTCAGAAGCAGTCAATGAAGGAGCTTGAAATCTAGTATAGGGCCGAGTGTGCGCATATTTCCTGCAGATATGCTCAACTGCCTCTATGTCGGTAGGAATGGGCTCATCCGTAGTGATTCAAAATGGCAATTTATACCACCTAAACAAGCCTCAATAGAGTTTCAGTGACGTATTATTGTTAAGTACAGCGATGGACTAGTACTGTTATGCTGCTTGATCAGGAGCGAGTGGGAAATGCCTTGAGTGGAGCTGATCAGGCTAGCAACTGTGATATTGCTGACCGACGACGCAATGCTTACGCCAAGCGTCCCCCTCCCGATGCTTGATCCTCCGGGAGCACCCGCCACTCGCTTGCATTCGAGTAACCAATCCCACTGATCAATTCGTCGAGATTGACGTCGCTTCCGGCAGTCTTAATTCGATACGCTATAGCCGGGCGGCTGCTGTCAGATATCATCGACTGACTATGTCTCTGTTGACGTTACATTCCCGTCAGCCTCGCAAGCAGCCAAGTTGATGGGCAATCGCACTTTTGAGAGGATCCAGCCCCCGTCCAGCTGCACCTACTATCCACATTTGCTGACAACTGCGGGGTTGGTACGTTGATCATCGGAATTGGGATTGTATAAAGTATGAGCTGAGCCTCATAGAATCGGGACACCATGCATTACACCCAGTGAAGCTGATTCACTCCATGAACACTTTCGAGCCTGGTCCTCCGCAAGAAACCACCCATCATGGCAAGCACAAACTACTCCATGTACCAGCTCAGCGCCGACCACACATTCCACTTTGAAATCCTACGCGCCCTCAGCCAATCCGTCTACGACGGCGCCGACCTCGGCGAAGTCCTCACTACCGCCAACAAGATCATCCCCGGCGACTTTGCAAGCTACGCCACCTCCTTCTCCACCCTCGCCTACAGCGTCCTCGACCGTGCAAAAAGCATCGCGAAAACCAAGTTCCCCGTCTCTGCGCGCAGCGCCTTCTTCGCCGCGGCCACCTACTTTCGCAGCGCCGACTTCTACCTCCACGAGAACGCGTCGGATCCTCGCATCTACGAGCTGTGGGGCAACCAGACTGCCGCGTTCGATGAGGGCCTCGCGCTGCTGACGGTGCCGAATCAGCGTGTTACGATTGAGACGGCTGATTTTTATATCCCGGGTATCTGGTTCACTCCCGATGAGGAGGAGACGCAGCGCCCGACAATTATTATGGGCAACGGGTATGATGGGTCCCAGGAGGAGATGTACCACGCCATGGGCGCCGCCGCTCTCGAGAGGGGATACAACGTCCTCACCTACGAAGGGCCCGGTATGCCTTCCGTGCGGCGGTATCAGGAAATCGGTTTCATCTACGATTGGGAGCGAGTAATCACCCCCATCGTAGACTGGCTCCTCGAGAAGCCCGAGGTAGTCGACCCGTCCTCGATCGGCCTTCTCGGATTCTCCTTCGGTGGCTACCTCGCCCCCCGCGCCGCGGCCTTTGAACACCGCCTCGCCGCCATCTTCGCCGTCGACGGCGTCTGGGACTGGCCGGTCGTCGTGAACGCTACCCTCGGCGCCGAAGCCATGGCCATCTACGACTCGGGCGACAAGACGGCCTTTGACGAGTACGCGAGGCGGTTCCTACAGCCCGGCGTACCCGCGACGCTGCGCTGGGGTCTAGGGCATGGGATGTGGGCGTTCAACACGGCTTCTGCGTACGACTTTGTCACGCTGTCGCTGGATTATCGTATGGAGCCTGTGGTGGATCAGATCCGGACGCCTGTTTTCGTGGGCGATGCGCAGAATGATTTGTTCTTCAAGGGGCAGGCGGCAGTTCTTGCGGAGGCGTTGGGGGAGTGGGCGTATCTGCATCACTTTACGGAGGAAGATGGGATTGGCGAGCACTGTGGGATTGGGGCTTTCAAACAGCACAATCAAGTCATTTTTGACTGGTTTCAAGAACTGTTGGACTCTAATGAAGGTAAATAGAGGATTTTGGCATTTTTCTCTATAGTATGATCAATCCTACATGTAGCTTAGATGACATACTTTCAAGCAATTTCGGCCTTAACAACCACAGAGACTGTTGAAATAGCTGTCCTCATGGCATTAAGTTTCGCTGATGTCTTCACACGTATACCAACGGACTCCCATATCCTCCAAATGTAAAATTACACATGCCAATTGGATTATGTGTTGATTTCGGCGTGGTGTTTCTGTATCCATAGACTTTGAGTGACTGTAACTCTTCATTTCTAGCTGGGGTACACTTCAACAAAAAAAAGAGAAACCAAGACCTCTACCGAACGAAAAAGAGTTTGGTGCAGCAGTCGCTCACCCGTAGAAAGGGATTGCGACCCTGAAGAAACCATCCTGATGTTGTGGAAGTTATCATAACTCAACTGAAAATCATACACTCACTCGCTCAATTTGTATCGTAGCTGTGCAATTGTTGCCGGCCCCTGCCTGGGAAGTCTAGTAATTAACAAGCAAACCAACACTGTTGATACTCGAGCCCGATTGATTACCTGAAAAGGCAGGGATGGGTGAGAATTCTTCGAGGCCTCAGCTTCAACCTCAAAGTTGATGACTCCATGTCCACATGTGGCTTACGTCGTGGTCATATTCTTCCCACCGTGCCATCATTGCCAACTTACAAGACTTGGACAACGGGGTTACGTCAGCTTGGTAGGTGAAATTAAGGTTGTGGACCGCGCGTTGGGGGCTGTAATTCTCATTTCCCAGCCAAGACGCCACCTCCCCCTTTCAAGGAAGAAAAAAGAGCAACACAATCAATCCCACATGGCACCTAATGATAAAAAGTCTCCGAGATTAAGATCTTAGCGATCAAATCCGCACAGGGGAGGGGGACCGGGGTGGACGTTTTTCGGCAGCTGCATGGATCTCAACTAATCCACTCTGCTGAGGTACCGCCCGCTCGCTACTCTTCCTCATCGTGGCCGACCACATCACCACACATGACCAGCAGCCTTCCTTGAGCACCAGCGGGCCCCCTTCCTTACGACGAGATCCAATCATCGTCAGCGTCGATGGTTTAGTGGTAAAATTCTCCGTTGCCATCCAGCAGCGTCGGGGAGCCGGGGGTTCGATTCCCCCTCGACGCAATTGTTTTGAATGTGTGGCCAGGGGAGGCTCACGACAACGTTGTTTTTGTTGATTTCGCCCACCAGCCCTGCTCCAGGCCTCGCAACGCGGAGGTGTAGCGTTATAACATGCCGAAGGACGGAAAATCGATACAGGGTCGGGATGAAGAGTCTCTTTTCTTTGAACTTTGAAAGAGACTTGTTTCTCCATGTTGGATCAAGGGTCCTGCGGCTGGAACCCAAACAGAAGTTGACGGGCCGGGCCGAAGTGCAGAGATTGCTCATGCCCTGAAAAGCAAGTTGGTAATGGGGACGATGACGCGCGGAATTCGTATCCCTACCTCTACTCATTTTAGGTAAGCGATAACGAGAACAAGGGCGACGGCATTTGAGATTCAGACACCGTGTAAATCGCCAAGAGCTATCACGCCCTACCTAGGGAGTAACGCCCTAGACGCAACGCCCTAGGGAATTGAGCTATGCCAGACCGCGGATTCTAGACCAATGAGGTCATCCAGCTTCATCAGGTGAGGCCAAACCTTGAAAGGAATCGTCCCATGTCGAACACCGTGGAGGTGGTACCTGATTCAAGTGCTGATTCAGCACAACCAAACTTGGCTCAGCAGGGCGTAGCCGCAAGAGAGGTTGACCCGATCCGACAAACTCCGTGGACAATTGGGATGTCCAACCCCCGCCTTTCCCCCGTCGTCGGATTAGAAATCTGGCGCAAGGCTTGGCGGAATGGGGGTGCGCACGCCGGATAGGTCATGGTTACCAAGACCTTACGAATAGGAGCCTAGAAGGATTCGAAAGATAGCACCAAGGTTTCTCGAAACGGCACGAATCGCGCCGCAGACTTTGTGCATATGCTGGCATAGGCGCAGACGTAGTGGTGTGTTTAGTCTCCCGAGATGCTGCGTGCACGGCAATTGAGCCATTCATGACGCGGGAGACCCCTGCGGTAGCTCCCCACCATGACGCACACGACCCCTAGTGCAATTTTGGGGCCGTCTGTGAGGGGCAAGTTTGGCACGGATTGATGGCCGAGATGGAGGGGCCGAGCCGAGGACGTGAACTTTTGACTAGAAGAAGAGAGAAAACTTGCTGTTGGGATGATGAACAGATTCACGGAACTTTGGTGGTTTGAGCAGATTGCGATTGAGACTTTTGGCCGGGTTCAGCATCCTAAATACCATGTTATCGAAGAAGATAAATCCTTGGTGAGTCACCCGGCATACAGACTTCGAATCCATCGTAGAAAAGGTGCACTCTTCTGGGTTACATTCTTCAAAAGACCTCGATGGACCAGGGGCATCTTCGTAGCGCAGCAAACACTCCGAATGCCGAGTGGAGCAGAACGTCGTTGATCGGTCTATGAGGTGGCGTGGCGGGGATAAAACCAGATTTCAATTACAAAGCAAAAGTGTTTCAGAGCGGTGGACGTCAGTTTGCGGGCTCCGCTGTTGCGAACCAGAAAGCTGAATAAACAAGACAAGGTGCATGAAGAAGTGGACATGCGGGTTATTGAGACATTACAAAAACCACCGCCCCTCCTCACCTTGCGTCAATCTGTCTTCCGAAACATTAAGATTTAGAGCATCAAGACCAACGTTACCCACAGACACGTTCGTCCCTCCAGCAATAGACTTTTACGACAGATTCCCCCAACTACATCACCACCACCATAGACACGCACACAAACCACCAAGATGGCACCCGCAAGATACGCCGCCGAGGCCGTGGACCCCAAACCCCTCGCCGAACCCCTCACATTCGCCTTCTCCGGCAAAGTCGCAAAGAACCGCTTTCTCAAGGGCGCAATGACGGAGCGCCTCTCCACCTGGGACCCCAAGACCCCGACGAACCGCGGCATCCCCACGCCCGAGCTCATCAACCTCTATCGCCGCTGGGGCGAGGGCGATTTTGGCGTCCTACTCTCCGGCAACGTCATGCTCGACTACGACCAGCTTGAAGCTGCGGGCAATCCGATCATCCCGCTCGACGCAACCTTCGAGGGCGAGCGCTTCGAAGGCTTCCGCAAGCTTGCCGAGGGGGCCAAGGCGCACGGCAGTCTGTTGCACGCGCAGCTTAGTCACCCGGGAAGACAGGTCGAGCAGAAGATCAACCCGCACCCCATCTCGGCGAGCGACGTGCAGCTGGAGGGGGACGTCATGGGCATGAGATTCGCGAAGCCGAGAGCGATGGAGAAGGAGGATTTTGAAAAGGTGATTGGTGGGTTTGCGCATGCGGCCGAGTACGTCTACAAGGCTGGCTTTGACGGAGTCGAGCTCCACGGCGCACAGTGAGTTTCCCCCCTTTGCATAGTATCATTTTGAGCAGTCGACTGACATCGTCACCCAGCGGCTACCTCCTCGCGCAATTCCTCTCCCCGACGACAAACAAGCGCACCGACCAGTACGGCGGCTCCCTCACCAACCGCGCGCGCATCATCCTCGAGATCGCCGACGCCATCCGCGCCCGCGTCCCCGACCCGTCCTTCAGCATCGGCATCAAGGTCAACAGCGTCGAGTTCCAAGACGAGGGGTTCTCCACCGAAGACTGCCGCGACCTCTGCTCCGCGCTCGAGGCCGCATCCTTCGACTTTGTCGAGTTGTCCGGCGGAACGTACCAGTCCCTCGCGTTCGAGCACAAGCGCGAGTCCACGAAGAAGCGCGAGGCGTTTTTCTTGGATTTCGCCGAGAAGATTATCCCGCAGCTTACCAAGACCAAGGCGTACGTTACCGGCGGGCTGAGGACTGTGCCTGCCATGGTCGAAGCTCTCAAGACGGTGCACGGCATCGGGCTGGCGAGGCCCGCGTGTAACGAGGTTGATCTGCCGCGCAAGATTATCGCGGGCGAGGCGTCGGCTGCGATTGAGACGTTGTTGGGGGAGCAGGACTTCGGGCTGACGAATATGTTGGCCGGTACGCAGATGAGGCTTATCGGGCGGGATCAGGAGCCGTTAGACGTGAGCAAGGAGGAGTACAAGGATGTGTTTATGAAGTCGCTGGGCAAGTGGGCGGAGGCGATGGGGAAGAATGAGGATGGGAGCAAGTTTGGGTATATTGATATCGAGGGGTTGGATTTGCACCCCTTTGGAAAGCCGTATGTTGCTTAGAGTCTAGATGAGGAGGGATGCATACTGGTTGGCGTTGGAGGATAGAATGTAGAACAGATATTCTAGTTGGTAGAATCAGTGAAATGAGTCTCGGATATTACATGATTGGTGATGATTGTAATATGTGGTGATTCTAACTTGCTGTATCAAGTTTCCAGACATTTCTTAAATGCATTCATGTGAGTTACCAGCATGGTACCTAAACGTCAATTGGCTGCACACACAGACGGGGTCCCGGGATACATCAGACCATCAACATCAGACGCGTCGAATCATGCACGGGAGTCCAAGTGTCGAAACTCAATTGTAAATGCCAAACTTTTCTTGCCCTAGCGACTTCCTCTTGATAGAAGAACGACATCAAAAGTATTCGAACTTACGATTGTGAGTGGAAAGTGAAGAATTAGACACAAGCGGAAGCCGGAGAAAAAATCGAGGGAATTTCGGCAGTGACGCCGATTGCTCCACCTTTTCCCCGCCGATTCCCCCGGGGTCAACGGCTGTAGGCGAGTCGCTTAGGGAGGTACTTGTCAGGTACTTGTCCGGCATCTGTCAGGAACTTCCATGACAAGTACCTCCATTGCTTCCCCGCCCTTATCGCATCCCTGTCTTCCCGTCTGCCCTGTTCACAAGGCTACCGACAGGGACCTCCCAGGCGCCGTGCACTAAATCCGGGCAGTGGCCTGTCATCAGCCGCCCCCTATTGGCAATCTCGTCCCAACTCACCTTTCTTCCCGCCCGTCCACCTGCCACTCTTTTTCCCAACTCCGTCACCTCACCTCCAGCTATCACCATCACCGATCGCCTCTCTTTTTTGGAGACACGGCAGCAATAGAAGCACACAGCATCAACACCAGCTATGCCGCTGTCGACCTCGCCAATCCCCCGACCAAATCACACTCGCTAGTTTCGTCCCGACCGACCGCACCCAAGCTCATCATGTAGGCCCTCCGCACATCCCCCTCCTTCCCACAGCTACGCGCGAACAACTCCAGCTAACCTCTCCGCCTCCAGGATCGAACCATCCCTCCGCATCCGACGCGCCATCACGGCAAACGACCCCCTCCTCGTCAAACGAATCCTCAAATCCCACCCCCGCCTCCTCCACAACCCAGACCCCTCCCCCGAAGCCCTCTCCAACTCGAACCTCCACCTCGCCGCCTCCCTAGGCCACCTCCCCATCGCCAAAGCCCTCGTCGACCACGGCCACGAACACCCAGACCCGGCCCTCAACGAGCACCACCAGACAGCCCTAATGCTCGCCGCCGCCGCGGGCCACACCGAGGTCGTCCACTTCCTCTGCGAGCGAACCCCGCACGTCATCCTCCGGCGCGACATACGCTGGCGCGACGCCATCATGGAAGCGAGCCGCGGCGGGCACGATACCGTGCTGCAGATCCTGCTGACGTACGTCCCCGAGGGCGCGCGCGCCGCTGTGCAGAGGGCGGATTTGGACGGCAACACGGCGCTGCATTTCGCAAGCAGTAATGGCAATTTGCTCGTGCTGAGGACGCTGCTTGCTGCTGGCGCCGACGCCGAGAGGAGGAATGTGTGGAGCTGGACGGCCATGTCGTATAGCGCGACCGTGCAGGCCGAGGTGTACCTCAAGGGGCTCGTGACGGAGGTGGAGCGGCGCAAGATGGTGAGGCAGGAGGTTGAGCAGCTCAAGAACTCTGTCAAGGGGGCGGCTAGCATCAAGGGCGGCGCCGTGCGGGTTGTTGAGGAGGATGTCGAGGTCGAGGACTGAGGCGGTCTACGACTTGGACATTCCAACCTTTCTGACTCATCAGCTCACGGCATTTGCGGGTTTCTCCATTTTCACAGACTCCATACTTGACGGAACTCATGGATGACGGGAACATCGCAGCTCAGAGCTTCTAAGAACGGCAAATGAGGCATTCACGACGCCCCGCAACGATAAAGCTTTACACTACGACATCACCCACACGGAAGCTACGCGGTGTCTTCCCGCAACAGCAACAATGCTGTGGACCCTCTCCTCTGGTTGGAGGAAATATTACATTCATCGGCATCGTCAGCCTGGCTCACGATATCTCAGGTCTTGGGAAATGATGAAACCGCGATCACCAAATTACGAGGGCCTAGCGAAATGACTTGGTGGAGACCCGATAGTCAGCTTGATTTTGGCCGACCATGATGGTTGGCGCGTTTTTAGATGGACAGCTGCATCGCCAAAATCAGGATCTGGATGATGGTTGAGGTACTGGTTCACTCTCCCTCGGCTTTGTTCATTTTTTGGGTACCTTTGGGCTCTTGAACTGTGAACTTGAGCTCGGGGGCCACAAGAGCGAGCCAGCTAGAGGGTTTCGGGGTGCCCCCGTTGGTTCAGCTTACATAAGATAGAGGTCCATAATAGCTCCAGCCACAGTCAGCCACAGACAGCCACAGACAGCCACAACCGAAAGACTAGCGCCCCAGGCAGTTGAGAAGCTCATTGCACAAAAATCAACCAATCGAATAACACTGAAATCTTCACCACTTGAGACCTTGAAAATTCCACTCCATGTTCATGTGACTACCTCGAAATCGAAATTGATGAAGAGAATTGCGGCTGCCATGACCATCTCACCCTGAACATTGGGCCATGGCAATTATTCACTGTCGTATACCAGCACCCATCATGCTCATTTCAACTTTGAGAGACGCAAGGTGGAAACGGGTGGTTGTTTGTCGCGCTTCACCATCAGTCACCGATAACCGCCTGATCAGACGTTGACAGTCACTTTTCACACAGTTTGGTCTCATCTCTCGCAAGTCTCGAGTCACTGATTCACACAACTGCTTGACGTCATATAAATCTAGACCATGATGGCTGGCCAAACTCTTCCTCGTCAATATTCGCAGTCTTCTATCCATAGCCTTCAAGCTCATACTTTGGGCACTAAACAGCAAGCATCCAACTCGTCTTCTCGTCCCCAAGTCAGCAGTCACCGTGGCGTCCCATCAGTCTCCCGTCGAGGAGGAGGAACCAGAGTACCTGCCCTACCCAGCAACCAAGCTCATCATCGCGCAGTACTGGCACTGCTCGCGCGACCCACCGTGTTGGGGCTACCTCATTGTCGGCACCTTTTTCGACCAGCACAACAACATTATCTGGAGCACTGAGATTTTTGCTTTTCAGCGTGACACTCGCGGTGGTCGGAGACACGGCATCGACGAGGGGCAGTTTGTCGAGCTGTCGGATTCGGGTGAGTCACTTTGTTTTGTCCTCATGCGTGGCGGTTATTCACTGCCAGTCAACCCAAGATTTGTGATGTCTGGGAAGGATATATAAGAAGCGTCCATGTTCCCACCTTTTCTGACTTTTGATTTCTTCATATCTCCAGATTTAAATACCAGCCAAGACCTGCACAACAGGTTTTCTGGCAGCCTTAACCTCGCTCAGACCAATACCGCACACCATCATCCGGCACACATCCCAGCGTACGGATACCAAAGACACCCGCACCACCTCTGGGACCCGTCGCACGCAGGCCCCGTCCCCGGCACTTGGATCACGGAATTCAACCCCGAGCTCGGAAACTGGGTAAATACCTGGCAGCCAAACCACCATAACCGCATTTGATCCTACCCTGATCCACCCACACATCAAACAAGATGTCTAACCCCGTCAACGGCCCAGACATGGAAGGCCGCCGCCCTCCCTGGGGCCCCCAAGGCATGCCCCTCCCACGCTGGGGCGAGGCCTACATCCCGCACGCCGGCTACGGCGCCCCGTCCCCGGCACCCTACGGAACATACTACTACCCGGCAACCACATCCTACCAGCCCTACCCGGGCTCAACAGCCTACGCCTGGCCCGGCGCCGGCATGCAACAACAAGGAAGCTATTACCCAGGAACATACCCCCTCCAACCAGGCGGCCAAGCAACCTACACGCCCCGCACAGCCACCCACCTCCCAACACTCGACCCGCGCAACCCAGCAGCGCACCTCTCCAACTCGACAGGCGGAACGGGCTGCGAACCAGGCTACAACTACTTCTTCCCCGCCGCGCACACAAAAATCCACGTTTTTCGCACCAGCACGCCGCCGTGGCAGCTGCCCCTCAACGCGCGGATCCAGTTCTCCGCCTTCCACGTCCCCGTGAACACGACGCTCGCGGAGGTGCTGAAGGGGTTCGGGGCGACGAACCCGAATCCGAAGAAGAATAAGTGCTTTGAGATTGTGCAGGCCGGGAATGGGCGGTGGTATAAGGGGTTGTGCTTTTCGGGGGACGATAAGGAGATGATGAAGAAGAGTGTCAAGGAGGTTGGGTGGGATGGGGAGCGGAGTGGGATGCCGGGGGGGAAGCCTGTTGTTTGTGTTTGGCTTGTTAAGGATTGAGGCTGGGGTGCTTGGGTTGAGGGTCACTTACATGATGCAGAGAGGCTGTGGCTTAAGTTTTGAGGCTTGACTTTTGAGGCTTGGGCGTCGAGGCTTTTGGGGTGGGGGTCGTGAAGATTGAGATTTACGGTTTGTGGGGGCGGGCTTTTGAAAAGTTGAGATTTGGGCAGATTTGCTGCGTTCGGAGGTTGACTCGTCGACTCCTCCGACTCTGTTCTCTCTTTTTGCTTCTTGTCTCCTTTTCTTCGTTTTTTTGTCTGCTCGTCTAGCGGGTCTCCTTTATCTCGATTTCAAAAGTGGAGTTTGGGAACTTGTTTTCTTTACACATTAGCTTTTGGCATTGGCACTTGGCATTAGCACCGCGGAGAGACGTTAGACTTTTGCTGCTTTGCACTTTTGAGCAGTGCGCGCGCTTATCTAAGCTTACGCAGAACATTGACAGAAGCGAAAATAAACTCTCGTCTCTTTGTGGTGCCGAAGGTTTTTTAGTTTCTCGAGCTAAAGCTAAGCTTAAAATGTTGTTTATCTCCGCAACGTTTCTTTACTTCCCCGTTGACACTGCAACCTCTGGACCTTGTAGTGATGGTACTAGTATCCGTACGTGTGGAAACAACAAAGTAGCGTTAGGCACAATGATGCAATTGTCCAAGACGAATATTCAGTTATTCCCCTTCGGAAGGAGGGGGAGTCGACAACTCCCAAACCATTTGGGGGTGATAGTGGTTAAACTAAAGGGGAGAGGGGGGCGTGTTTGTCTGCCCGCCCACCGGTATCCCTGAGTCCCGGGATCATTTACAACGAACACCGCCAAGATGTCTTTGCAACTCTGGTTCGATTTCGATTCCCGACTTTGTGGTTTCCGAAACTAATTTTCGCACCAGTGGGATGCGCCCAGTGGGAGGCGCCAGTGGGATGTAGCGTACCATCCCACCGGGAAACACACGAGCTTGCACTTAATCACCTACGCCGCTACGGATGCGCTTCCGATTTAATATGGGGGTGTCTGGGTACTTTGGAAGTGGAAGACATTGGGGGCTTTGGCACTTGGGGGTTAAGGGTTGAAGCCCAGTGCATCGTGAGTCAAGTCGTGGCAAGAGGGCAGAACTTGGGAAGGAGTCAAGAAATTAATTCTTAATTAGTGTTGATTGTAACGCGTTGTGGGAGAAATTGCACCGGCTTACCAGTTCCCATTTCTCTTTATTTGATGGATCTTTGAATGATGGTCTCTATTGAGGTGCGTGTTCGTATAAACCTGGGTATGGATTCTGCGAGAATGCCAACGCGCCAAGGGGGCCGGACAGCCGGGCTTGCGGACCCGTGGATCCCGCGGTTGAGAGACTGGAGTCCTGGACGTTGGAGAATGGAGATTGGAAGAGTCAGAAATCAAGAGACCGAGGGTGGAGGAAGCCGAGATCGCAAGATGCCGGGAGTGCACCTCTCTTTGACGGCACAGAGCATTGTTGAATTTCAATACATGAGTAAAAGTTTACGGCCTGGTCGGAATTTCTGGTTATTCCGTCAGATGGAAAGAGAATACGAAACGAAAACACGAGAAATAATGAAAAGGTGTGCAGACTACAGAGAGAATGGAAACGCTGTCGGACTTGCAAACCCTCAAAAGGCGTTTCCTCCGCTGTGCCACTACCAACAAAGGCGAGCCCTTCCCCTTTGGATTCTGAATTGTCCACGCCAGTCCCAAATTGACAGACGAGGGAAGTGGAGGTTGATTACAAAGTGGCTCTGGACCGTTGTGTTGGACCACCTGCGCCTCCTTAGCGCCTTGGCGCGAATCTATTCCCGACGCGCGGTGTCTGTCCCCCAGGCTCGGCTGCGGTGGACATTTTTGTCTCAATCTGAAAAACAATCTGCAGCCTGCAGAGTGCTGACAGCTTTACGCGGAATTTCGCAGAGTTAAGTGGGCTGAAAGGGGACTCTTGAAAAGGGTTAGCCGCAACCGCGCGCAACGGTCCTTTAATCTGGTCTTGAAGTGTCGTTCAGAAAGTGACCAACCAAACGTGGTCCATCCCGGCCCTCACATCCGCACGTAAGGTTCTTGTTGGGGTTAGGTAAGGCAGAGCTAGCGACATTTGACGGGAGTGGGATACGGGCTGGGTAGAGAGTCAAGACTCGAGACCTTGTCAAAGACCTCAGAGTTGCCATGATGAAATGATTGTGCTCAACAGAAAGTAATTCAGATATTCGAGGCAGCGGACTCGAGAAGTGGGCTTTATTTGTATTGATAGACGAAAGCGAGTAAAAAGCATATCTTCTTTAATTGATGCATGTGGAGACCTGCGAGAGTTGAGCGAAAATAGAGGTGGGAAAGGGTAGGGTGCTTTTGGCATCTTTCGGCTAGGCCATCCCACCCCCTTGTCTAATGTATCCCGCGCACTTAGATTGGGAAGGATGCTCCGAGTACCTATGGTACATATATCCAACGCTCGACCATGTTCCCTTTCTTGCTGACTTGCTCTCTCTCTCTTGTCGTTACCTTCATTCTTTCTCAACCTTGTTCTTTCGCTGTGTGTGCATTGCAGGACTTGGCTGGTTCATGTTCTGATATTCCCACTCAGACTTTAACCTAACATTCGTTTTTTGACACTCTTTCAAGTCGCCCACTCTCTCTAACTCAGTACTCATTGTTCCTTTGTCCCACCATCTCTATCCAACCGAATCCCTCAATTTAACCAACTCTCAGCCTCCAGCACAACACACCACCCAAAACGTCAAAATGCCATCCATCGCATCCACCGCCGCGGCGGTCGCCTTCGCCGCCACGTCGGCCCTGGCTCTGACCTCTACCTCCGCCAAGTCCGACCTCGACGGCTCCGTCTGGAAGATGCTCGAGGGCACCTCCCCCGCCGCCTCGGCCCCGCAGGTCCGCGCGCGTAACCGCCCCACGAAGCGCCAGACGGGCTGGAACCCGCCCTCTGCGCTCTCGGGCGCGTTGAAGGAGGTGTGGGCGCACTACGAGAAGACGTACGACGGCGCCATCGAGGGCAACAAGAACTGGGGTTGGGACCAGATCATGGCCAACAACGGGTGAGTCCCGTTCCGTCTCAACACCCGGTGCAAACTACCAGACTAACACCCGCAGCTCCATCAACGTCTGCGTCCGCTGGGACTCCAACTCCCCCATCACGGCCGCCCAGCGCACCAAGCTCGCCTCGACCTACGCGGCCCAGTACCAAAAGTGGTTCAAGTGGCTCTACGGCTTCGACGGGTTCCCCTACGCCAACGTCGACGTCAACATCGTCGGCTACGCCACCAACAACTCGGCGCTGCTCGAGGGCTCGACCGACGGGCTGGACGTGTACACCTCCTTTGCGGACCCGCAGGGCATCCCCGCGTGCGATCCGGCCTGCGAGCGCGAAGCGCACCTCGACGGCGACTACAGCGGGTGCAAGGGCGGTGCAGCCAGCCATTTTGACAGCTCGCTTCAGCTCACGGACGGGCTCGAGGGCGGGTTCGGGTATTCTTGGGGGCAGCAGGTGGGCAGGGAGTATATGCTGAACAACCTCGACTCGGAGAGCATTCACATCCTGCTGCACGAGATGGGACATACTTTTGGATTGGATGATTTCTACGACTGGGAGCCGACGGGACAGAGCAAGTTCATCATGCTTGCCGGGTCTGCGATGGAGGTTACGGACTTCGACGGGTGGATGTACCGGAACTGGTGGTACGAGCTCTCGCAGAAGCGCGGATGGGCCAAGACGGGCTCTGGAGCTGTTGCTTCCGGTGCTGCTTCGACTTCTGCTACGCCTTCTGCTACTGCGTCTGCCTCTGCTTCTGCTGCGCCGATTGTCAAGGAGGAGGAGGATGTCGCCGAGACGCCCGTCCCTACGCCGACTCCCACGCCTACGCCTACACCTACCCCGACGCCCGCGTCTTCGTCTTCCGCTGCCGACGTTCCTGTCGCGACGTGCGCTGAGACGGCTGCCGAGCCTAGCGCGGCTGCTGCGGAGGAGTCCGGGTCCGAGGTGGCGGCGAAGTGGAGCCAGTGCGGTGGGGCCGGGTACTCCGGGCCCACTGCTTGTGCTTCCGGGTTGACTTGCACCAAGACCAATGAGTGGTACTCGCAGTGCTTGTAAGTGGAGCATGCGCTTTAGTTTCCGATCTGGGTGATTTGTATTTTGAAGGCTTTGTTGCGAGGCGTTGCGAGAGTGAGGTGGGATGGTGTGTAGTGGTCGGATGTGGGCGCGGATTTCTGGAGTGATGTGTGGGCTGGGTGCCGTGGTTGTGGCTTGGCCGCATTGCATCGACGTTGTATTCTTATTCTGTGTATCTACGTTGTGGGCTACGAACGTGGTCTGTGTATTTAAAGGACGAAATGTAAATATTTCACATCAATCCTTGCATCACTTCGCTACGTCCTTCAATCTCTCAAGTCCAATACCGTGGTAGCATTGGCTGAGTGCTAGCCCTACTTGGTTCCAGGGTGTACATCAGGATACCCAGGTAGGTGGCACAGTTCAAATACCAGGAAAAGCCAAGGTGCCATTCAAAGACACCTGTTGAATTATATCACGCTAACGGGGCATCTGAAGTAGGTAGGTTGCATTGCGTGATGTGATTTGTAGAGTCAAAAAAGGTGCTCGCAATTTTCATGAGGCAGTGGACGAAGAATAGAGAAAAAAAGACAATGGCAGCAAAAGCAAAAAGCAAAAGGCAGAGACTAGCTCGAACCTTCCACTCTTCAGCTGAGGTTGCCATGGCCGCGGAACGATAGGCTATTAACCATGCAGGCTTCCCGACCACTTCCCCTACCGGCTGATGATTATTCTCGACGGTTTTCGAGATATCACCCCTTCACTGTCAATCTCTGTGCCTTCGGTAGTTGTCTCAGGCAGCCAAGTACTGGCTACCTCCAACACAGTGTGTGGCTCCAGGGAGTGATTCACCAATCAAGTGCCCTGACGTCCCTACAGCAGCGCTCGATTCGGCAAGGACCCACGTGGGCGACAAGGATGGCGCAGACGGGAGGACCCGCGCACCACAGCGCTAGTGCCAGGGGCCGAAGACGCCGCAACCACCTAAAAGACGACACTCGGTGCTGTGAATGGCGCCAATCGAGTCATTCAGCAGTTCGATAGTCGCATGTACTTCCGACGCGATAGGGCAGCATGTCGAGATACCTTCCAGTCCGGTAAGTTGAACGATGTACCTTGTTTGCAACAAGTCTGACCAAACTCCCCCAGGCCGCCGCGGTTGCCACCATACCGGGGCTTCGCCACACGTTTGGCTCTCCTTCCACCAGCACGGAAGCCCATCACTACACCCTGGAACATCTCGACATACTGCAGGCCAACGTACGCAGAGAGGTTCAGCGAGTCCGTTTTCTGGCGGATCACGGATCCACTTTGGATCGAGTCCCCGCCATCCTTGCCATACAAGACCGTCCAGTCAAGGTATTCCAGCTATCAGACTATCATTACGAATATCGAGACGACTGGGGCATCATCGACCACGAAGACAAGCCATCCCTCGACAAAAAGGGGGAGCAGAAACAAGGCGTCCGGCGCGTGGCATTTTACGTCCACAAGTCGATCAACTTGAACTCTTGGAGAGTTGAGTGGGATGTGCCCCACGGCGATGGATACATCGCTATGTTAGCGCTCCGTCTTCATGACGGAAGCTAGATCAAGATCTACAACGTCTACAACCGCAAGCCGGGCAGGTCCTTCATCATGAAGGACTTTTTTGCCACATGTGGGGACCTCGACAATTGTTTCCTCCTTGGCGACTTCAACGCCCATCATAAGGTCTGGTCTCTTCCTGACCCCCGAACTCTGTTTGCATTCTGCATGCCATTTGTTCTGACGCGTTTCGCAGTGCCCCGACGTCGTAACCAAGATGTGCCCCTTTCGCACAGGTGAACACACCGTCGGCCACTTGTTCTACGCATGCCCAGACTTGCAAGAGGAAAGATCGCAGCTCCCTCTCAAGGACTTCAGGGGCGGCAAGCGAACCCGCAATGGCATGTGTACCCTGGAGGGCCTGCTTACTGAGGGTGCCGCCCAAGCCTCCCGCTGGGCCATCAACCATTTCGGCATCCAGCAGTTCACGTGGACTTTGAACCATGCCGACTTTGCATCGTTCAAGGATATGGTGTATGCTCATCAGGGGGGTTTCTGAGGCCCCGGTCTTGTTTGCTCTTCTCCACACACACACACACACACACACACTGTTTAACTCGATCGTTTTGCATTACTAGAGGATTGCCGCAGTACATGTAGACGCTACCCTGCCACCAAAATTCCGCACTGTTCACCCTTAGCCCCTTTCGTGAGTCTCCTCCCCCTCCTGCGCCTCTCCTCTGCCTTCTGTTTTGTTTTACAGAGGGGTTTGTTTTTTTCTCTTGGTCGACTTTCTTGTTGTGCGATGCCTTATAGACTAATGCTGACGGCGAGGCTTCCTCGAGATAAGCTAGCCCTTTTCCCTCCTTTCCACCCTCTCCCTCGTCAAGGGATCGCCATAATCGCCGCCTCGACGGCGATGAGGTAGTTCCGCATCAGGTGAGTCTCTGACACGCAACAAGGCCACAACGAGGTTCCACATGGAACAAACGCTGACGTTTGCATGCTGAATCAGGGGGTGTTGGAGGTCGGCCAACCACCGTGTCTGTTTGACATCGAGAGGGACATGGTCCCGAAGGTGACGATAGGCGCGGGCGAGATAGTTGTGCGTTCGTCTTAGTTGTTTGCGTTGATCTGATAGACGGTGTTCTCTCAGCAAGATGGCTACGCCGAGACAGGCCACAGGTATGTCTACCCCGTTTCCGAGACCGACGTCATCTTGCATCGAGTATACTGACGAAGCATGTCAAGCAACGATGTCTCCGTCGGTGCCGATGGGTAGAAGCTCTCTTTTCCGCTTAGACAGTGCTCTAATGTGGGACGGCGATGTTGCTGCTCGGAGAAGGTTGTGATTGAGCGTGAGCCTATCCTATCACTGAGAGCGCGGGCATTCCCTCACTAACATGGCTCTCCATACAGCGGGCGAAGATGTTGAGGACAGTGTCCAACTCTCTGTTCTCTATTTCGTTCATAGCGATGGGCGGTGATGAGTTTGATGTCTCGAAAGCAGCTCAGTACGTACGTCTTCCCTTTGAACCCCAAATAAGAACTAGAAAGCTAATGATCCACTCACAGACTTGGAGGCTTTTATGCCTCTGAGGAGAGACTGTCAAGGGACTCATAATCAGACTTTGCGGCCATCATGGTGAAGCCATCACGGTTGAAGCCACAGCGGTAAGTCTGACATCTGCTTTTGCCCTCCCTCGCGTCAACCCCAATGCCCGCTAAACGATTAAAAGAGACATGCCCGCTAACAATGCACAAGCCAGTTGCGAACTCTGATGGGAAGCAGTCAGCAGTATAGTCATCTTTCTCTCATGGCAAGCTTGAAAAAGCATCTCAATTCAAGTGCTGGGTGGGCACTATACTGTTTTATTAAAACTGTATTCTGGTATTTGTGACTCACAAGAATTAAGTTTCTGCGATAACAAGGTACTTAGAAATCACTGCTATCACCACAGCAGACCGTCTTTTTTAGTTTTTTCTTCCTAATAAAGGTTTTTTTAAAAAAAAAAAATGTGATGAGCAATTACGGGTGTGCAGTGAGGTGGGAGGAGTGTACCTTACAACAACGTAAGGTGCCTTACTTACTGAGGTAGGTTGGTTCCAGGACCTCCTCCCTGTGACTCAGCGGAAGGTGGCGCTGACGGGAGCCCGCAAGGTGCGCAAATTGACCGAAATAAGTGCCCGTGGCACCTGCGGTCCACCAAGGAACCCATGACAAGTAGCGCGAGGTGCGCTATAAATGGAGGGCAATGTGTCCACCTCAATCAACGTCAGCCTTCTCGCTGAGTTGCTCACCATCTTGCCCCAATCACCTCAATTTACACGCCAGGACACTCCGTCGGTCCAGCGAAAATGCGCTCCGACTCAACATTTCTCTCCATGCCACGCGAGGTCCGCGACCTGGTCTATCAGCACTACGTCGTCGTTGACGGAGGATACGTCTCTGCATCCGATGGCCTCCGTGGTGGCAGGCTCAAGAGGGCCGACGGGCGGCCAATCGATCTGAACCTGATGTACGCCTGTCGACTCGTCGCCGACGAGATGCGCCACCTAGCCTTGCGGAGCAACACCATCACGTTCTTCACTATTACGTCGGAGAAGGGGGCACCCTCGTCAATCACGTCTGATGGAGGCTTACGCATGCGTGCTGCTCGCTTTGACGGCCTTGTCGGGCGTAGCCTAGATAGTCGCAGGCAACTCCTGTTCCACTTTGTTGGGGGCTTCCTTCTGCATCAGAAATGCACCGAACTCGGGGCGCCATCAGGGCCGCTGGACGACAACGATTACGACGGCGACAACGACCTTGACGAACCGTCCGTCTCCAGACACTTCAACAAACGCTCTGCCGCATCTGCACGCCCCACGGCTCAAGCATTGCTCGCCGAGCTAGCTGAGAAGCACCCTCGCTTCCGACCAGTCCTGGATCGGATTCAACGGCACGACCGGTTGGCACGGGATATGTTGTACGATCGTCACGGGCCCTACGGCGAGGCGCCCTCATCGTACCGCGAGCTTTGCCGCGACCTCCTCCAAGTCGCGTCTCGTCTGAATCCAGAGGACTCTCTTCATCTCATCTGGTGCCGCCGCATGGGCATCTCCGAGAATCGCATACCGGGCGGGGAGCTCCGCTCGAACCGCATCATGCGCTGCTCGGTCAGGGAGTGGGATATCCCCACGGCGGCCGACCTGAAGGAGCTATCGTCGTGGATCACCGAGGAGAAGCGCCTGCTCTCATCCATCCGCCACGGATCCGACGGCTCGGTCTACCGCTTCTCGGCCGCCGCGTCGGCCATCCGCTATCTCAAGTCCATCCCCGCCGACATGCGCGCGCAGCTCCGCAAGATTGTCCTCGTGGAAGACTACCGCTCCGTCGCGCATCCGGAGAGCCACGCCCGAGGCCTGATCCCGTTTTGCCGGGAGAACCCCCTCCTGCGGGTCGAACGTCGCGTGAACCTGTGGCGGAACCTCTTCCAGGTCGACAAGAGGTGGCACACGCCCCACCAGCAGTGCGAGCACCAGAACCGTGCCGCCACGCGGGCGCTCCGGTCGCGGGACATCACGTCCACCGTCGCGCTCTGGGTCACGGAGGCATTGGCTCTCGGGCCAGCGGGCATGCCCGCGGCGTCCTTCTCCCTGGTCCTGGACGGCGACCCGGCGCCGCAGCTGTGCGCGCGCATCTTCCAGACCGTCGTGCAGCGCGACGCCGCGTGGCAGCGGGCGTGGACCGAGTCCATGGACCGGGGCCTCGTGCTCGTCCACCCGGTGCTGGACTGGTTCGAGAGGCGGGGCGAGGACGCGGCCAGGGCGGGCGTGCATCCCGTCTCCGGGGTGTACGAGTCGTACCTGGGGTATTTTTACGAGGGCTTCCCCGAGGCGATGAGGGATATCGCGCGCGGCGGCGGCGGCGGCGGGTCCGTGGTGCGGTGTAATTTTGACGCTGGCGAGCCGTGGGACGCTGAGAAGGTCGTGCGCGCCAATAAGATGTGGACGCCGGCGCAGTGGAACGAGGGGTGGCTGCAGCACGAGCAGCTGTCTTGGGAGACGGAGGCACCGTTGCCGGAGTGGCCGGCGTTGCTGATGGAGAATATGATTGACTCCTTTGCTGGGCGAAAGAAGAAGAGCTGGAGGGGCCGTTGATGAGGCGGTCCGTTCCGGCGTCTCTCCAGGTGACGGGGGCGGTGGCGGGGTTGCATTCTTCTGCTGAACGATGAAGGTATATCTTGGGACCTTGAGTCTATCTATATTCGTCTGGGATCTAAGGATGCTACGCCGCGGCTCAGCGTACAACACGCGGTCTGGATATCATTGTTGGCAAGACATCTCAGAGATGGTACAGCGTTTACCTGCTACATATCTATATCCCCCCCTTCCCGTCGCCATCCTCGTCAGAACTCCTTCGCGGGAGATACCACTGGCCACGATGCGTCATGTTGCAACGCTTTCTCCAGCTCCCTTTCGGATGGATGTGCTCGAGTCCTTTGGTTTTTGCCCAATTTGACATATCCTTCTGGGTGAGGCTCATGTGCTGGCTCGCCGAGTCCGTTCCGTTAGCCGGGGCGGGGCGGGGCAGTGCGGTTGTATGGTGAGGGCCAGAGTTCCATGGGGCCTTCTACCTTGCTATTTGTGCAGTTCCGTGTCATACTTACGGGCCTCCGCTTGGGATCAAGAGGCTTTGACGATTGCTGTTGTTGATAGGATACGTCTGAGGTAAGGTAGCCAACCAAGACGTTGTCCTTGGGCCCGGGCTCTCGAGTCCCCTATGAACCTTTGTTTTTCATCTGCAAGTTTGAGCCGCAAAAGTGAGTACAAAGTGGCTTGGCGACGGCTGGGGATCAGGAGTTCCGCCTCGTGGCTTGTTTTGATGAGTTGATTCTTCACAAGGGCTGTGAGAAGTTAGATTAAGAAAAGAAAAGAAACAGAACGAAAGAAAAATAGCAAAGATAAGGAAAGGGAAAAGGGGAGCAGAGAGGAGAATAAAGGAAGGCGGGCAAGAAAATAAGGTAGATACTACTAGAGGCTTTGGCCCTTGGCGTGTTGTCTTTCCTGCTTCGCGGGAGACGTAAGTCTCTCTACCAGCAACGGTTCTAGTTTCTTGCCCTTGACGTCCGCAAAGACTACTGGAGAGAGGAATGAGAAGTAACTGCTGACATATGTGTATAAGATGAATCAGTTCGGTTGTGCTTAGGGCTGGACGGAGACACGGGTTGAAGTTGATCGCATACCCCGGTTGCATCTGTCGTCATCGAGTATCCGTAGGTAGTTCAAGTGAATTGTCAGCCCTGCCTATAGAGTTTGACTACCAAGGTATGGGCCCCATCCTCAAGAGCCGGCGGGATGGCCACCGAAAAGCCAACCCAGGCAAAACAAAAAAAGACATGCACAGAGTTCATCGCAAATAACCCTCATCAAGCCCCTCTCCTCCTCTGACTCAACACACGGTAGACTTGGCCATCACGGGAGGAAGGGAACTCCGCAAAATGAACACCATCCGCGGATATCCAAAAAAAATTTAGTTGACAAAACTCGCAGCTCGGTACTCTCAGACGTCCGAGTTTTTTCCCAATACGGTAGTCCTCATGACTAGCCAGCCGGAGAATCTGACCCCACAACGCCCGATGATTCCGGGTCTCGGCGGGGCTGCGGTGGTGGGGCTGACGTGCCGAAAATTCGACAACTCCGCGGACCACCCCGTTCCCCGCGGCGTTCTCTAACTGTCAGCCTCCCGCCCGCTTGCTCGCCTACCTGCCTGTCCACCTGGCTCGCCTTATGAAGCCTGTTTCCGAATCCTTGCAAGCCGTATTTGTTTTACGTGCATGTTGTGACGTTGACATCAATGTAGACCTGACTTGCAGCACCATGCTCCCCCCCCCCTTAATGCGTCGACCAACCGGGTCGTCCGTATTACACGCCTTGGGCTGACGTCGGGGAGTGTCGCTCACGATCAGACCACACTGCTCGTCGTCCACGACTCTGATGGAGAGGGTCGGGATGGATGAAGGGCGTAATTGCTTACCACTCAACTGGGGACGAAAGACAGAAACAGGGAAATACAGACCCAGAAGTAGAATTTGGAATTGAATGAATCAACGAAATAAGACCCATCAAACGCAGTCAAGAACGCAAATATAAATACAAAAGGGCACCAGCTCCCTAAAAGACTTCTCCTGCTCTACACACAGACAAGACTACCTTGACTACTCAATGTTCTCAACCTCCTTCCCTCGTCTATCTTCAACAGCGATCAAGCTCCAACGATTCTCTCCACGCCGCCTCCTCCACACCCCGAAAACAATGACGACAACTACACCCCCGAACTTCCCCTTCCAACGCGCCTCGGGCCTCGAACCGCCCGCAGAATACGCCCGCCTCCGCGCCACGGAGCCCGTCTCGCAAGTGAAGCTCTTTGACGGCTCCCTCGCATGGCTCGTGACGAAGTACAAAGACGTCTGCGCCGTCGCCACGGATACGCGTCTCTCCAAGGTACAGTCTCGCCGATCTCTTCCATCCCTTCGTCCTTCCACTACCCCTTTTGAGACGTCGACGGGAGTGTCGAGTATGTCCAAGTGAGCTAACACCACAACACAGGAACGCACCTGCGCCGGGTTCCCCGAGCTCAGCGCCGGCGGGAAAGCGGCGGCCGCGAACAAGCCTACTTTTGTCGACATGGACGCGCCGGCACATATGCAGCAGCGCGGCATGGTTGAGCCGCTCTTTGTGCGGGAGCATATTACGTCCATGAAGCCGTATATCCAAAAGACTGTGGATGATCTTTTAGATAAGATGATTGAGCAGGGGTGCGAACAGCCGGTTGACTTGATTGAGAAGTTTGCCTTGCCTGTTCCGTCATATGTGAGTGTTGTTGTCACTTTATTGAGACCTCGGATCAGGGAGGAGATAGGGAAACACGGAAAGGAGAAGTTGTTGAAGATACTTGAGGTTCAACTTCCAGCTGACAGCAGACTTTTAGATCATCTACACCATACTCGGTGTTCCGTTCGAGGACCTCGAGTACCTTACCCAACAGAATGCCATCCGGACGAACGGCAGCGGTACCGCGTTGCAAGCTCAATCTGCAAACCAGTACGTCTAGCTTCACACTCCCCCGCCGCCCCCCTTTCCGACTGCCATAAGGCACCATGTTGATGGTAATGACTGACTCCCTTCGTTAACCAGAGAACTTCTCAACTACCTCGCAAAACTAGTCGACGAGCGCAACATTGAGCCCAAAGACGACCTCATCAGCAAGTTGGTCGTGGAACAGCTTAGACCTGGTCACATTGAGAAATCGGATGCCGTGCAAATCGCATTCTTGCTGCTCGTTGCTGGCAATGCGACGATGGTGAACATGATTGCGTTGGTGAGTCGCCCGTCACTTCCTGTCTTCCCGTCTTGAATCTTGAGAGTCTTTGACTCTTGTAGCGAACACGCGTGTTGGAGTCCACGATTCGACTAACATATGATACCTCAGGGCGTCATCGAACTCTTCCGGAACCCAACTCAACTCGCTCAACTCAAAGCCGACCCGTCGCTCGCCCCGGCATTCGTCGAAGAGCTGTGCAGATACCACACCGGTTCCGCTATGGCGATGAAGCGGGTGGCCAAGGAGGACATCATCCTCGGCGGCAAGGTAAGTTCCATCTTCGGCGGCTTGAGTCTTTATGCCAAGTCTTTACTTCTGCGCGGAGGCTCGGAGAGGAAAGCTGACTGTCCATCTAGACCATCAAGGCGGGCGAGGGCATCATCGCCTCGAATCAATCTGGCAACCGAGACGAGGACGTGTTCCCTGACCCGGACGTCTTTGACATGCACCGGACTCCGGACCCGAATCACGCGCTGGGGTTTGGGTTTGGGCCGCATAGGTGTATCGCCGAGCCGCTTGCGCGCGCGGAGCTCGAGACTGTCTTTGGTGAGCCTCTACTTCTCTTATCGCCATTCATATCCTACAGGTTCTTATGGCCGTACATGTTACTTGTGCATGGTGAATAGAAGAAAACCCTTCATTTACGCATCGTTCATCAACCTCTAGACTCTTCCAAGTACACTGAGCTAATACGTTCTATCACAGCAACGCTGTTCCAGAAGATCCCCAGCCTGAGAATCGCCGTGCCCATCCCGGATATCGAGTATACGCCCCTGCACAAGGATGTCGGAGTGGTCAAGTTACCAGTGGCATGGTGACTGGTGACATGGACGGCAATCTTATTGGACGGAATTCAAAAAGGGGGGGGCGTAGGTTAGACGGTGTTAAGACCACAAGCCGAAGTCGCCGTGGATCAAGCCGTTACATAGAAAGCTCGGTAGTTTGAAAGATCACATCACTTCTCTTCTCTTCTCAGGAACTTAGCGAGAATATCCTTCCATGTGAAAACGAGGTGAAAGCGGGGAGTATGAAAGCCAGGACATCGGACGACCGGGAGGAAGGGGGGAAAGCAAAGTTCACCAGTTCGCAGAGGCCCAACACGATCCGGGTGCGCCGGTGAAACGCGGCAATAAAGTGGCGTCGACTACCGTCGTCCCAATATTGAAGCTTGACGGAGCCGAATTCGGCGAACTTTGACTTCCGGGGTGAGTAACTGCTGCAGATTTTGAGTTGCGAGAATGCCGTCGGCATGCTTCGCTGTGCTCTTTAAAAGGGACCGCCTGACGCGAGAGGTGGGAATGGAGGTTGAGGCCAGGTGTTGAAGCAATATATTTTGATTACTACACTATTCTGCCCAAGATATGAACGAAATGCAAGTTGCAAACAGCCAAATTGTCGTAGGAGACAGGAGCAAGGCGGCTCCGTGGTACTCCGTCGAGGCCCAGATCTCACCCGAGGCACGCAAGATGCTCGAGGAGTACGCCGGCATCCCGCCAAACGAGGTCAGAGACCACGTCGTCGCCATGGTATGTCCTCCTATTCTCTGCCTTTCCCTACATTTTGGCCCTTCGACCACTCCCCACAGCACAAGACAAGCTGGGACATAGCTGTATACTCACATAATGCCATCCACAGCGCGACAAGATCTGGGAAGTCTTCCCCTACCCCTGCATCGGCGAATTCCACTTCCTCGACTTCAACCTCGCCCACCGCCCAGGCTACCCGCAACTCCTCGCCCGCCTCCAAGACAACCCGTCCGCGCGCCACCTCGACATCGCCTGCTGCGTCGGCCAGGACCTCCGGCGCCTCGTCCACGACGGCGTCGCCTCGTCCAAGATCGTCGCCGTCGAGCTGGAGCAAGGGTACATTGACGCCGGGTACGAGCTCTTCCGCGACCGGGACCGTCTCGAGACGCGCTTCGTCAACGCGGACATGCTGGACGACGGGGACGCGCGGCTGGACGCCATGGAGGGGACGTTTGATACCGCGCACCTGGGCCTCTGTCTGCATTTGTGGACGCGGGAGCAGCAGATGGTTGTGCTGCGGCGGGTGATTCGGTTGTTGAAGCAGGAGCCTGGGGTGATGATTGTGGGACACGCTGCTGGTCATGCGGACGGGATTGAGTTGAAGGGGGTTTGGGATAAGCCTGCGTTGAGGCATAACTTGGAGACGTGGGAGAAGATGTGGGCTGAGCTGTCGGAGCAGACTGGGAGTAAGTGGAAGCTGAATACGGTCGTGTCTGAGCAGATTGGGACTCGGGGGATTGAGAGGCCCAGCTGGTGGGGCAGCGATATGAGGTTTGTCGGCTTCGAGCTGACTAGAGAGTAGGTAGTTGACTGGAGTCTCAACAAGTAGAACAAACACGACGGAGACATGTGGCACGTATTGCAGGGAGCGAGAGAACAGTGTCATGAAGCATTTCCTTTGCTAGCCTAGGGCCATGGCCCGATTCCCATAGATGAACATCATCATAAAGCCCAATCCGGTTCCCAAACCATGCCTGAAAGGAGAACTTTTTCATCCACTGCTCGTCATTGCAAACACCTGAAACACCGAGTACCCGAGAAGAGAAGAAACTCTTTAGGCCTTGGGGGTGTTGGGGACGATCTTCTTGCCATCCTTGTTGTAGCGGACGCGGGGAGGGGGAGCGCGGTTGCGGCGGCCCACGACGGAACGGACACTGGGAGAGGAAGTCAGCATAAAGGGGTCTTTCACAAGGCCCGAGAGCAACCGTCAGGTCGGCAATCGACCTCCCGCGAGAGGGGAAGGACTGCGTCGCGGAGGTGCAGGGCACGGGGGATATGGGAGCTTCGAGTAGCGCCAAGGTTCTTCTGTAGCGCCTGCGCACCGCGGTCGTGGCGTGAGCCAGACCGACAGGTTGCAGTCGTCGCTCCCGCGGACGAACGTACCGGACAATCTTGCCGTGAATGGCGCAAGAGACACAGTACTGCAGCTTCAGGTACATCTTGGGTACGGTGTACTCCGCGAAGACGGAGGCGTCAGAGATATCACCTGATTCTTGTTAGTCCTGGAGACGTTGGATGGGGAAGAGGGAGGCATACGGATGGCAGCAGACTCGACCATGTTGCGGATGGTGAAGCGCTTGATCGCCTTATCCTTGGGCGTGCATCGCGAGCAGTTGCTGCAGCGGATGGGCTTGACGTGGCCGCGGCCCTTCTTGTTGCGTCCGCTGTAGGAGAGGAAACCAAGTCAGTAATCGTGTTCGTTGGGGGGTACCATTGCGCATGTGTCCATCTGGAGCCTCAGTCGCCGGCGTCGTCGAGCAGGTTCATGATATCGGGATACCGTTGTCGACGGCCGGGACGTGAGGGTAGAGAGGCACAGGTGAAGCGCGGTGTATGGGGCGGATGAGGAGGGTATCGTCGTACTTGTTCTTTCTCTTCTTGACCATTTTGGCGACGTCTGACTGTGTGTTAGTAGATCCGTGAAGAAGAGGAAAAAAGAGAAGAGGAGAAGGGGGTATATCAATTGCGAGGAGACGTACTTGATCTTTTCTGGCTTGCTGAGTCAAAAAATCGCAATTGGTGGGTTCGACCAGGGCGCAACTTGGTTTTGACGTGCCTTGCTGCGAGGTGGTGGTGGGTGGAGGCTGCGTGCGAGTGAGGGCTGGTCCAGGGCTGGAGAGTGCGGTAGGGAGGACTGGTGCTTGTGGACCCACCTCTGGAAGAATCCCACTCTGGAATTTTAGGCGAGGATGCACTTTACGCGGGCAGGTCGCCTCAGGACTGCGGTACGTATCGTATTTCGCACCACACATTCGATTTCCAGACCCATTGGCTGGCCAATCGCAGGCCATAAAGATCACGTGAACTCGCTAGTTTTCCAGGTCTCGCAAACCCCCCCACCCGATCCACCCAGCGCCTGCGCAGGACGGATTTACCGTGCGCTGCGACAGACGGCAGTCGTTTCCTTTTAATTTTCCCTCATCCCCAACTCGAACCCATCTGAGGATCTGCTTAGGAAGGCAATAGACATATTGTCGAGGTACGTCTGAAGATGCTTCTGCTCCCTCTTTGTTGGCCTTGAGCCCGTTACACCTCTTCTTCTCCCTTCGTTTTCTGGCATTTCGTCTTTGGACGAGTTGTGGACTCTGTTTCCGCTGTCGCCTGCCACTCGACTCTCGCAAGGCGCAATCGCGAAATCGACAGCGTCTTTCGAGAGTAATCGAGGGGGCGCACTAGAAGGGGTCAGAGTCTTTTGGCAGGGTCGAACGGAGTGCGAGCGAGCCCGTCGAGCCTGTAACATTGCTTCGCCGGATGCTCAATCGTTGCCGCCACCCACCAAAGCCATCGACATCCAACTCTGCCAGAAACGAAGGGGCGAAGAAGAGGAGCATCGAGGGAGACGGACAGCAATCTTTGCTATCCACCCAAACCTTCAAGACATTTGATTCTAACATTCCGTGACAAGTAGGCAATCATGCAGATCTTCGTCAAGACCCTGACGGGCAAGACTATCACCCTTGAGGTGGAGTCGTCCGACACCATCGACAATGTCAAGTCCAAGATCCAGGACAAGGAGGGCATTCCCCCCGACCAGCAGCGCCTGATCTTCGCCGGAAAGCAGCTCGAGGACGGCCGCACCCTCTCCGACTACAACATCCAGAAGGAGTCCACCCTCCACCTGGTCCTGCGCCTGCGTGGTGGTATGGCCAAGAAGCGCAAGAAGAAGGTCTACACCACCCCCAAGAAGATCAAGCACAAGCGCAAGAAGACCAAGTTGGCTGTCCTCAAGTACTACAAGGTCGACTCTGACGGCAAGATCGAGCGCCTCCGCCGCGAGTGCCCCTCCGACACCGTACGTTTACTTCCAATCCCTTACACTCCCGTTTCAACACTAACTCGTTCCAGTGCGGTGCCGGTGTTTTCATGGCCGCCATGAACGACCGCCAGTACTGCGGCCGCTGCCACCTCACCTACGTCTTCGACAAGAAGGAGTAAATTTCCTCTCTTGTTTCGCGGGCGCGAGGTTACGGAAAACAAAAAGCGACAATTCTGGGAGGATCGGTTCAGGGTTAGCATTCTAGTCGGCAGAAAGCCGCACACAAAACGGGGGCGTTGATGTACACATCACTGGCTGGCAATGACGATGCAATTTCATGACACTATGACCATCTCTCACTCTTTACTCTCCATCATGATTTGTGACGTGAAGCGATATTGCAATGTGTAACTATCTTGATGTCCGCAATGCATTTGATTCGTGACTTACTCTACCTGTCGACACCTCAGCCTGCGAACCCGTTCCGCAAATTGTCGTACTTGGTCTCGGGATACGTCAGACAGTTATCCCGCCGCAACAACCCATGCGGACCACCAAACGTATGAACCACATTCCCAATCAACGACTCGTGCCCAGGCTTATCAGCGCTGCTCTCCCACCACATGGCACCACCCAGCCCCCATCCCCGAATATACTCAGCCTTCTTCCTCGCCATGTGCACCGTATCATACGTGACCATCTTCCTCCTCCCCGCGTCATACGAGTAACTCGCACCCGTCTCCTCGTCATGATACTCCTGCGCGCCGGGCATCGGCAACACCTTGTAATCAAAGACGCCATTCTCCCAGCTCCCCTCCCCGACCCCAGAATACGGCGCGCCAGGCCCATCGGTATTCTCAAACGCGCGGCCGTACAGCGGCATCCCCAGCACGATCTTGTCCGGGGACACGCCGTGGGAGGTGTAGTGCGCCAAGGCGGCGGCGGTGCTGAACGGCGTCGAGCGCGGGTTCTGCCGGCAGGGTTGGAGGTTGGCCTGGTGGCCGGCGGTGGTGTCCCAGGAGCCGGCGTAGTCGTAGGCCATGAGGTTCCAGAAGTCGAGGAGGGGGTCCATGGCGGGGAGGTTGAGCTTCTGGTAGTTTTGGGCGCCGGCGGGGCAGGCGACTGTCAGCTCGAAGTGGTACCACTCTGGCAGGGTCGAGGCGTAGTTGTCCATGGCGGAGCGGACGGCCTGGAGGAGGGCGACGAAGTCGGAGGCTTCGGAGGGGGATTGGGGGTATTCCCAGTCAATGTCGATGCTGTCACGTTTGTTAGTAGGTCTGTCTGAGTAGTTGGGGGTAGGACACCCGGGGTGGGACTGGTAAACGCACCCGTCAAAGCCCAGATTCTTGATGAGGTCGACGCAGCTGCGGGCAAAGGTATCCCGGCCCTGGGGTGTGCTGGCGGGGGCCTTGAAGTTGCACGAGTAGGTCCAGCCGCCGACGGACAGGAGGATCTTGAGGTTGCGGTTGCGGCGCTTGAGGAGGTTGAGCTGCTTCATGCAGCCGTAGAGGTTTGTCCCGACGTCGTTCCAGCTGTCGCCCTCCCAGTGGATGTCGGTGTCGGCCCAGCCGTCGGTGAGGTGGACCTCGCCCGTGTCGGAGCGCACGTTGGCGAAGGCGTAGAGGATGTGGGTGAGGTTCTCGACGGGGAGGTCTTGGGGGCGGTGCTTGCGGGCGTAGATTGCCCTGACAGTCCGATGGTGTTAGTTACGTTTGGTTTGAGGGAAGTACGCAAGAGATCTGCTGATGACGTACCAGTTGACAAAGTAGGCTACCGAGCGGAAGCCTTGCACTGGACCGCCGCCCATTGTGTCTTTGGTGTTTGATTTGAAAAAGGGAATAGGTAGGTGAGTTAAGAGGTTCGTGTAGGTGTGTGTAAGGAAGATGGTGGTCAAGAGGACTATGGCAGAGGTGATGAGGGTTGTCGAGCGTGCGAATTGCATACAGGACAGGTGAAGTTCTTTGCCAAGATATTGACAGTGAGAGAGTGTGTTGTTTATAGACAACAGGTTGGCAGGAGGGAGGCAGACGGTTCTTATTGCTCGCTGGATGTGTTTGTCACTTTTAAGTCAGGTCAGGTTTATGCAACGTAAGGTAGCTCAAGGATAGCGGCAACGGTGATGCAGCTTGTCCGGGGACTTGGAATGAATGGCCCCGCGTTAGACAAATCCGATGGCCCTTGGGTCACAAATACGAGTGCGACACTGCCCCTCCTGGCCCCCTCTATTCCCAGCTGTGCCAGTGTCTTCCCGGGCTCTGTATGGATGCCGCGGGTGGTTGACCCAATATGCGGCGCAATGCTGCGCGCTGTTACTGGAGCTTGGAGCTGGGTGAGGCGCGAGTTGTCGTCAGCTCCCACAGCTGGCTCTCCTCTTGTGTGGCTTGAGCTGGCAACCTGGACGTCACTGGCAAAGCCACGGCTTGTGGCTGGACATGGACTAAGGTAAGGTAGTCTACATTTGTGCTGCACCTCTACGGCAGCCGGTAATAACAGGTAACTTACCTACTTTAAGGCACTTGGTGGGAAAGGAAGGTACCTTGGTTGGACTCTCGCTTCGCCTTGAGCAGGCGGGTGATCTGCAAGAACAAAGTACTTTATTACAAAGTGCGACGCTGAAAGACATCCGAGGGTTGCCTCCCATTGAAGCGCGTATTATGTAAGGAGACAATAACTATCGAAGCTTAGGTAAGGCTATCGCATTGAACCCCGGCACCTCTGGATTTTCGCATGTGGAGAGCACATGCCTGGGCCGTCCGTTGAGCACCGGCACTTCCGTGCTGTGGTGGGCGGGAATTGGCTGCCAACGGGATGTCGGAGACGGTGACAGACCGCCTGCATCGTCATGGGATGGCCCCAAAGTGCGGGTGGACGGCCGACATGGGACGAAAAAAGTGTTGAGAGCCCGAGCACCGACGATGGTTCTGGACCCTGGCGTAGGGTCTAATGTTGTTTTGTTCACAATTCGATGACGGTCAATATAGTCATTCTTGGGATTTTTATATGAGAATGAGCGATGTTTTAATGCGAAGCCATTCTCTGTCATAAGTAATTGGTGATGATGAGAATAGTTAGACTACCTTCAGGTGCCGACATGCGTCCTCCAGCCCGTCGCGGACAGCGTGTCGGGGAATTGTTTCCATCAAGTCTCCGATCTCCTACACGTTCCGAACTGAGTGATTGTCGGCAAAGGCTACTTTTGCAGTATGAAAAGAACAGCCAATTCGTTTCTTTATCTTTACACCCTGTAGGCAGTAGCAGAACCGTGGATAATTAGGAGAGGTGAACAAAGAAAAGTCTTTCTCTCCCCAGCAACACCTCGCATAGGGGGTGATGGAGTACCAGTAAAATAGACGCAGCTTCCCCCAAGATCCCAACAGGGTGGATCTCCAGAAAAGAACGGAAAAGGACAATACTGCCTTACCTAAGGCGCCAGTTGCAGGTCACCCGCGTATGACCTGGTGCCGCTATTCGTCGATTCGCCTGTCTGTCACTGCCAGCAATTGTGAACGATCTACTGCAGTACGCGGGATCCCAGGGTGTACCGGTGCGAATCAACCCCCCCATGTCTGGCCTTAAGGTACTGTAAAATTGATCTTACCCACTCTATCCGAAAATCCGCCTCTGCGCAAGCCACGGGGGAAATTGCTTCACAAGAAAAATCCCCCGACCGCCGCCCCGGCCGTCCGCTACCTATAAACCTTTTTTTTTCCTCCAGACTCTCCGGCCTCCCGCCCTTCTCCCGACTTCTTCTTTTTTCCTACTTTCTTCAATTTCGCATGCTCGACAGGTCTTGATCGGCTCTTGTCTTGTCTCTCACAACGCCTCAATCGCGAAAGGTGCACGCGACATATCGTCTCTGCCCTGAAGCCCCCTCCTCTTAGTCGTCATCCTGCTCGGTCAAAACACCCCCCTTTTTCGACCTCGAATATCGTTCAGACGTAACCATTTGTCACTACAACAACAACAACTTGCGACAATGACTGCTGCCGAATCGCCCATGGCTCAGTCTACCGCCCCGGCCTCGGCCGGCAAAGACCAGATCGCGACCCGCCGTCGTAGAAAGTCGAGCGTGCGAGGCCACGGCCACGGTCACGACGCCAACGCCCGCCAGCCCTCCAAGCAGGAGCAGCTCGACCGTCTCTCCAAGCGCAGCCGCGCCCGCGCCATCCTCCGCCGCTGCAAGCATATTGCCGTCAAGCACACCTGGACCACGCCCCTCGTCATGGTCCTGGTCTTCCTCTCCCTCTACGCCGTCAACCCCACCGAGTCCAACATCATCCACCACTTCATCTTCCTCTCCTACAAGATCCCCCAGCAAGGTCTCGACGCCGCCGCCGCCGGTGCCGACTCTGACGCGCCTGCGCAGTATGGAAAGGGTCTCTGGGATATCGCTTTCGTCTGCTTCTACGCCACAGTCCTCTCCTTCACCCGCGAGTTCATCATGCAGGAGCTCCTCCGCCCGCTCGCAAAGTCCCTCGGCATCCGCTCCCGCGGAAAGCAGCTGCGCTTCATGGAGCAGGCCTACACCGCCGTCTACTTTGGCATCCTCGGCCCCTTTGGGCTGTACGTCATGAGCCGCACGCCCGTCTGGTACTTCAACACCACCGGCATGTACGAGACGTTCCCCCACAAGACCCACGAGGCCGTTGTCAAGTTCTACTACCTGTTCGAGGCGGCCTACTGGGCGCAGCAGGCGCTCGTCATGCTCCTCGGTCTCGAGAAGCCGCGCAAGGATTACTACGAGCTCGTCGCGCACCACTGCGTGACGTTGGCTCTCATCGGCCTGAGCTACCGGTTTCACTTCACCTACATGGGTATCGCTGTCTACCTGACCCACGACATCAGCGACTTTTTCATGGCAGTAAGTTCTACTTGCAAGATACGTGCAAATTCCAGTCGACGCAACGCAACTGACACAACCTCCTCTCCAGATGTCCAAGACCTTCAACTACGTTGACGCACCCATCACCGGTCCCTGGTACTGCCTGTCCCTCGCCTCGTGGATCTACCTCCGCCACTTCATCAACCTCAAGATCCTGTGGTCCATCCTCACCGAGTTCTCCACCGTCGGCCCCTACGAGCTCAACTGGGAGACCCAGCAGTACAAATGCCTCCTCTCTAAGATCATCACCTTCAGCCTGCTTGGCCTCCTCCAGTCCCTCAACCTCTTCTGGCTCTTCTTCCTCGTGCGCATCGGATACCGCTACGTCTTCCAGGGCGTCGAGCAGGACGACCGCTCCGAGGCCGAGGAGTCCGAGGCCGAGCCCATGGAGACCATCGACGAGGTGGCCAAGATCGACGTCGCGCCCGTGGCGGCTGCTGCTGGCGGGGAGGCTGCGCAGGCTGTCGCGAACGGCGTGGCTAAGGCGGCTGGCGGGGGTGGCATCGCGTCGCGAACCAGGAGCCGCCGCGCTGCGTGAGGCAGGGCAACTTTTGAGGCGGTTGGGAAATGGGCTTGACGAATTCCTATGGTTCTGAGCTACCTGCGTACAACTTTTTGGGGGCGAGCATCCTTTTGCTCGGACTTTTGTACATGTATCATATTCTTCATTTTAATAACGCCTAATGTGTAATGACAACAAACATTGATCACCAATTTCATCTCATCGCATCCACAGTGACATGTGAATCTCTAATCAACTAAAGAGTCATTCAAAAACAATCAGGCGCGGCGGTGTAAGCCAGGCAGAATCACTCGGCGCTACCTATCTGGATTCATGATGTCATTGGACGTTAGACTTTCTTGGACCAATACCCCGCGACGACACCTCCGCCAGATGCCGGAAGCGACGGGATTGGAGACGATTCCTCCTCCGGTTTAACAGCCTGTTGGAATTTGTTCGGGGGCTCCGGGAGTTGGTTCTGCATATTCGGGAGGGATGCTTACAGAGTCTGGCCGGGGAGAGCGAATCAAGAATCAGTCATGTGGTGAATTTGCTGGCGTATTTGAATTGGTAGAGGAGGTGGTGTAAGGGTGCTTGAGGTGTTTTCTTGGTGGCATGTGATTGGTATGATGATAAGCTGGCGTTGTAGCATTCGATGAGATTGATTAGCTATTTGATAGTGAGCTGGACGAAAACTGGATGAACGATATTAATACTGATGGATTCACTGAGTGGTTTACTTGAAATGGACAGTTGGTTGAATGTTCCGTATGCTTGCCCTGAAGATTGAAATTAATGAGATGAGAGTCTTCGAACATACTAAAACACTACTTCAATGTTGAATTTGAATCAACATTCAAATCACCAAGAAAATTCACAACTCCACAACCATAAGGCTTATTAAGGCTTTAAAACATCAAAATTGAAAAGAGAGTCTTGGAGAGTTACTAGAAGACTTTCAGTTAATTGAAAAAGTCTTGATTGGGGTAATGCTGAGCTATTCGTAGAATTCTCGAGGTTGGGACTAACAACCATGGAAGCACCAGAGTCAAGCCGCTCAGTTCGCTGGATGCAACACATGTACATACAGGTAAAAATACATGGGAATTGACATAAACCAAGAGGTGAATGTATTTCTCAATGTATTTAAACAGTTTCCATGAAATGATTATATCCTCGTGTGAAGATAGAGTCACTCTACTGCCGCTCTCCTGTTGACCACTGAGCAACATCAAGTGTTGAGCCACACCAGCCCGGAGCCCAGCCACAGATGCTGCCCCACCATCGGCTGCCGGCGTCGTCTCATGCCGGAGGCCATCCACGTGACCCTCCACCACCCACACCAACGAGACGCCTGGCCCGAGCGTCAGCATTGGAGCTCCAGAAAAATTTCCAATTGACACCAGTGGGGGGAAAGGAAAAATTGAAGAAAAAAAATCCGACCTTTGGATACTTTTTTTCGACCTCTCTTTTTTTGACCAGCGCTGTCGACTCGCCTCTGCCCACCCACAATAACTTCCGCGAGGCTTGATTGTCCGGTCCCCCCCCTCTCCCGCGCCAACGAACATCAAGACCAGAGAGTGAGAGAAAAAGAGACAGGTTTTCAAAATGGCTGCGATCAACTACCTCCTCTACGAGGCCCCCATGGGCTACGGTGTGTTCCAGATCGAGCACCAGCCCGACAGCATTGGCCTGCGCCAGAAGGAGGCTCAGGAGACCATTGCCGACCTTTCCAAGTTTGGCAAGATGGTTAAGCTGGTCAACTTCACTCCCTTTGAGTACGGCTTCCCCAATTTCGCGAATTGAGTGCAGTGGTGGTTTTGGTGGTAGCTGAAGGCTGGAGGCTGGAGGCTGCGCGAAGGAGGGGATCTCTCGAAAGCGCGTCTTGGATGCGGGACCACAGTATTGGAGACAAGAATGAAGAATACCTTGCTGACAATGCCCTTCTTACAGCACCGGAAAGCAGGCACTTGACGAGATCAACCACATCTCCGAGGGTCTCATGTCCGACCACCTCAAGTCCGTCCTCGAGCTCAACCTCCCCCAGACGAGCGGCAAGAAGAGCAAAATCACCATCGCCGTGGCCGAGAAGAACCTGGCCTCAGTGATCAAGAGCACCTTCTCCGGCATCGACTGCGAGACCTCTGAGACCTCCGAGGTCGCCGGCGACCTCCTCCGCGGCGTCCGCCTGCACGCCGACCGCCTCCTCAAGGGCCTGCAGACGGGCGACTCGACCGCCGCCGGCCTCGGTCTCGGCCACTCGTACTCGCGCGCAAAGGTCAAGTTCAGCACCACCAAGAACGACAACCACGTCATCCAGGCCAGCGCCACCGTCGAGTTCCAGGACAAGGGCGTCAACCAGTTCTTCATGCGCGTGCGCGAGTGGTACGGCTGGCACTTCCCCGAGCTCGTAAAGATCGAGTCGGACAACCTCACCTACGCCAAGCTCGTCCTCGCCATCGGCGACAAGGCCACCCTCACCGACGACCGCCTCCACGACATCGCCGCCCTCGTCGAGGAGGACGGCGAAAAGGCCCAGGCCATCATCGACGCCGCAAAGGTCTCCATGGGTCTCTCCATCACCCCCGCCGATCTCGAGATCGTAAAGGGCTTCGCCGAGGCCGTCGTCGCGCAGGCCGAGGCCCGCCGCTCGACCGCAAACTACCTCGACAAGAAGATGTCCATCGTCGCGCCCAACCTGCAGACCCTCATCGGCACCCCCGTCGCCGCCAAGCTCATCTCCCACGCCGGCTCCCTGACCAACCTGTCAAAGTACCCGGCCTCGACCCTGCAGATTCTCGGCGCCGAGAAGGCCCTCTTCCGCGCCCTCAAGACCAAGAGCAACACCCCCAAGTACGGTCTCATCTACCATAGCAGCTTCATCGGCAAGGCCGCCGTCAAGAACAAGGGCCGCATCTCCCGCTACCTCGCCAACAAGTGCTCCATTGCCAGCCGTATCGACAACTACACCGAGAACCCCAACACCAAGTTCGGTGAGGCCCTCCGCCAGCAGGTCGAGGACCGTCTCGAGTTCTACGCCACCGGCAAGAAGCCCGCCAAGAACTCCGACGTCATGGTAAGTTGCTTACACCCACATTCATCCCCGAATCATCATGCTAACATACCTCAAAGGCCTCCGTTTTGGAGCAAGTCGAGGGCGACCTCACGCTCGACGACGCGGAAATGGTCGACGCCGTCGCCGAGGACGTCAAGAAGGAGAAGAAGGAGAAGAAGGAAAAGTCCAAGGACAAGAAGGAAAAGAAGGAGAAGAAGCGCAAGCGCGAGTCCGAGGTCGGCGCCGCCGAGCCCGAAAAGGCAGACGGCGAAAAGAAGAAGAAGAAGAAGTCCAAGTCCAAGGATGAGTAAAGAACGACCTGTTGTTTTCTGTACAACCTCGTCTTCTTTGCACATACCCCCATCTACCCCAACCTTGTTCCAAAAAAACTTCTTCTGGGCTCTTTTTTTCAAACGTAGGTCTGGCGGCAAGCACCTTAGGCATCATTCCCGGCTTCTCTCTCATCTTGTTATCTACCTGTGGCTTTTTTTTCCTGTTCTTGTTTCTTTTTTTTCTTGGGAGTTTTATGGGGGGAAATGAGAGAAAAACCGGGCTTATTTGAACGGAGTTTTTGGGCTTTGAAAAAATGTTAATGCATCATTCTACAATATGTGTGTATGTACAGTTGAAACAACAACCGAACCCATACCCCCATAATCCCGTCTGCCCCTTGTTCAGTCTACCATGATGAGTGAACGTGGCTCAGTGAGAGTTCCTTGACTGAGTTGTCTCTTGGCTTGGGTCTGACCTGACTTCAGCAAATGGCAACTAGTCCATCAGAGACCCATCATTTCTCCAGACCATCACTTCCCCCAAAGATCCAAATCTTCTTGAGTCTCATCCTTATGGAAGGCCAACTTTTTAGATTGTACGCCGTTCCGAGAAGGGGGCAGAATAGAGGTTGCAATGCAGTAGAAACTAAGAAAAGGGAACAATAGACAAAAAAGAGTAATACGTTTGATATTTCCCCCAACCCAAAATGCCGGCCGTTTCAACGCCAGAGGACGCCCCCAACTCTCGACCACAGCCCCATCCACCCCCCGTGTACACCACCCATACCATCCCAAATAGTTTCTGTTTCTTTCCATTCTTTCGTTCTCATTTGAAGTAGCTTCCAAAGGTCTTCTTGTTCTTTCAAATAAACCACCCACCACTCCATCCACAGCAAAAAGAAGGTCCTCTCATGCGCCCTCGCTACCAAACTCGTTTGTCCACTCTATTTGCTTGGCGGCATCGTCGTCGGAAACGGTGGGATGCGAGTCCCTCAAGGCCTGCTTGAAGTCCTTGAGCTCGATGATGGGCGCCATCAGCTCCTCCGAGTCGACGTCGTGGTACGTCATCTCCTTGGCTTGGGGGTCGCCGGGCGAGCAAGGTGTCAGCTTCTTCTGGCCCTCGTGAACAACCTGAACACAGTTAGCATCATTCCATCTCTAACACATGACAGAAGTCGAGGCAGCATACCGGCTTAAAGTGTGTGGCTTGGATAATCTTGCGGACAGGCCCCATCAAAGCCTGCTGCACCACGTTGGCGATATCACTACCAGAGAAGCCCTCCGACAGCTCGGCCAGGACGCGGTAATCGTCCGCTTGGAGGTGCGTTTCCGTGTCGCCGACGGCCAGCTTGAACATGCGCGCGCGGCCGTTGACGTCGGGGAGACCAATGTGCACGCGGCGCTGGAAACGTCTGCGGATGGCGGCGTCGAGCTGCCAGGGGATGTTGGTCGCGCCCAGGACCAGGATGCCCTTGCTGTCGTTTCCGACACCGTCCATCTGCACGAGCAGCTCCGTCTTGATACGTCTTGACGCCTCGGACTCGCCTTCGCCGCGGGGGCCGCAGAGGGCGTCGATTTCGTCAATGAAGAGGACCGAGGGCTTGTTTTCTCTCGCCATGCTGAAGAGGGCCTTGACGAGCCTGTTTTGTTATGTTAGCGTACTGCTTGCGTGTTTGCGCAACCGTTAATCAACTGACCTCTCACTCTCTCCCATCCACTTGCTGACGAGATCGGAACTGCTGACACTGAAGAATGTGCTGTTTGCCTCCGTCGCGACCGCCTTGGCCAGATAACTCTTACCCGTTCCAGGCGGACCGTAGAGGAGAATACCCTTCCACGCCTGACGCTTGCCCTGGAACAGTGACGGGAACTTGATGGGCAGCACGACGGCCTCTTTCAGAGTATCCTTGGCGCCCTCGAGACCGGCGACGTCGTCCCACCGCACATTGGGCCGCTCCTGCAAGATGGCGCCGCTGAGTGCGTTGCGCAGCTTCTTATTGTCCTCATCACCATCATCGGCGCTCCCCTTACCCTTGCCGCCGCCATTAACGCCCACGGCCCCGGGTTTGTTCCCGCCCCCGCCGCTCTTTTTACTCTCTGCTTCGTTGAGGTATGTTTTGAGCTTCTCGGCGCGGTCCATGTACTCGGCTGTCTTTTGGCGGATGAGTTCCTTTGACTTTGGGTTCTTCTCCCACTTGACGGCGAGGACGAAGAGCTCGAGCGACTTTGTGTATAGTTGGAAGGCCTTGTCGTACTCGGCGGCGTTGTCGGCATCGATGGCCTGCTTGACCGTGCTAATGGCACGGCCGAGGAAGTCGGTGATTCCCGACATTGTTGGCTGTGGGTTGGCTTTTGTTTCTCGAGGGGCTCGGCGATTAGGCGGCGTGGAAGAGGTCGGATTTCGTGACAAGGTGGAAAGAGCGGGGAAAGCTCTCTCGGTGTGAACGTCGTCGTGTTCGTCAGCGTCTTTGGCTAATCGCTTCGGGATCGGACGTCGGAGGATAGAAGAATCGGTAGGATCCCGAGGAGGTCTTCGGTGCCTGGCGCAAACGGGTGGAGGGTTGGAAGTTTGGACGGGCGAGGAACCTTGAGGAAGCACTTGCGGGCGTGGATTCTGTGACGTTGCCTGGGCAGTTCGTGATGGACCGCTGCGCTAATCGGGGTGCCTTGGGCAGGTGGTGGGGGTGGGGGACTTGTCTGGGTTACATGAAGATATATGCTTAGATGCATCAAGCTTATACATGCATAACGTTCTTCCGGCCACCTGTTGAAGGCTATACGACCAAATATGACATAGCATAAAGGCTGAGAGGTAAGCAAAAGGCAAAAAACAAATGCAAATTCTATTACTGAAAATCTCGCATTGAAAGAAAAGAAGAAATATTCTTTGACTCACAAAAAGCTCAAGTGTTTCGCATCCTCTGAGACTTACTTCCCGCCGAGGCCCGTATACCTGCCAAGTGGGTTGCTTGATATTCGACTAAACGGTATCTTGATTGTCTGTCACCACTGCACCGAATGCTGAGTCGAGGTACCAAGTATTTTCTCGCAGACCACCGCCCAAAAGTCGAAACAAAACGAATTATTCCTCAGAGCCTTGGCATTTCGGCGGCATCTGGCTCACAGAATCATCTCATATCAGAACCGTTGGACCGATCTGCGGCATTCATCCCGACGTTTTTCGCCCCGTCCAGCTCTCTGATTTGCAATTTTCACACTCACCTTCAGTGAACCCCTCACACTCATACTCATACCCCAACCATGGCTGAGGTGCAAGCAAAGCTGCAAAAGCTATCGGAGGAATACCAGGCGCTACAACAGGGTACGTGGTCGGAAACAGGTGATTAGTGACGCGTTATTTGCTAATGTCTCATTAGAACTTCAGACCACCGTCCAGTCGAGGCAAAAGTTGGAGGCTCAGAGGCAGGAGAACCTTGGTGTGAAAGAGGTAGGCAAGCCTTAGGAGCTGACGTTCACGACCACACGGCTGATGTATCTTTCAGGAGTTCGACAAGCTCAAGGATGGCGAGCAGATCTACAAGCTGGTCGGCCCCGTGTTGCTGAAGCAGGATAAGGTGGAGGCCGAGAGCACAGTCAAGGGCCGTCTGGACTTCATCACCAAGGAGATGTACGTGCATCACCAGAGATTTTCGTCAAGCAGACTTTGTTTACTGACATTCACCAGCGAGAGACATGAAGGCTTGATCAGAGACGCCCAGGGCAAGCTGGAAAAGAAGAAGGGCGACATCATCCAAATCCAGACCAGCGCACAAGCTGCGGCGGCTCAGGCACAGAAGGCATGATCAGGGTGAGGGCAACAGCAGTGGATGAACGGGATCAGGAAAAGAAAAAAGCAAACAAAATGAAGGTCTGATGAGAGTGGTGATACAATTAAAAAGCTACTAGGACTATGAACTATACCCAGCAATGCTCCGATAAGATTCCTTTACAAAAACGCCATGCTAATGCGACCCTATCCCGGCGGCGATACCCTCGCCACGCGAGATCCCAAAACGTTTCATTATAGCAGTCATGATCATCTGCGCCATCCTAGCCTTCTAGTTGAGGGCCATGATGGAAAAGCCCCACGGCAAACCCATGTTGCGCGCGGGCAACTCGGTCGCCCAGCCAATGGCGTTCTGGTACTCGTCCTCGGACGTGAACTCCGCGTCGTTGACTTTCCCCTCGACGGCGCCCATGATGAGGTCGGCAATCTGGCTCGTCGTGTAACAGCGCCCAAAGATGCGGCTCTCCTCAATGGTGCGAATCATGGCGGAGCGGAGCTCGCACTCTGCGAACCGCTGGACCTCGCGGTCGAAGCTGGCCTGCGTGACGGGGCCCTGGTGATGCGCGGCGAGCTTCTGGAAGAAGGCGACCATGCCGGCGATGGCCTGGGCGAGCATGTGCGCCTTTGTGGCGTCGTCGAGGTAGCTGGCCATGGAGGAGGAGTGCTGCTCGATGAGGCCGTGGACGTCGTGGTCAAAGGTTGCGTGGACGACCTTGGAGATGCTGTCTGGGGTGGAGAGGATGCCTTCCGCGTCTTGGATGGCGAAGGTCTTTGCGATTTCGGCGTAGCATTGGGAGAGGGTTGTCCAGAGGGAGACGTTGTTTTGGACCGAGGCCTTGCCCATGCTTAGTGTGAAGTGGGACATTGTGCTGTCGATGCTTTCTGGGCGAGTTGTTAGTTCCTGGTATGATTCTGTGTTGGGTAGGGCGGCTTACTTCTGCAAGTGGTGGAAGACATGGTGGCGGTGATATATGTGAGGTCTCACGATGATTTGGTGATGAAGTTGGTTATAAATGGAGTAGATGGATGTAACACTTGTGGTATTGTGATGAAGATGGATGAAGATAACCAAGCAGATCTAAGAAACCTCACCATCAACAAAGGCGGAAAACTTCTCCTTTAATCTCGTCTGGATTGTAGCCTTGTGGCCTCATCGGGAGATTCTTCCATGCCCAGCCAGGATGGCTCAGATGGTGGCCATCCCTGAATCTGCCATGGCCGGACGGACGAACACATGGCAAGGACTAGTCGACATTGGGTCCCCAGTCTTTGCGGGAGATGCCCGGCGGCGACCCCCATTTGGCATCAACACTTGCGAATTGCAAAAGCAAGGCGGGAAAAAAAACAGGAGCTCGAGTGCGGTCATGTCCTCCACATTCCCGCAAAAACATCAAGCCATCTCGCCGTCAGATTTGGGTTGGATGGCAAGATGCGATAGCTGATAACCTGACGACTCGGCACCGCCACGGCCGCAACTTGAGACAATGGAAAACGAGGTATCGTCCGCCACAGTAACAATAAACAGGGACTTGAACGTAGAGTCTCCAGACCGCTAATGATCTATCTCACTTTGGCAGCTGGATGGCTCCCTCGCTCACCGGCGACCAGCGGAAAGGAAAAATAGCGTGGGGGGCAAGCCGTGTATTCGACTCAAGCAACGGGAAAACATGCACGTCAAGCAACATGCGACCCGGTTCAAGCAGGCGGTGGAAGCAGTCGAGCATGGTGCCATGTTGAGACCCGAGCCGCAAGAGGATCAATGCGGATGGAACCAGGGAACGTCAGGAACGGCTTCACCGGCCCGCCTGGGCGCAATTCGGGTTGCTTTGGTTTTCCTACCTTGCCAGCTTGCCAGCTTGGCTGGATAATTACCTTATTCGTGGTAAAGCTGAGTGGTTGGCGAAAAAGTAGTACGAAAAATTGGGCGCGTTCCGACATTTTCCGATCTTGGAATGAGGCGAGCGTCTGGCCCCCTTCCAACCTTGCTCGTCGGTGTCCGTTGGGTTGGCGGGCAAACGAGAGAGCTCTCGTAAATCGAACGGAAATACGGGCGAAGTGACGTCTATGTACAGTTTGTGTTGTAGCTCGATGAGGCCCTGATGCTTGAAATTTTCATTGCATCGTGGCAAAGCAATGGATCATGGAAGACTTCGAATTTCTGGTTCATATTGGATTCCCAGCTCAGTGACATCCATTCTTGGAGTGGATCTGAGACAATGGTCCGGATCCTCCCGCAAATGACAGCTCAACAAAGCCGCAAAGCGTGAACCTTGCTGTTTCTCACCTTGAACTGCCTTTGTTCACCATCCTCGGCGACAATGATGACATAAGGTGATGTTCGGTGAAGTATGGATCACGTGCCTAGAGCTTTGTCCACGTGATGCACTTCCGAACGGGGCCCGAGCTCTCTCCCGTGCCCCTCCATTTGGTGCGGACCTTGTCGGTTCCCCCCCCATCCATGGCGGGGTGCTGCTGGGCGTGTGCTTCAGGCTTCAGGCTTCAGGCTTCAGCCACGAGTGGCTCCTCTAGCGCTTCGTCATACGGTCCCTGGGACGAAACTCGCAAGACGTCTTTGACCAAACGGTCACCCGCTTGCTACCTCAAGGCTGCCACGCTTGGCCTTTTATTCTGAGAAACATGCCAACATCTCCCTGAACGGTGTTTGTCACCACCAGCGACCGAATATCCAACGAGGCACCCCCGAGCTTGAACAGCACTACACAGCGAAAGCCGGACCGGAGAGCTCCAACTCCTCCGACACCACCAAGATGAACGGCCCTTCGAGTCCCAGGCCCGCGCGGCCCATGAGCATCAAGGAAATTACCCTAGCAGCAGAGGATTTCGACTTTAGGACTACAATTCCCTTCAAGTACTGGGCGCGATCTGCAGATACCTTGTTTCAAGAGGTTTGTGCCCCATTTCGGTTGTTCGTTTGCCTGCGCAGCGATCGCTAATGACAATGCGATTTAGGCGACCTTCGCGCTTCAGGATCGCGACATACGAAAAGCATACCAAATGCTATGGCGACACTCGATACTAGTCCTTACGCACTTGAAAACACATCCCGATGCCAAGTTACCCGAAAACAAGGCGCTCACGAAGCCGCTGTTCGATCGCCAGAACAAGGAGGTTTTCGGGCTACTGGAGGAATTGAAGCCGCAAATCGACCGCGATTACAAGGAATGGCAGTTGATGAGTGCTTCGAAGCAGAGTGAAGATGACGAATTCACCACCAGACCCACAAGTTACAACGAGTTTGCTGCTCGAGACCCGACCTTATCCGGAAACGCCAAGATCCTCGACGCCGCCGATAACCAGGAACTCGCAGTCTCTTTGGCGCAACGAGACTACAAGAGGCGAGATGCTGCAAGGAGAGCGACGCGGCAGGCCGGCGTTAGCGCCGAAGAAGAGCAGGAGCGCCGGAAGGGTGGCCGCTGGGAGGACTGGGAGCAATTCAGCAGCCCAGCGACGGCCGCATCAGAGGAGGAAGACATAAGGCGACAGATCGAGGCGACACGGCGTCGGCTCGATGGAACTGACGGGGGAAGAGACGAAGATACCTTCAGCACTTCGCAAGCTCCGAATTACCAAGGCCAGGTACCCCCGCCGAGAGCTCCTCCCAGCTACTCATACAACTACCCGTCTATATCGCGACCAAGGGCGCTGGAATGGGAGGCGTCGCCTTTGGAACCGCAGCGCACGTACACGCCGCCACCGCCTCAGCCACCGAAGCCGCCAAAGGAGGACTTGACGATGATGCGCCAGGAGCTCGATGCGGCACCTCCCATGAGGCCAAGCAAGGAGCCATTAACGTCCTACAGGCCGCCGTCAACAGCCAACGCGCTACAGGGAGGCGTTCCGGAGTTGCCAGCCAAAGAGGAGGTGATGCCACCGGCGGCAAAGGAGCGGCTGGCCTTCAAGCCGGCAGCCTACCTGGAGAATGGCGACCCTATCCGACCCGTGTTCCTTCCAACACAGCTCAGGGATACCTTCCTCAACATTGCATCCGACAACACTCGCAGAGGCCTCGAAATGTGCGGTATCCTTTGTGGACGACCCGTTAACAACGCACTGTTCATCAGCTGCCTTCTTATCCCCGAACAAAAGTGCACGCCGGATACGTGTGAAACGGAAAACGAATCATCAATGCTGGATTACTGCATCAATGAGGATCTTTTGGTGGTGGGCTGGATTCATACGCATCCCACGCAGACGTGCTTTATGAGCTCGCGAGACCTACACACGCAGGCCGGGTACCAGGTCATGATGCCAGAGAGTATCGCCATTGTGTGTTCTCCGAGGCATTCTCCATCGTAAGTTGCACCTATTTCTTCGCACACATGACAACGGCTAACGCAGCATCAGATATGGCATCTTCCGCCTTACAAATCCGCCAGGCCTGCCTCACATCCTGCAGTGCACGGCGTCGGAAACCTTTCACCAGCACTCCATCGATAACCTGTACACCGGAGCGAAAAACCCGCCGGGTCATGTTTACCACTCGGAGAAGCTTGACTTTTACGTGAAGGACTTGCGACCGAAGAGGTAAAGGAGGAACCGACATGTTTGCCTTGATGGTGAATTAGAGAGCTACTAGCCCGTTCAGCTCAGGGCGGTCGGCATAATCGATGAACTGCTGCCACTGTTGATGACGTATCAGTGGTGAGAGATGTATGGAGCAACACTGTTCCAGTCTGCAGTTCAAGTATGGGTTCCGGGCTACCTTTTGATTTGTTGCATGGCGAGGGCGTTGGACAGCTGATAGCTATGGGGTGCGGGTATGCTCATCGAGCAACTCAGCTGGCACGAATGACAATGTCGGGACTCCGCGGACTGTACAATGCAGAGCCACATGGCAGTACGGTCGAACAATGTCACGGCTCAATGTGATGAAGAGCACGGCTGGACGTGTCTCATCCGAGCTCGAGGCCCAGACCGTGGTGGGCCATCCAACCTCAGATAGCCGAGAGGGAGAGTTGTATGAGCTTTTTATCTCATGAACACCTTGCTTACTATGTAGGGGCTGGAGCAAGCAAGTCCCTCTCAGAGTTTCGCAAGAAATGACTGAAATGAAATTCCAAATTAGGCCAGAGCGCTGTGTCTTGCATTGTCCGTCCCATGATTTTGATCGTGTCCCGTCGAGCTCACCTCCCACTGTCCGGAAGACTTTGGCCGGGTGTCGTAGCTCGGCGAACCATGACGTCACTGCCGCGGTCTAGCAACCTCTTCTACATGTGAGCTAAACAACTCACTCTCATTCTTTATAAACATCAACACGTCCTTACGCACCATATTGTCACGAGAAGAGGAATTTCTCACAAAAAAGATACGACCAAAACATTACGTCGGAAAGGAAAGCAAACCAACAACGAACTACAGAATGGCGTTCCCGACAAACATGCTGGGCATCCTCATCGCCCTCGTCAGCGCGTTTGCCCTCGTGCACTCGGCGGACTCGATCCCCAGACTACTCAAGTACGAAGACAAGGCGAAGAAGGCGGCGGAATGGAGCAGGACGGCCGAGAAGCAGCTTTGGGAAATTAGATATACTGTCGGAACAGGCTTCGTTGGCGTACGTCCCGCCCCCTCTCTTACATCACTTCTCCCCCTCCCACTCACTCACTCTCTCACACTCACACTCACTCTCACTCTCATTCTTACTCTCACTCTCACTCTCCACCAGAACCATGGTATACTAACGCCCCATCTCCCGCAGTGCCTCGTCTCCGCCATCGGCGGCATCGCCTTCTCCCTCGTGGTGCCCCGCGGTCTGGGCATCTTCACCGTCGGCTTCCCCATCATGCTCGCCGCGGGGCTGACGTACGGACACCAGTACATGCGACAGTTCTGGGCTTCGAAGCCCAAGGTGCCGATGATGAAGGATTTCAACGAGGCGATTTCGGACTCGATGATGGTGCAGGATATGATGAATCCCTTGGCTGGCGCGTGGGGTCTCATGACGTTTTGCAAGCTTGTTGGGTTGTAGATGGGCTATCGTCTCGAACTCTGGTTTCTTAGGGGATAGGAGTTTATTTGCACAGCGCTGGTTCTTGTTCCGTAGACCGATTTGGGTCCTCAACATAAAGCATCGCATTAACGGCGTCCTGACTTTATCGGTTTATCTCATCATCTACATCACGCCCTCGCATCCCTCCTCATATAAACCCACGAATACCGCCCCCAAAACTCCTCACTCCCCGTGACACTAGCCAACTTCCCACCAGGCTTTACCCCGTCCGCAAACTCATCCAGATCCGCCTCCAACCTGCCCACCTCGCGGAACCCCTGCCTCTCAAACGCCTTCTGCCCGCCCATGGACGACTGAACCCAGCAGTACACCCCCGGCTCGCGATCCGCCTTGTCGGTGCCCCACTTCATCAGCGCCGAGCCGATGCCGCGGCGCTGGTGATCCGGGTGGACGACGTAGGTGCACAGGAACCTGCATTTGCAGCCCTCGGGCATGAAGCGCTTGACCCAGTGGTTCATTGATGCGTTTGTTAATTCGCCGAGGTCGTCTATCGTCTTAGTTCTCTGCTTCTGCTCCGCGTCCGTGAAGAAGGTCTCGGGCTGGGGTTCTTCGTCCGGTCCGTCGAGGGGGAGGTCAGTGTCGCCCGCGAACCCGCGCCTTACCCATCCAACCCATCCCACAGGTCCGCCGTTTGTCGGGTTCTCGGCGACAATGACGTCGACTTTGGGGTGCGCGATCCAGGCTTGCAGCGCGTCTTGCATGCCCTTGGGAAAATCGTCGTCGCCGCGGATGGAGGCTTTGAGCTGGGTGTGCGAGTCCGTTTTGCAGGCTGCGTCGGAGATGGATGCGAGGGCGGGGATGTCGGCTTCTGTTGCGGGGCGGAGGGTTACGGTGGCTTTGGCGGGACGGGAGGCCGCTGCTGTGGTCGGTGCCGTGGCGGTTGCCGGTGCCGGTGCGGCGGAGGTGGTGGATGGGGAGGATGCCATGGCTTTGCAGGAGCTTGGCGCTGGGGTGTCGGGCGATGGGATGAATGACGGACGCCGGGTGCGGGGACTTGAAGGGCTTGGCACGGGGTGAGGATGTTGTAAAGGGGGGGATGACGGACGGGGAGGGCCGGTCGAGGTGCTTTATTTTGCTTGGGTTTGGGACCTTGGGTTTGTTCATGCTGTATGCTGGGTAGCCCCCGGGTAAGCTGACCGGGTGACTCAACCGGGGAGTGGAGGGCCGGCATTCCCGATACGGATGGTGGAAGACAGAGAGATAGGACTTGGGAGCAGTTTGTTGATCAATTCGATACATTCTGCACACACATCTAATTACGTGTAGTAAGGTAAGTCATATGAAGCTCAAATCCGTCGAATCTATTTAGCAACATATTATCAGAGCCATGCCTTCACTACCTAATTACTACCAGGTGCATGTAAACTTAGTACCGTAAAGCACTTGCAATTCCTATGCGTTTTTCTCTTCTCGTAGTAGCGCACATGTATGTGCATCTAATACTACTCGTGCTTCGCTCTAAGTGGCTGGATTTACAGCACTCATTGTCGATGACGACGCAGTCGCATTGGAAGACCCCCAGACCATTGGAATATATGGTTCGTGAGTGATCGGGGTCGCGTCCTCGAACGACGTCGGTAGCGGCATCGGACTGGGGTAGACCACTGTCTTCGTCTTCGTTGCTGGGTCCGCACTCGTTGGCGTGCCAGACTGTGACGACGGTGCCGCGATCTTGCCCAGACCCGAACCTTTGCATGGGATTTTTGGCCCTCCTGCAGATACGATGGCACGCTCAACACAACCATCCGCCATGAAGAATGGCAGATAGAAATGGACTTGAGCCCCTCTGGTGCTTGTGGCCTCTTCCCAGTTCCAACCTGTCATTGCACCGCAGCCGCCTTCTTCTTCCTTGAGCTTCTTCCCGCCATCGGTCACCCAACCCTCGATGTTGTAAATCTCAAACTGCCAGGCTACGAGGGAATCCCAGAACGCGCAGTCCGCCGTTGGTGTTGGAGTTGGAACTGGGTCTGGAGTTGGCTCCGGAGCGGGAGGCGGCGTTGAGGTTGGATCTGGCGTATCGTCGATAGGCTGATCCCCGTCGGCTGGGTCTAGGTTGTCTGCCGGATCGGAGCAGTCCTGTCCTACGAGAGCACAATTATCCTCGTCGTCATTCCCGCATCCTAGATATAGGAAGGCGCTCGGATCCAAGAAGCTGCCTGCCGCTGCTCGGCGCGGCGTCTGAGAAAGACCGGTGCTGACATTATGACTAGTTTTAGCCGGAGGAGGAGCAGCACCGACGGGGTTCAAGTGGTAGGGGGCAGGCACAACCATTTCCTCTGGTCCCTCGTCCTCTGGCTCGTCGATTGTTTCAAGCCGTCCGTCCGATGTCGTGATGTTTGCCCCTTGTCGTGCGAGCTCCTGTACCTCGGCAGGTGTGAGCTCTGTCAGGCCACGTTTTGCCCCACGTATGCTTCTCCTCATCATCGCAGGACCCGAGTAGCCCGGATAGTTATCACATGAATACCACTTGTTGCCTCTAACACGGTTGCGGCGCACAACATTTGGGTGCGGTTGCCACGCATTGGCTTGATCATCCCAATAGGATTTTCCGGGTGCTGGATACTTGCAATAGAAGCTCGGCAACTGGTTCGTAATAGTCTTGACGGTCACACCCTTTTTGTCCACATTGATCCTCGTTGTTTTATCAAAGAGCTTATTGTCCCACCAGGGGTCGTAGGATCTCTCTCCTGCGTTCATCTGGGAAACATGGTTGACGAAAAGGAATGGGACTCCATATGGCCTCGCACAGATGTTGACCCTCTTAGCTTCGTTCTGGTTGTCCGCGTCAACATAGAAGTCGGCATCACTCGTTCCCGAGGGGCCATTGGTGAAAGAAACTGAGAAAATGAGGCCCTTGGCTTGCTCCAAGCTGTTCCTGCCCTGTTCCTTGTACCAGTCCTGGAGAAAATTGCCATGGTCGCCGTTTTCTGTTGTAGGTATAAGACGTAAGACAGACTGCTCATCCCATCTCTTGAGATTAGGACTGCGATTCGGGTTTCCGCTTCCCCAAGGGTATTCTTCGACTTGGCAGCCGAAAAGACCCCAACCCTCCCCTTTAGCATTAGGCGCTGATTTAGGGTTGGTGGGAGAGTACATCCCAGGCCCCGATTCCCACTTGGACCTGTACCACGGCTCTGTGATTTTCTCCATGGCCCCAACGCGAGCATTGGTGCCGGCGTAAGTCATGATTGGAGACTTGTTGCGACTGACAATGGCAGACTGGGCATTGGCGCAGACGTTTGGCCATCTGCTGTAGTCGCAAGTGAACACAGAATGGTAGAGACCGTTGCTTGGAGGGTTGTTGGGATAGTCAGGGTCGACACCACATGCCGCCTGTCTTCGCTCGAGGGGTGACTGACGCTTAGCTGCAGGACAGCAGGTGTGTGATTTCAAAGCATCGAGAACACTCTGGTCTAGGTCTTTGTCGAGGTTCTTCTGGCACTCAGTCATGTAGTCCGGCGCCTCGTCCGCCGCGTGGTCGCATGACACCGTGAAGGAGAGCGGATCAAAGACGGGATAGTTGCCATTGTGACATGTTCCGGTGGTTGTGATGACATCTTTCTGGCAAACCTGATTCCCTTCAGAATCATAATCAGGCTTCTTGCTTCCGCACGAAGGTCCGATGCAGTCTCCATCTTCACCACTGGTGCCCCCTCCCACGACAGTCCACTCGGGACCGCAGCCGGCGCAGATACCTCCACAACCCAGGATGCCGCATGAGCTACAACCAATAAGACAGATCTTTCCACATCCGACGCTACAGGTTGGCCCTGGCGGGCTGGTGCTTGTGAAGCTGACTTTTGTTGGCTGATTGGTAATGACGGGGTATGTCTTGCTGGCCACGGGGGTTGATGTGATGATGATGACGACAGGATCCTGGGACGTGGTTTTCGTTGCACTGACTTTGGGCGTAAAGGTCACTTTGGCCGTGGGCAGAATGGAAGGTGTGATGGTGTATGTCACTTGATCGACGCCGGAATTGGTGATGTTGATGTTGTAAACGGGGATTTCCGTCGTGGTCACTGGGGGAAAAGTAATAGTAACGACAGTTGTCGTAGTTGTATCGTCATCCCACATTTCTGTAAAGGTCTTCGTGATAGGGGGAAACTCGATCGTCGTCTTATCAGAGAGGGTGTAAGGCGGCAGAACCACCACACAAGGGGGTATGCAGGAGACGATTGGTGTGGGATCGTGCCAGACTGACGGGTTGATATAAACTGGAGGCCCTCCACCCGCGCCCCCATCACCGCTCGTGTCTCTTGAAACACAAGCTCCGGGGGGACAGTAGCCTCTAGGGCAGGCAAAGGCGCAAAGCCCATAGTCCTGAGTGCCTTCCACGGGGCTTCCCGCCACTTCGTCAACGATGGGCGGTGTCTCAACCAAGCCTCCCGTGCTGCCACAAGTACAAATGTTTCTCGGACAAAAACCAAAAGTGCATGCGTAGCTGCAGAGACCTCCGAAATTCCCAGGTCCTGTGCCGCCCGTGCAGGCGGTTGGTGAAAAAGGGGACACTGATGGCGTGGTAAGGGGCCCTGGCACTGTGTCGCAAACACCCTCTGGGCAATATCCTAGGTTGCAGTCAAAGTTGCAGAGTCCGGAAAAGTTTTCGTTGAGACCGGCTGCCGGATAACCGGTGATGCCAGAGGATTTCGGCTTGACTCTCTGCTTTCCCATACTAAGACACGATTAGTATAACTTGCTCAAAGTGAGAAGAAAACAAAAAACTCACGCGGTACAAAGGCAGGCGCCTAACGGGCAATATCCCAGCGAACAAGCATACGAACATAGACCAGAGAAATTGTCGATGGATGTGCCATTGATGCACACCAGGTCGTCCATGGATGTTGGCGTTGGATCGGCGGCAGCACCACCGGTAGCGGATCCGACCCAGGCATTCCAGTTAGCCAGGCCTCCAGCACCGCATTGAGTTGAAATAGCCGAACCAGAGCCAGAGAAACTTGAGCCGCCGCCGCGAGAGATGGTGACAACTACATCGCCGAGGTTCCCATTGAACGGGACGCTGCCGCTGTAGAGCCCAACACCATCTTCGGGGCTCTTTGACCAGGTCCCCGCCTGGGTGACACCACCGATAGTGACCGAAACACTCGCTGACGACCCGAGAACGGCGCTGTAGAATACGCGGTCTTGAGAGACCTCGGTTGGCGCAAACTCGAGTTGGAGCTGCGAGGCCGTGTTGCCTGTCGTCATACCAGAATCGCATGCTGCAGCAGGCTGCTTTCGGTACCAGAATACTAGCTTCTCGTTGGCGATTGTAGTGGTGTTTCGAACATACATGTCGATAGCGAAAGGTAAGATCTCGCGCCACCCATCATGCGGCATGTCAGCGACGAAGTCGATTGGCGCGCGCCCAGTACGCATGGCCCCGAGGGCTTTGCTCTTGATAGGACCGATGTAGTGAGACTCTCCATAGTCGTTCCATGAAATAATCTCTACCCATTCGGGCTGCACGTAGAGCACCTGGCCCCAGCGGTCAGCCCAAAGACTGTCGCCGCGCCAAAGCCAATTCTTGTCGTACCCAGGGAGATTCGTATAGAACCATGGCGATACCGGCATCATGTAAGGTTTTCCTGACAAGTACGTGATATACGATGCATCCACAAAGGTATCCATGTCTTTGTTGCCCCATGGCCAGGCTGACCAGGCAAAGAGCCCGTCAGCCACGCCACCAGCAAGTTCCATAGCCGGCTTAGCACCTAGCGATGACCAGTCGGGAACAAAATAGCAGTTGGTCTGTGACTTGATGTTGATCCAATCAGAGGCACTGCCTGGTCCTTCGAAGGTTGATACGAACGGCTTATTGTTGTGTAAGAAATGGGCGCTGCTCCCTTTGAACTTGTTCAAAACGGACAGAACGGTCGACGCCGGCCAAGGCCCATTACCAGCATAATCGAACGAGAAGAAGAGCTTAAAACCCGCGCTGCTAGCGGCAGAGAATGCCAGATCGTACTGAGGGCCATCGCCCTGATCGTAGGCCGTGTTGAGGGCAAAAGCATCGATGTGAGCAGCTTGAGCAAGCTTTATCTCGTCTGCCCAGTCACTCAAAGTATAGTTCTGGGCGTTTGACACCTGATGAAAGATGAGAGTGAGTTGAGATTTCTTAGAACTTGCTTAGTTACACCCAATTGCATCGTTGAACTCACCATGAAATGGGCAAAGACAGCCTTCGCCCTGGCTTGACGAAAAGCCGTCAGCACGAGAGCGAGGACGCAAAGAAAACGCATAATAGTTAAAAATCAAAATTGTGTTTCAAATGAAGAGTGAGACTGATGAAGATTTTACAGGCATAGGTGAGACTCATATCTAAACGAGTAATAGAAGCCTCTTTATACAAGATGGCCTGTCTGCGCTGAACAAGATGCTATGCGCAAACGCTATGCTTACGATCTTTTTCACACAGCCAGCCCTTCCTGTTAGGTACAAAGGTAAGTAGACAGCCTCAAAACGTAGTGTCCTCCGAAATTATCTTTTGGAAGCAGAACAGCGTGACTCAAACTGTGCTTACATGCATTTCCATCCATCGTAGCCTGTCATGATCTTTGCGGCGCATTCAAACGGCGAACAGGGGTTTTGTGCCGCTTGAGGTTAGGACGATGTTGAAGAATCGCAACTGCTACGACCAACAAGACCAACAGGGGTTTTTTGGTCAGCCTGAGATATGAACTTGAACGGATAGTCTAGCCGTATTGCTTCCAACAAGCAACTGGCCCGTCTTGGCGTCGGCCTCGGCAGAGCTTGAGGCAATTTAGCGTCGCGTTGGTGTAGCAATTCACGCCGTAAACCTGCATACAAAGATTATCCGCGCGAAGAGCTTATGAGGCCATGTGATTGCAACTTGCATTGTGCATGAACTGGAAGTGGCAGGTCAGCCCTTCTAGGGTCTTAATCGCCAACCGTCAAAGTGTTGGTTGGTGCACTTCGCCAAAGTTCATGTCGGATACCATACATCACAGGGTTACATATGGCTGATGACAATCGGGCCGTGATCCTAATTAAGATAAACGCAGTCAAAAGAACATAGCAGGCAGCAATGCCCTAATGCGACGACCAATACTTGCAGGGCTTAACTATCATCGACGGCCCATGGGCAATCCTGCCAGGAACGGTATTAGCCGCCAGCGATGGGATAGACAGGGGCTGTGTGTCATGCCACTCTCAATTGATCAACCACTCCATAATATCAGCGATAGAGGCAGCCTGATTTCGGGCTTCTCGATACAATTCGCCCGAAGACACGGCGATACACGCCCCGTTCATAAAGGCACCTCAACAGTAGCCTGCGCCGTTTGCGATTTTGGTCAAGCGGAACACATCAGCAACTTCAGTTCGGCCAGTGACACTAACTTGTCTATGATAATGTCTCTAAGAATCAACCTCTTTGTTTTTTCCGCCTTGTTTGGCATCATCGGATCCTCCCAAGAAGGCACCAATCCCGAACTGCAGCATATTGGGAAAGTCTTGGGAAGTTTCCTTGCCAAAGGACAACTCTTTGTTGAGAATTTGCCTTTAATTTCACTCAAGATTCTCACACTCAATGAAACAACAGTCCCAATACTGGGAAATATTGCCCGACTGTTGTTATGTGCCATAGCAACTCTCTGGCTTGACCAGAAGAAGTCGAGACACGCCGTTTTGGAACGATGTCTGTCCCTGGCAATTTGTTTAAGCATTCTCGGAGCCTGTTCAATACTTCAACCAAGACTGCAGACGGACTTTATGTGGTCTGGGCGCTGCATTGCCGACCTTTTACTCTTCATTGCTGTGTGGAGTGAGCTGAACACAACTGCCGAGCCCGCCACGTTTCAATCAATCATAAGACGCTGCGATTGTCTTCTTGTTTCTTCATCGCTCTTGGGATGCAATATCTTCGATTTGATAACAGCTTCCCTAATAATTTTTCTTCTTCAAACACTCAGTTTTTTCAACTCAACAGAGCTATGCCATAAATCGGATGTACGTATTCAACTTCTGCTCTGCGATTAGATCCCTGCTTAACATGCAACCGCAGGCGGCTGTGATGTCGACTCTCATATGTCGAGCATTCCAAAGCATTGTCCAGCCGATGGCGATTTGGATAATGGTCATTGGTATTCTCACTCCAATCTCAGAGATCTCAGCCGGAGGCAATTACAATACGCGCTTTCTGTCTCCAAGGGCAAGGCGAGCTCTTTCCCCAATCAGTGACAGCGTAAAAATCCCCAACTGGGGAAATCATAGTCTGCCACCTCATGCTATCATTCCTTACGTTCCTTTGTCTTTGTACCTCCCTCGAGCTGGGTTTCTGTGGCAGGACGATGAAGTTTGGCTACCAGAGCAGGGAAACTTTGGTGCAGAATGGCAGCTTAATCAAGAAGAAGATTGGGCTGAGTTCTATGACTTGGAACAACTAGGCTCTGGATATAGTGTCGAGACACTATATCGGGCCTACTTTTCCGACCCCATCGGGAGGCGCCACCCATGGGCATTTGAGCAAGATATCGCCGCAGATATGTTTGAATCGAAAGAGGAGGATTACATACGTAGCCATTTATGGTCCGGTGAGATCGTTCATCTTCGAAGCCGAGTAACACAACACTACATGGGTGTCGTGGGCGACGCAAGCTCTTATATTGACGAAGAGATGAACGTTCGATCGGAAGATGGATTTCGGCGTTTGAGAGTCGGGTAAGTCTTCGGTCCGGACAATACTGGATACTGAACTAACGGTATTGTATTACAGTGGCTTGAAGATGAAATCTCCAAACACAACGTGGATCATTCAGTACAACTCTGGCGCTGATAATGGGTTCCGTCTCCTAAATCCCATCCAAGACTGTTATCTGTCGTCAAGCTTTCGGCAATTTCCAAATTGGGATGGCCTTCACAGTAATGACACGATCAGTCTGCAACTGCACGGCATCATTGAAGCTACTTGTACCCGTGGAGCTTCAAAAGATGCATCTACATTCTTCATTATTGAGGGTTAGTGCCCCTCAGCTGGGACGATCTTGAGATCTCATGAATGACATTGTTTTAGGTACATCAAAGGCCCCAATCAGGTCTTGGCGAGCTGTTTGTGGTCAGATTCCCGGAGTCCAGAGAGTCATTGTCGCTTTCTCAATGGGCTATCATGTTGCGATGGGGTTGCTTTCTCTACAGAAAACCCGAAGATTATACGGCAAAACGTTAGACATACCTCCAGCACTGCTGCGCAATGAGTTGAGCGCTGTTCCATTGTTCCACACGCTTGAGAAGACAATCGTTACTACATTTCTTTTTGCGCATGCTGTTCTGCTCCTCAAGAAGCGGAGATGGCCGGCACAAACAGCGGATAATGTCACGCAAGGGTCACTGAGCGGGAGAAGACAGTCTCATCTGTCAAAGTTGGCATCGTGTGCTATTTTCGTCTGGGGTCATTTTATAGCATACTACGTGGGCAATATTGCGCGTCCCTCCGGCGCCACATTGGTCATGATATTTTCTGTCGTTGGTCTAAGCGAGATTGTTGTCGTATTCTGAGCATCGGCTCTTTCTCAAGTTACAGACCGCTCCATTACTAAAGTAAATAATCGAAGCCCGCAGCTGGTATTCTCCCACATTGAATCAGTTTTAGTTAGTAAATTCTGGGGGGAACCCTTAACAAACGTCTATGGATATTCATTGGCGGAAACCGAAATCGGCACGAAGAATTCGAACTTCAATCAGACATGCGCTGAACTCCCGTTCCCGTTGGAAACCCCTTTCGTGCCGAACGTCCTTTCTTGGCGGCACGGGCGGCAAAGCTGTCAGACGCATTGCAGGAACGATAACACCTTCCATATCCATACTAGTCAATGTTATGTCTGCCTGGCTCAAGTGGAGTTGCTCGGTGTCAAAGTCCGAAGCCTTCACAAAGCCTGCTGGATGTGTTGGTTCCTTGCAGATCGCCTATCAATCACGACCAACAGAACAATGCTAATATCGGTTATTTTGTTTACGGTACATTATCCTGCAGGTGTACATGTAATATCCAGTATATGTAAGAAGGAGATAGCGCGCTCGCGTAAACGTATTCGTTGGCTTTGCTTTTAATACGAGGCATTTCCCCCATCAAGCAAGGTAATTTTTGCTTGGCATCTCTCACCTTTCACCCAGCGAGCTGCACCAGCGTAAATGAGCACTCGCCGTATTTTTTGCTGATAGTGGGAACGTCTCTGGCTTGTACATCAATTTCGACTAATCTTGGTCATGTTAAGGCCATGTACTCAACGCGCGAGGATATTAAGGCTGCTGTTGATGCGTATCGTGCACACATCGCTGAACGCAATCGCCGAGCCCTTGAAGTCTACGGTGCGTGAAAATCACATCAAGGAAACGTTTGAAGAATAAGACTGATGCAAAGGATCTAGTGCAACTTGCCACACAGGCTGAGCTCGACCCAGAAGATTGGGGAGATGAAGCCGAAGACATGAGGGTAGACTGTTTTGGCAGCGTCCTGAGTCGGAATGATGCCCGGACCCTAATTTCAAGTCCAGAAGATATGCTCACAAAGTTTGATGAACTCGCACCGCTTTGCGACCTTGACGGTTGTGGAGGGTCTATTCCCAACAGCCATGACCGAGAGCTGTACTTCTCCCGTCTAGAGAGCGCGCTGAAGACAAAATGTCTCGAGGAAGTCCGTGATAGCATCACTGCTCCTCCAGAGCTTCGCATTCTTGCAGAGTACGTGGGCGCATTGACCGGACCCGGGATGGGGGAGACCAAATGGACGTACCAGGCCGTATTCTGGACTGGGGCGAGCTCTCAGACGGAATTTTTGATCGACGCTACGGTTAAGAGACCCCAGGACCTTTCGGTTGATGGTTGTTGGGACGTCGCTGTGGGATGGGAATCTGGGGCCGGCGTGGAGAGTTTCTTTTACATAGTCTACTGCCGAAAAACCCGGGCCGACGGAGAAGTCGAGCCGTGGGCCTGGCGATACATGGCTTATGGCCCGGACGACGACAAGAGCTTTGATACGATCCCGGAGTTGCTCGAGTGGTATTGTCAGTATCGGGAAAGAGAGGTGCCTGATATTGATGACTTAAGCGTGGACGATGTACTAGAAGGGAACATGTACTAGCTGGAGTACATACTCTATCCTAGATCCAGCCCCTGTAGTTCTGATTTGCTTTGTTACAGCTGTCAGCGATAGATCTTGTACACCTGTGCAGTCTAGTATAGATTCTTTCTTCACACCATCGAAAGTCTCATCGAGAGTGGCTGATTAAAGGCCTGAAGCGTCATTTCCGAAGGAACAAATGTCATTGGGTAACCCAGCACGAAGTTGGATTTTAATCCAGATACCATCGTCATAACCATCGTATTCGGGTCTATGAAGTAATCGACGACCTACGCTACTTCTCAGTCGCGGATATCCCAAGGCTCTGTAAGATAATGGTCTACTTGAAATCTCGATGATGTACCAGGTTGTTCGAGGTGTGAACGATGAAAGGGGGACATTTGCATGGCGTAAGGAAATGTGATGTAAGGGGTTCAAGGAATAGTCTGTAGATCATGTCGTTGCGTAGAAATGACCGTTGATAATGTGGGGAACTCCGTTTCCGTGTTGTCTCTTTTGGGAAACTGTCATATTTTTGGCTACAGTATCACAAGCAGCTGGTGCGCAGCTTCCCTCGGCAAGAGGCTCATTAGTCACTACAGGGGGTTAGAACTCAGTGATGTGTCGCGAACTAATGGCGTGAGCTTCTTCTTCAGCCTTACAACTTCGTCATCAAATCAATTCATGAGAAGTGTTTCATTGTGAAAAAGGTCTCCATGGACACTTGAAACAAGAATTATGGTATCATGTGTTGCAAAAGCCTGTCTTTAGATTTGTGAGGCAACAACTCTCACATCAGGGAATTGACCATGCCAGCCTGTACGCATACAGACGGAGATACACGTAGCGAGAGTCTCTATAACCCTGTGAGGCAATCTCTTGACTTGATTGAATCTTCAAACTTGGAAAAAACCTTTGTTTTACTCTCTCAACAAATGTCTCTAGGTCTTCAGGCGAAACTGAAAGCATCGTCATTCGAACAGATATCGGGTGCAACTTGAATTACTTTGATACAGTGGCGACAACATCGACCAAAATCCAACTAGAAAATCCGCAAAAGATAAATCTGAAAATCGGCTACGGATGCCGTTCAAAACCAAGATTATCGAAAAAGTGTGGCATCACGACACATCGGGTAGTAGCATCTTCACACGCTCGGTCGTTCGTGGTGGATGGTCAAGAATTCCAGACGATCATGGCAGAATTTCTGACACCAGCAAACTCGCGGCCCAAATTCTCCCAGCTCACTACAGCTTTCACATCATGCAAATTTCCAGAAAATCCTTGGACATTCGTTCGGCAACTTCTGCCGTAAAGAGGTGAGAGGTGGGCACACTTGTCAATGGGAGGTCTCCCGGAAAGACGTGCATCCTTTAAAAGCTTAACGATGGATGCTTTTTCTGCAGAACTGACGTTGAAATACGGCAGCAGTTTACCTTTGTAATGCGGATAATGCAGGACCACCCTAGGCCAAGATCTGCAAGATGTGCACTAGACCAGCACACCAATGCTGCCCAGCAGGTCTGCACGTCCTTTCGGCTCCGTTCTACGATACGGGTACGAAAACGTCGGAGAAATGATTCGACCACGTTGAACGACGGGAGGAGCAAGAGGACAAGGGGGGCTTGAGTATTGTAGAGTTTGGCAGACAGCCCAATCCCGGCCTCGCCTGGCGAGGAAGCGTGGGTATCGTTGGGAAACGCACCGTTATATGCTATGCCGCTTGTCGCAAGCTTAGGCAACATGATATGCATAGCAGAACGTTGCCGATAACTTTGCACGAGAGCCAACCGATTCATTAGATGTTAATGCGACCGCCCCGGCGCGGGCATGACGTTAGTTTCTCATCGAATGCCCGTTGCGGTAAGACCCTCGTCGCGGAGCGACAAGCCACAACCCTGAAACTCCCAGACAACTCAGCGCCGTTGGGCCACCACCTTGCCTGCGCGCAGGTGATATGCGACAGGTTCTACTGCGTATGAATCTTCACGAGCCGTTGGCAGGTGCAACGATTATCATGCTTGTGGGTATCGAGCCTTGGACGACTTCGGTTATCGCACCGTTGGGGCTTTCAAGATTCATCCCAGCGTTTCATCCCAAAGATGCTTGTCCATCGGGACGTTTTATGACGTACTGACAGGTTCCGCGATCGAAAAAAGTTTCTCGATGCCCGTGGAGAGCATATTAAGGGTGAGGTAGAGCCCGAGTCAGAACTGAGGAGGTGGAAAAGGAGATTTAAGAAATCATAAAAGTTCTTTGACACCCTGCAGCGAAGCCTAGTAGTGTACATGTCTAGATCAACGCTACAACCTTACCATTAACTACTACTGTAATTGAAAAGTCAACATACGAACTACCACAATGCTCGGCATCGGAGGCCGGCTATCTGCTATCGTCCCCATTATTGCGTCGGCTGTCGCCGTTGCACTTTCTATTGTGCTGCTTGCAGCTGGGACAAACACAAGTAATGGAGGCAACAACTACTGGTTGTCGGTAAGTCGCGAATGTTCCGCAAATGCCCAAGGGAAGAAACTGTTTACTAAGTCGACGTCGTAGCTAAACACATCGAAAATCGGTCAAGACATTGTTCAAATCAAGGCGGCCAACAACACCAACGGCGGAAATGGAGGCGGTAGCATCATCCCGGGCATCCCCGCACCCAACGATCCGACCGGCATCACGGAGGGCCTCGGAAGTGTTCTGGGAGGTCTGCTTGGAAATCTGACGAACGCAGTCGGTGATGGTGTTTCGGATATCCAGGGCCAGCTCGTGGGAAACTTGACGCAGCTGTTGGGCGTCAAGGACAACTACCGGCTCTACCTGACAAAGATGTGCGAAACGACCTACGCCGATGACAACGACCCGAATAGCAAAGTCACTTTTGATAAATGCGAGAGCTACGATAACACAGGAGCTGGTATGTTTCTCGTCCCTACCATAGTTATGCCAAGGAGAATTTGTGCTAACGCAAAGCTCGCAGGCCTGCGAAACATCACCAACTCAATCCCCTCCTCCTTCGTCGTTGGCACCGCAAATGTCTCCGTCCCCCTCGTGGCCGCCATGGCCGGCACCCTTGACCAAGTAGTCGACCTCGCCAGCGGCGGCGCAAAAGCGATGACGGCCCTCCTAGCCATCGGCACAATTTCCACCGGCATCGTCCTCCTCGCCACGCTGCCCATTCTCATCGTCGGCTTCATGCGCATCCTCGTTCTCGTCTCCCTCGTCTTCTCCATGCTCGGCGCCTTCGTCCTCCCGTCCTTTGCCATCGTCACGACCTCGCTCATTTACGGCGGCAAGAGTATGCTCAACAAGTCCATGGCTGCGTTTGGCATGCAGATCCAGACGGGTGGGCCGTTTGTGGCCATGGCGTGGGTTGCGGCGGTTGCGTCGATGGCTGCGGCGTCGTACTGGTTCATGGTTTGGTTTGTGAGCTTTAGGCGTACTGCATTTAGCAGGCGGAAGCGTACGGAGAACGAGATTGGTAACTGGCGTGGTATCTTCCGCGAGGTGAAGGGTGATATGCGCACCTGGGAGGGAGGAGAGAAATAATTGAGGGGATGTTGACCGGTTATGTCGCCTGAAGATGTGGCATCGGGCATGCTTTACTTTTCTTTTCAGGACACATGGTTGAACAGTACATACTGAAAAGGTGGAGGATACGTTGATGTATTAGTAATTACGAACAGCTTCGTCTTTGTCGAATTCACACGATACCATTGTGAACATTTCTTGCTTTACCGTGTAAATGTTATCCCCCCACAGCTGAGGCGCGGCAACTGCTACATCAATCTACGATGATTCCGTCGACGAGGCCTTTCAATCAACGAACACAATTACGATGACTCAAGATGAAAATTCTATCCATGTCGCCATCTGGCGTTCATGTGTGGAGCAAGTAATGTTTCGTCGCCCGCGAGATGAACGACGACGTGAGAGCACCTGCGTTCTCAGCGTCTACCTTCATAATGCTAACACTCAATACTTTCCGCCCTCCTCGTGTGATTTCCATCCACATATGGACTTGCCAGCAGGTATGGCCAGAGTCATGTTGAGTCCTGTTACAATCCTTGGCCCCGACCTTATGCTCGCTCATCGCAAGCCCTCACATGCATTCATTTCTACTTTGAAGCAGAAGAACGCGTGATCGCGGCAGTCTCCTTCTTCGGCCGCTCTCGCCCTCTCTTGGGAGGGCTCTCCTGCAACGGGCTAGGCCCAAAATCCCCCGTACTAGGTCGCCCTCTTCCCGGTCCCCGTCTAGTTGGTTCTTTGGTGATCGTCTTCGCCGGAGCAGGATTCGGTGCCTCCTTTTTCGGACGGCCCCTTCCTTGCTTGGGCACAGCTTTCGTTTCTCTCCCGGCCGGTTGCCGTGTCAGTGCAGAGAGCTTCTTCGTTGGTATAGACTCCGACACAGTAGGCTGGCCAACACCGGAGGCTTTCCGGCCTCTGGGTCTCTTGCTTGGTGCAGCTTCTGTGTGTGTAGATTCAGCTGGGCGTTTCGTACCGGCTATCCTAGCACTACGCCGAGGTGCTGGAGAGGACTGGTCATTGTCGTGGGTGATGCTCGTCTCGTTCTTCAGCTGACGGGGACGGCCACGTCTTGACTTCTGTGGCGTATGGCTCACGGCGCGCTCCTGCAGTTCGAGTGGTTTCTGTTCCGATGCACCTGCAGAGACCGGGATTCTATCGTCTGTGGATTCAGGCGCCTCTTTCCTAGAATCAAGAGCACCAGCGGGAGCTGATCGCGCGATAGACATAGGATCGGAATGGTGATCGTGACTGTGACCTTCCGGCATCTGTCCGGGGAATGCAGGCGTATCTTCCATACCCTTTGAAATGACCCAGTAGTTCTCTGGCTGTTCTTCCCATGGGAGTTCGTTGGTCTCTAGTTCGTCAAGTTCCGAAGGTGTGAAATCCATGACCGTAGCGTCCAGTGAATCAAAGTCATTCATGTTTTGTATGGGCGTCAAGTCTTCGGGTTCAGGCGAGGGCGATTCATACTTCCATCTCCAAGAGGTTACACCTTCTTCGTCGTACTCATCCCTCCAATCCCCACGGTCTCTCCACCTCTCAATGACCTGCCCGATGCCTGATGTCTGAGACAACTTATGCTGGTCCTTGAATGAGACACGGCTCAGTCGTTGTTTTTCTTCAGTGACCTCAAGCTCAAATATGAACCAAGGCCTAGAGGTAAAATATGACTCGGCCTGAGGAGCCGTGATGTCTTGTACCAGCGAAGGCTGCGGATCAACATGCACATGGTCGCCGCGACGCAAGTTCTTTCGTAGAATTAGCTTGCGTTTGATGATGCCCTCTTCCCATTTGTGGTCATGAGACGCAGAACTTTCGCCATTGTCTTGATCCCACTTCCACCGCCACTCATAGAAATTGTCGTTAGGCTGTACGTTGCGTCCAGCGAAACCCCAAGCGGGATTCCAGATGCCGAGCTTCTCCCAGCGCTTCTTCATGTTGTGGCGCGCGACGATTCCTATCCGGCGGATGCCTTTGGGCTTATGAAAGACTGGGCCGCGGCAATTCTCAATGATCCTTTTCTCCTCTCGCTTTGATTCTGAGAGGTAGAGCTGCCCGGGGCTCATTTGAGGACCCAGTGCCAATGCAATCCGCTTGATATCGTCTTCGTCGAGCGGTCGCTCGATGACGATGTTGGGATCTTCTGAGGCTGCGTCGTCTTCGTCATATTCTGATGAGCTGTCTGAATCATACTGGGGAGGCTCATCGCTCTCGAAGCGCGTGAGGTAATGGGTGTGCAAAGCATCGTTGGCGGCAATTGCCTCAAGGAGAGGGTTCGCGCGCTCCTGCAGAGCCCTGCCCAACGCGACCTGGTCCAAATAACGCGGCATAACTTGAACGACGGCAGATTTTCAGAATATGGTGATGAATATTGCGGGCATGGATGCGGATGCGAGCTAGAGGATGGCAAAGCCCATAGTGGGTGAATAGGTAGTTGAGACGAACGCGCGAGAGCTTGAGCTTGGGGTTGGGGAATTGGAGAAGCTCAGCTTCGATTATCTAAGCAGACGTTTGGGATCCACACCTTTAGTGCCTAAGGCCCACTTACCAACCGTTACAAGAACGGGTACCATACCCACACTTACCCGACGGAAATAGAGCCGGCCCATCCGCGCGCTTAGTTGGCCCCGTTTTCATCCTTGTCATCAGCCAATCCATGCCGCCATCACCAACTTCAAAGGCGAGCCGCCTGGCTCGGCCGCGGTCTCGGCCACCTGCTGCGGTGTTGGTGCTACTGTTGCACGATGTTGGTTGTGGATTCTAAGAAAAGAAGCAAAAAGGCCTGTTGCATAGAGACATGCTTCGCTATTCCAACCGAAGGGCAAGCCGATTGAGTATGACTGGAGTTCCGTCTACTTAAGACGGCCAAGGTGTGAGAGCCATTCTTCGCACTCTCCGCATGTCTTACAACCCAATACCATCTTCTTTATTCCATCCTCAGATCGAAGGATCTCTTCATTGCAAACCTTAACATTTCATTCTCGGCAATAACGCAGTCCTGATCAAACAGTTCGAGAAATAACGACCAGTCAGATACTCCGCCAGAATGGCTTCCCCCAATGCGAGGACTCTTTTCCATCTAGTTCCTAGAAACTCCGTTGCTAGAGATGCGCTTTATCTGCCTGAGAATCGCCGGTTCGTCTCAATCAGCGCCGTGCAAGAGTCCGGCCTGGAGGTCGGATTCCATGTCGTATCCACAGGGGGACACGTGATCGCCAGACTCGGCCGAAAGGGGGATCTGGTGCTCAATCGAAATACAAGTTCAGAACCCATGTGTAGAGAGCACATCGCTTTTGAATTCCAAGACACAACCAAGCTCATACACCTAGTCGTCAGATCGAAAAAACAAGAGTCCACCGTCTCTGTGGGGCTTCTCGTTGATACTAGACTCCGACCTCAACGTGGCACACTCTTGGAAAGTGATAATATGAACAAAGCGGTTGACGGAGAGGTCGTCATGCTTTACGGGCAAAACTACAACATCCAGATTTCATCGTACCGATTCGACCTAGTCTGGACAGTCGCTTCCTCGCGCGATCCACCACATGTCAACAACGAACGCCTCAAGGAACTTGCATGGGCTTGCTTCCGACAATCAATGTCCATGTTGAAGGGCTTGGGATCCCGAGACTTGCCTACTGGCTTTGAGCGATCAGAGCAGGTTTCGCACAGGATCACGAGGCCGCGAACAGCGAAGCAGGCCCTTTTTCGGGAGAACAAGGCGCTTCGTCAATTTGTGGGAAGAGGCACCTTCGGCACCGTGTACCGGAGTGTTGATGCAGAGACCTCTGCTCCGCTTGCCATAAAGGTGGTTCATCTAGGAAATTACCCCAAAGACAAGGAAGACGAGGCTCGGGCCCTTTTCCACCGAGAGCTCAAAACCATGCAGAGTCTCAATCATGTACGTCTGTCTTTCGTCGACTTTTGCGGAAGGGGGAAATGTCGCGCGTGGCTGCATCCCTTCTTCTCCTTCCTGACGGACTTCGCTAACTTGATCTTACAAAAAGGTGAACATCATCGAAATCCTGGGCTATGACAAAGCCGACACCCTCGAGCCTGAGATGATTATGCCCTACCGATCTGGCTCGTTAAGCACTTTCGTTGGCCTCAAGATGCCAGAAGCACAATACGAACAAGCTTGTCGGGACATTTTGGAGCAAATGCTCTGCGCCCTGGATTACCTCGTCAACTTTGGAGTAGTACACCGTGACCTGAAACCAGAAAACATCCTGTACGATCCCGGCGTCACACCAGGTAGCTACATCTTCCAGTTGGCCGACTTTGGGCTCGCAAATCACCAAAAGCTCGCGAAAACAATGTGTGGCACCGTCGCGTACCAAGCTCCCGAGCTCTGGCCAGAGCTTTCGGCACTTTCGGAATCGGCTTACAAACAGAGCCACAAGATGGACGTTTGGTCACTTTACGCAGCTTTTGTCGCAATGTGGAGCAAGATGAAAGCCTTCCCACCCCGTTCTAAGCATAGCATTAGTGTTCATGAGCTCTACCGGATATCCAAGAAACTGCTCCTTGACTCCGTCAAGATCCACAAACAGTTCGCGCCCATGGCTGAGCTCGAACCGGATCGTCGAGCATCGGCTGCGTGGATGCTGAACAGCCTGTTCGGAGGCCGAGGCTTGACGACGCGCCCGGGGAATATTGAGCCATACTATCCACCGGGCACCCCTCTTCCCCGTCCTGCGCGCGTTCAGACGGCACCTCGACGCCAGTGGTCAAGTAACATGGACATCGACGAACCGCAAAATATGGCTCCCCCCAACCTAGCTCTTCCGCAAGGTGGTAGAGCAGATGTTGACATTCCAATCATCGTACACACCCGGGCTGTTCTTGATCGACGAGATGCGCAACTGGTACAACAGAAGATTCGCAAACAAGGTGGAGGTGTTGTCAAGCGTCGGGCCAAACCTCGTCACCCTGTTGCTATTCGATAGGATTTCTGTACATCCTGCACTCCTCGAGTATTTCTGGAAGAGAAGTCGTTCAGGTCGATGACGTTTTGACCACCCGGTCCCGTTACCATGCGGATGAAGAGTCCACTGCGGGTATTTCGATCACAATGTAGTTCACCATTGTACATTAGGAGCATTGTCTTTCAACATTTAGATCTGCAGCGCAGACTACATGGGTACAAAATATCAACGGATTCAACACAGGCATATATCTCGATGATTCAAGTAACGACTGTTCTGATGACAACTAAAAGATAAAGCCCCCTCTGACATACCAGACTTAGCACGCTGTTGAGCCACTGCATTCCGCCACAGCAGTCGACAGCTGAATAACATATGCTCTCGATCTAGAAGGCGAAGACTTGATCAACTAGCACCCAGAAACGTAGTTGATGGTAGTCAGACACCCGTCGCCCCAGTGCTTCGAGCCACAGACTCTGCAGCCGTTGGCACGGATATCCTGATAATCATACCACATTTGGTTGCCGGTACGAGCACAAGTGGACTTGCCCTGGATAAAGACACCACATCCATAACCGCCAAAGACGCTGGAACAAGCTCCCGTGTTCGGTCTTCCACTCCTGTTCGCCGAAAAATGGTTAGTCTAAGAGTATACCAGCAGGTCGGTCGGATGGTGGTATGAAGCTGTAAAGACGAGATGGATTGACAACTTACCCCGGAGCGCCATAGTTGACGTCGTTGTTACGGATGAGCTTGTTGTTCACCGCATCGTCGCAGGCGGCGACTTTGAGAGAGGAGCACATTGAGCTTCCCTTGCAGTCGTACGAGTCGCGCTTGTCTAAGACGCCTCTGGGGACAGGAGACATGTCCATGGCGAGATCGTGCTCATGAGAGTGCTCGCCCGGGATCGCCACGGCGGAGCAGCTAGCCACCAGTGCTGAGAGAAAGAAGAGGCTAAAGCGCATTTTGGGCTGTGAAGGTTAGATCAAATTTGGTATTGAATAAGTCTGCTGACGAAAGTGAGAGAGAATAGCCTTTTCGCAGAATGTAGAGGGCTTTTATAGATGTCTTCCCAATCCTCAATGCTTTAGCCTAGATACGCTAAACTACATGTACACGCCTTCAAGGTTAGCTAGACTGGCTTCCTCCGCTTCAGAGGCACATAGATTGTGTAGCTGCTAGGCCGAATAGGATATGAGTTGTTGAAACTCGCTCAATGTATCTGAACAGGCGAAAAGGAAGCACACCGATCCGGATGACGAACTTTTGTTCCAGCAACCCACCGGCTGCCGGCAACCCCCCCGAATCCAGCCCATCAGCACTTGAATTGTTTTTGGCCCCCGATGACACCTCGGTTAACACGGACTGCAATCTGCGAGCCACTCATGGCCTAAGGTCGGCGATCCTTCTAGGAAAGTCTCGGCACAATAAGACAACACCTTGAGAGCCTGCTTTCGCGACCCTGTCGATATGAGGTAACAAGTAGCGCCCACGGTGAGGTGAATAAGCATTATGTAGTCTGGATGCATCCTTCAGGGTAAACAAGCATCTAGTTGATCGGGCGATTATGCAAAGAGAGTGATCGGTCACCATGCAGGTCGGTTGCGGCCGATTGGCTCGGCTGAAGTTGGAAAATGCTTAGCTGAAAGCCAGACTCGGGCCGTTCCCGTGGCGGATGAGGGCACGATTGCGATTCGATGTCTTGGCAGAGACTCTGCCTCAAGCTGCTTAGTTCCAAAACCTCTCCAGTGACCTGCAGGTTCGGTACGCTGCTGCCTGATACCCCGCTCAGCTCAGGGTCATGTAAATACAACGGCGGGATCAATCGCCGCAAGAATCTGTTCAAGATTGTTGCCGCGCAAAGTAAGGCCCCGCCGCCCGAGGCTTCATTGCCTTTGTAAAGAAGAACCAGTACCTCGGTTACTCGGTGAAGAAACATTCTTGGAGGTTGCTAAAAGTCTCCAAACGGAGCACGGCCATGTTATTCATGTGTTCTCAGCCCCTCCAAGACTAGGGAACTAGTTACTTCAGTATGAGGCTGCACTCTGATTCGCGATGCCCTCTCAAAGAGAGACTATGTCGCATTAGGATCTATTAATTGGTCAGGAACTGAAATCAAAACGTCAATCACAACTGTAGGAAGTGCAGCCTTTGCGGTAATAATGATGACCAACCCCTCTTCTGTTTGACAAACTAGTTGCCGTATAAGCGGTTGACGGCAGGTTGGTTGTACCTTAAAGGTAGCTCAGGCTCACGTATTCTCAGTGTGCTGTGCCGTTGGCACTAGTGAATTCTTGGAAGAGCGTGATGAAGACAACTTGTAGACATAATAAGCGAGAAAGTGCAGCTTTGTCTGAGGGGAGGCTAGAGCAATACGAGCTCGTAGTAATGTAACCTTCCTAATCTTTGTTAGTATGCCAACAAACTCTAGGATAGACTTTAGACATTATTCGCTCATCAAGATTGATTTGAACGCAAGGCAAGTATGTTGTCATCCTTATGCCACCGTTGTTGCTATGATTTGGGGCAGCCAATGAAGGGCAAAATAGGTACTCAGTAGTTGCTCAATGTCAATTGTTATTGTGAAACTAAAACCCTTCTTGCCTAAGTGAGTACCTAGAGAATTCGAAAAATAGCGCCAAGTTATCTGCACGGTTCACCGAGCCGAGCTTATGCAGCACAGAAAACTCTCCCGGCCGTGTTGGTACCCGTAGGCTTGCAGTCACTGTTGCCCTGAGGATTCTTCGACAGAACGGTGACGTCGCGGACGTGAACGTACACCGGAGTCTCAAAAGATTCATTGCACTGCGAATGTATTTCAGTACGCTACTCGAGCTAAAAAAAAAAACCAGCCTGGTAAGTCAAACCCCCCACTTCCCGGCACCCCCCTGTTTCTGGCACCCACAAAAACGCGAAAATCCACCACAACGCAATGCCCACCCCCAACCTCCTTTTATCACAACATTTTCAATTCGAGTCCAAATGGGCTCATTTTTTGCACATACCTTCTTCTATATCTAATGCCTCAATATACCGAAGATCAGCTTCGTCAGGCTCTCGAGGACATCTCAAACGGCAAGAGTCAAAAGAGAGCCTCATTGGAGTATGGGATACCACGATCAACCCTCCAACTACGTCTCCAAGGTGGTCAGACTAGGAAAGTGGCTTTTGCTGACTGGCAGAGGCTGTCTCCTGACCAGGAGAGGCTGGCACAATGGGTTCGCATTCAGGCTTCGCTGGGCCTCGCACCAACGCACCAACAGGTGAAGGAATTCGCAGAGCGAGTTCTGGCTGCTGCTGGGGATACCAAACCATTAGAAAAGGCTGGATCTATGCCTTCGTGAGAAGGAACCCTATCATTAAGGTTCAGAGAAGTCGTTCCATCGATTCTAGACGCGTTAATGGGGCATCTACTGAGGTCATTAGGAACTGGTTTAAGTTCCTTGCTATCCCTGAGATCAAGGACATCAAACCAGCCAACAGATATAATATGGATGAGACTGGCATCCTCGAGGGTCAGGAGCTAATGGGTTAGTGCTGGGCATGGCTGAGACGACGTCTGTTCGCAAGAAACAACCTGGGTCGAGGGCATGGGTCTCTATCATTGAGTGTATCTCAGCCTTGTAGGGCACTTCGTCCTCTTATCATTTTCAAGGGAAGACGGTCCAACAACAGTGGTTTCCATTACATCTGGTTCCATACGATGGGTGGGAGTTTACAGCAACAGATAATGGCTGGACTACAGACTTAACTGCCATTGAATGGTTAGAGAAGGTGTTTATCCCACAGACTATGCCCGAGGCTGAGGGCGAGGCTCGACTGTTGATTGTGGATGGGCATGGGAGTCATACGACGACAGACTTCATGTGGAATTGCTATATTAACAATATCCATTTACTGTTCTTACCACCACACTCCTCTCATGTCCTCCAGCCACTTGACCAGTCTGTCTTCAGCCCTGTTAAGTCAGCCTATCGGAAGGAGCTCGGTTACTTGTCTCAATGGAACGACTCTACCATTATAGGTAAAAGGAACTTCCTGGACTGTTACCAGAAGGCTCGACTTGCTGGTCTATCAGTCTCGAACATCAGAAGTTGGAAGTGGACTGGTCTACACCCTGTAGCGATGGTTAAGCCCTGATGAACCCTATGGTATTACCTGAGCCTTCTGCTGCCCACCACACCCAAACCAACCAGTCGGGGCAAAAGCGATGCCATAATGGTCAACAAACTACCCTGTTGAGCCATGGGATTCTGCTTCCTCTGCAGTGGTCTGGTCGACACCCAGGAAGCTGGCAGAGCTCAGCGGTCAACTGCACTTATACACCCAACTCGACAATGATACCAGCACTCAACGGCTGCTGTTCAGGAAGGTGAAAAAAGGCTTCACAGAGCAGGCCTGGCAACTGGCAGCTGCCCAGCAGCAGCTGGCTCACCTGAGGGCTCAAGTTACCAACGCTGCAGTTAGGAAGAGGAAGACTGTTCAGATCGATCCCAACACGAAGTTTGCGAACATCAGGGATATCCATCGGGCTCAAATCGAAGCGGGTGAAAAGGAGGTTATTACGGCTGAATCCAGCGACTCTGAATGCCCTAGTGAGGCTGGCAGTTGTATTGTAGTGGGTGTGGTTGAGGATCAATAGTTAATAGTAATGAGGAGGTTGGGTTGTGATCCCATCGTTTTTGTGGGTGCCAGAAACAGGGGGGTGCCAGGAAGTGGGGGGTTTGACTTAACACTTACACAATAGGTGTGAAGGCCATTTGCTTCACAGCCTCCGTCACCGGCGGTTCCGCCATCGCAGTTCAACAAAAATGCATTTGCAGTTACCGCAAAGAGAAGAGCAATGAGTCTCATCGTGGCGAACTTATGAAATAGGTAATATTGGTAGATGGAATTTTGTTGATAAGAAAAGGTGAGTGGTCAGGGGGATTTGTCTAGACTTGAATTCAAGAGCGCGACCACAATTTGTACTTTTCGGACTGATACCTGCATGAATACATTTCACTGCATCGATATGGTAAACTCGGACTTTCGGCAGTTTGTGAAGATTATAGGACTGGTCAGAAATCTTACTCAATGAAATATACTCAATGTAGAATACTATGGATACTATACGAAAGCATGTTAGATTATATTGCCGCAAGTGGCTCTTAAACTCTCTTGGCTACACAAAACATAGAACAGTTACGACGACGATCCTCAGAACTCAACATAAATGGGCGACAAGTGCCATAGATCAAGACGCTCAAAGTTACCTTGGATAGATTCCCAACGAACCATACTCAGAAGCTGGCGGGAAAATTTGACATGCTGAAGTACCAGAACCTCAAGCGGCAAGGCCAAGGCAGAGCTTTACGCCAGGCAGGGTACGCTACCATGATCTAATAATCATGAGCGATGCATCGAGCTTCCGCCATTCGTTGAGGATGGTGTGCCAAAATATTTCCGTAAGCAATAGCAATCTCCCCGTTCTAGGGTAGGATGAGGGAAGTTACTACTTTAAGAGGGTGTCCGTACTTCATTTCCGTTACCCACTTACTCACCCCAGCCGGCTCCGCGGAACGCGAAAGCGAGTTTTGATCCGCTGTTCCCACTTATATATTTTGGCAATTAGACGATGTCTTGAAGCTGTACGTCTATAATCACCATGTTATGAATTTTGTTTGGGGTTTTACCATTCCGGCGAGTTCACCTCTTTTCAGCACTTGCAATTTGGGTTTACTTCAATGTGAAACTCTAACAGAAGACACACGATGTAACGTTCTAAATCTGAGATTCGTGGTCATTGAAACAATTGAACGCTCTCTTAAGCTTCTATTCCAGGCCTTCTCGGAAGTGGTGATGCTACTCCATTCAGTGCGGTATTAGAGCTTCTGTTGTGGGCGCCAAAGCCAATGACCACGATTAATTTGACATAGCCACTGAGGGCCATTTCCTGCGGTCAAATTTACACGAACACGAATGGACCTAGAAATCGCTGGGCTTTAGTTAAATGTCTTTTTCATGTGCTGAGTGTGCCGAATGGAAAAAAAAGAAGGGCTTGACACTGTTCCCAGCCGCCCAGAGTAGACAAGGCCTTGGACAATCTTTCCATGAGGCGTAGCAGTTAGTAAGATTATCAGCTGGCGATTTGAACTGGATATAACGCCCGAAACAGCGTGAGCTGTGTCGAAGGATGCACTTTTTACTTGATTGGTGAGGCTAGGCAGCCCACCATTGGTCAGCGAGCTTGGACGCCGTCGATCTCCCGACACAGCCCACAATCATCGTCTCCTGACTACGATCATTGGCTGTGCTTTGAGTCCGGATCAGGCAACACTAGATACATTGAGCTGATTCTGCCTTGGAAGTTGCCACATTCCTGTTGTTAGGCGGCCGGCTGACCGCTGCTGCAATGATGGGGGCTGCTGGCCACCCCAGGGCCAAAGCCTAAAATGAGGCTGAACACATTCGCCTTTGATTTAAATCCTTGTTTTCCCTCGTCTCACGTCGCACCAGACCTCTGTATGAGTTTCCACTGATAAGAAAGAATCAACCGCTATTCAAAATGTTTGACGGCACGAAAGGGTGTTCTTCTATTGACTACGCGGGCTCGCTCGTGACGGTCTGTGGCACAGACAGTTATCAATCCATCTGCATAGATGACAATAATGGGAACGTCAAATGCAACATGACGCTCGGCAGCGCATTCTCCATCGATGGAGATCTTCCTCATTTCTTCTTATCTTACGGTACCATTGCATGGATCAGTAACGTTATCGGATGCTACATTTGGTTCTGCATCCTATCCGGCAATGCGCCCATCAATCCAACCCGAAAGATCAAGCACAAGACGCTCGTCTGCCTGGGAGGCTTCGCATACACCATATATCTGGTGACAGCTGCCGCTATCAAAGTACCTAAAATGAAGGACCGAAATCTTAAGCTCATTGCAATCGGACAAGTTGTTGCGACAGTCATCATACAGGGGGCAATTCTTTGGATGATGAAGAGTAATGCCATGGACGACACGGAGAAGAAGAAGAACAAGAGCGAAGATCAAGCCGTCAAAGAGAACCCCGACACCACTGTACCGACCGACGCCAAGGACAGTCCTCCCCCCCGTCCCTCGACAGAGTCCACGCGATCGAATACATCAACTAGTACAGCGGTATCGACGTCAGAAAAGACTGGGTTTCTGAAGAGCTTTACCAACAAGATCCCAGGCGTTCAGACGACTGAAGAAGTTCCCACAACTGATACCACTGGTGCAGAAACTCCAAAGAAGGAAGAGACAGTAGCAGAGGGGCTCGCGAGTATGTTGATGGGCCTTGCATTCCTGTCTCCCGGCCACTTGATGATGCTGTGGGGCGCAATACGCCTTGCAAAGTGCATCTTTGTAGACCGACAGAACAATGACACCAGACAACAGCGCGAAACCAGAGACAGCCTTATTCTCTTCGGTATTGTCTACGGATTAGTTCTCGTCATCAATCTCGCCTGCATCCTCAACTACTTTTCCCAGGGTGCCGCGAAGTCTCAGGACGAAGAGAGCGTCAACAACGAAGAAAAGGAAAAGAGGCGCGCCGCAGAAGCAAAGAAAGTCAGAGAAACAGCAATGTTTGCTGTAGGAATACTGGCAGGGATGGTCACTGACTGGTGTCGATATTTCGTACTTGCTGCGGCGGCGAAGGATACACATGGGCTAATGCATCTTGGGGACGTTTCGAATCTCAGCCTGGTAACTTTGATCCTGTCAAAGTTGTTTGTACTTGCCTGTTAGTAAAAGCAACCTAGACCGCCTTAAACGCATTCGATACAGGAACAAGAGGTAGTAAAGATAAGTAGAGAAGGTAAACTGGGATCATTTCGAAGGCTAGGTGACCTGCTATTTGTCGACTCATAAAGCTATCTACTGAAAACCGAACGGCGTAATGTTAGGACAGAAGAGAATTTGGAGCGAGGATGAAAGATGCTTGACAACAATTGTCAAAGTTTACCATAGATGATGTATTCCCCCCGGCTGAGGCTGGTTGATTCGTTTCAAAGTCAAGCTTGTCGAGATGAAGGGCGGTGCAGGGCAAAAGATTCCACTTTTTTTGTGGCGATGCCTTCTTGGCTGCATTGCTGCCTGTTTATTGGAGCGACTATGGCCTGACAACAGCTAGGTACAGGCATCGGATGACAGGCAGACAGTCAGCCTTGCAATTGGACTAGGTAGGGTGTAAGACAAACCAACAGACCATAACTGGAAAGAACCGGAGTAGCTCTAGCGTTATTAATTCTGACGCTTGCATCTAAGAAGCAACGAAGACCTCTTTCGAAATTAAAAATACCTACTTATGCAACTGCTCGATTTCCAACGCCTAACAACTAAACTACCTTCCAATTCTCAGCATGGCAAACCTCACAACAGCCAATAGAACTGCAGAAGTATCAGACCTGACTAAGTTCGAGGGAAGCCTAAAGCACTACTATCTACCCTTCGGCTACATTGCGTTTGTCAATACAGCAATCGACCTATACATATGTTGCATGCTCCTCGCTAAGAAGTCCCCTCTCAACCCAGCCAGAAAACTGCGATGGAAAAAGATTATTTGCGCATACTTCGCAATCACATGGGTAGCAACTCCATTCCTCATGGTATTCATACAGTTACCTCGTACCGATTCAAGAGCCATGAGGGATTTGATGAAGGGAAGCACAATGACCGTCGTAATCAACCATTGGATGATCTTCGTGGCACTCTTAATTCTCTTCTTTTCCAAAGAGAAGAATAATGAAACTGAGGAAGGAAGCGAGACCGAAGTCGTGAGGGATGAAGAAATCGAGCGCGGTCCTGAGGCTTTCTGTCGATTGCCAGTCAATGCGGAACCTTCAACATCCATTGATGCAGTAACGGAAGTGGACTACAACTTTAACGATCACACCGAGAAAGCAACCCTTCTCTCCGAATTCATTAGAGACTCATCTCCTACGCAGATTGAACCGAACGAAGACAGCGAAGGAAGCGGAATAAGCGTGACACCACCAAAGGAAGCAGCGGCTGATACACTGATATCCCTCCTGGACCGCAACACTCAGGTTTCGTTATCGATATGTCTGCTTGGCTTCCTGCCTGGATATTTCCTGATGTTCCTTCCCATATGCGAACTTCTATACAATATTCTGGAACGCGAAACAGCGAGCAATGACTTGCAGCGGTACACCATGGATATCCTAATTTTCCATGGAGTCTTATTGGTGGCCTTCTTCGGCATTTGCATCATTATTATTAACAAAACACGTTCACTAGGGTGTACAGGGGATGCAGAAATCGAGGATATAGAAGAAACGGAGAAGAAAAGACGTGTACTGTTAAGGCTCGGGTGTAAGCTGGCGATAGTAGCATTCTACCTCTTGGTGGGAAAATCAAGTGTCTGGATGCAATATCTTGTTGTTGCAGCAATAGCACGAGATCCGACTGGCATATCGCACTTGCTTCAGATTGAGAATCTCAGCTTGGTATACGTTCTTTTACCGAAGCTACTTATATTCGCGTTTTAAAGTGGATCGTATGACTCGAGTTTCAGATACGATACCTGTATACACTGTGGAACTGAAATATGTACATGGATTCTGTCCCCCAATGATCCCGTAGCGGTCAACTAGTCCTCCAAAGCCAATTTTCAATTGAGTTCCAGCAGTCACATGTGGATGATGCATAGAGGTTTCGTCCACACCCTTTATTGAAAACTGCGGAATTCGCATAAAAAGAACAACCTCATCGCCTGAACTTAGGTACGCTGTGTTGTTAAACCCCTGTCGTTGTGTCGCGCCGACTCACTCTTCATCAAAGGCATTGTCCTCCTCGATCTGCAGCAGGTGAGCTAACACCCAGTCTTGATCATTTGCATACGGATCCTTGTAATTCCCAGCGCGGCCATTGACGGAAGTCGGGTAAATGTACGCACACGAAGCGCGCCCATTCGCCTCAAACAAAGCAAGATTGTTTCGAATGATGCCGTTGGCCGCCTTCAAGGCCAACGCCGCCTCGCCTTGGGTGTCGTTCTTTAAGCCTTTGCCATAGTGATGCAGCGCGATGGCGTTCAACGTACTCCAGTAGTGAGGGAACGTGTCCCCCCACATACGATCTTTACCGAACCAGTAGCCGTCCCAGTGGCGGATCGCGACGTCGTGGAGGCGATAGTCGGGCTGCTTGCCCGCAAAGAGCAGAAGGGTGTCCAGATGTAACTTGCCGGCTTCCAGCCACTTGTCATCGCCTGTATAGCGCCAGAGCTCAAGAAGCATGACAGCGGCGGGGGCGACAATGGATTGTTCAAAGTTGACCTCGAACGACGGGTAGTCGAGTCCTTGCTTCGCAATATTCCCTCCATGGGCGAGAAACAACTCCTTAGCCCTCTCTAGCCATTCTTTGTTTCCGTGCTTTTCTAGTGCGCGCAGGCTCTCTAGAATGGGGAGGCCGATGGCGTACAATGCGCCGCCACCTTCAGCGTAAAAGTTCTCCAGGGTGAGCATAAAGCGCTCAAGCGGTGTCTTCTCCGCTACTGTCCCGGTCAAGTTAAGGTCGAGAGCAGCAACTGTAATGTGAAACTGGAGGACCCAGGGCCAGTCGTAGAGTCGCTTCTTGTTGCCATCCACCCCGATTGGCCTATCACGGACAAACCCATTCTCTTCCTGTAGCTTGGTCGACACATAAGTGTAGTACTTCTCTAGAGACTGTCGCAATTCAAAGTTCTCCGGGTCCTTCTTTAACCAGCGTGCGATGAGGATGCCCATTCCCACACGTTCGCGGCCGGGGTTCCGGTCTGTGGATGTATCCCACGTCGCCAGAGCGTTAGCTTGGTTATCGAAGACACATTAGGCTCCCTCAGCTGGTGTGTCGGGTGTAAGGTCTTGCTGATTCTCGATGATGAATTGAGTGCGGCTAGCAATCAAGTCGTCGTACCTTGGGACGACATTGAGAAAAATTGTAGAATTATAGCCATTCTCCGTGGTGACCACGAGATTCGTCCGGCCTGGACGCCCGGCGGTGAAGTTGTAGTAGCATTTGTCGTCGTCACATTGCACTGCTTGGCCACTGATTTTCGTGTTGGCGTTGACAGGAGCACCAGTGAGGGAGATGGAGCCTGTCTCTTTGGTGATGGTTGTGTAGTTGTCTGTCTCGATCCGTACGAACTGCTCGGAGTGCACGGCGCTCTGCTTGAAGAAATCCTCCCAGTCGCTATGCCAGAACCACGTCCAGGCGATCGTACTCGATGCGCCTGGCTCCAGAGTGGGAATGGAAGGATGAAGTAGGAAGACGCCACGCGTGTTAGACAGCGTAACGGGATCGCGCGCCTCGATGCTGTAACCCACCAAGGCGCCATGGGTCAAGACAAATCCGAGATTCCGATACTTCCCGCCCATCTGGGTCAACTTGACCCAGGAAGAAGCTCCCCCGAACGCCCAGACATGAGCATGTGAGCGCGCCTCAACGCAATCACTCGTGTTTGTATAATGATCGTTGAAAGGGGTGTAGATGGCCAAGGATGTTGTTCCTCGGCTGTCCAGTTTGAGAGGTGTGGCGCCTTTGTTCGTGAAAGTATAAGACTCAGTGAAGGATTGATTTGCGTGGTTGATGCTTCGGCTGACCCAAAGTTCCATTGGTCCAGCGTTATAAACTGCGTCAATGGTGTTGTCGTGCTTCGTGATCCGAGGGAAGTTCCAGAAACTGCGGTGGAGAGAATACTGGCCCAAGTCTGCGTAGCCTAGACCCCACCGACTTCCGGTCGGGAGCCAGGGCGCGTTAGAACCGGTACTGACCCAGTTCATGACATTTTCGAAGCGTGGATCGGTGATTTTGTCAATGGCACCGGTCTTGTCGTTGATGCTTATGCGAAAATCATGGCTGTCCAGATCAATGGCCGCGGCGACGACGACGCTGAGACAAAGGAGGAGAGTAGCTTTCATCTTATAAGTCAGCTAAATCTCAATACAGTATATCCTTACTAGTAGACTATAGAGCTTCTACTCATCATTATTCGTTATTGCTCTTCTATTTGTATGCGTTCTAGCATCTGCCAATAACGCTTTCGCGCTGCGTTCGACCGAGGCGCATGATATCATGGTACAAACAGCTAGATCTAAACAGGGTCAAGCAGCTACCATGCAGACTAATGAATCAGAAGCTTGCGATGAGAGTTCAGTTGAGGGAACCGAAGGGGCGATTGATGCGGAGCTATCCGAATCTGCTATCGGACAAGCCCAGGACATTGCGGTGCAGAGCTCTGCAGAGGCAGCAATCCGATTGAAAGATGGCTGGTCTTCGGCAAGAACATGCCATCGGGAAAACCTGCAGGCAAAATCCAAGTCTCATTTATCTTGTCACTTGCTAAGATTATCCGTTACGTGGGTGAATGTGTATTCGGTTTTCGCCTTATCTCACCGCGAGATCCCGCTATACTTCATTTTGCCGCGAGATCTACTCCGAAGCCCGGTATTTTGCCCTCAAGAACCCCTTGGCAAGTAGCAGAACAATGATGACCATAGTTTGCACGAGCTGAGCCCGACAATTAGTGCCGATTGAGATAGCTATAAGCACTGGATTTTATATCTAGCCAATTCTGGGTCAGGGGCAGAGACAAAGGCGAGATAAGAGACCGAGCAGTGCCAGAAGCTCTTGTGAAGACTCCATCCTCAACGGCATTGCTTAAATTCCCTATGAAGAAACGTCCCCGCTGACGAAAACAACCTGAACCGCAGCATATCTGTGCATCGATAGTCAGTTTGAATGAAGGATACCAAATAAAACACCAACTACTCACGCGGCAGTGGTGGCGATAATTTCGGCGTTGCGCGCATCAGTGAGTACCGAAAGTGCTAAAGAACACAAGGCCGAAAAGCCGACAATCGTGCAGAGGCGAGCAATCTGTGACTTGATGAAGTAAAGCGCAACAATTGACAGGATTGGTAATACAGATGACACGATGACTGCAAGAATGCGAACGAAGTTCCGTATGCGATCGTCGGATGTGAAGTTCAATTTGCCTCGGGTTCGTGATCGATCCTCCTGAGTATGATAGCAAACATCAGTAATTGTTCGCTGATTGAAAAACATACCTCTTATGACGCAATTACCTGGCTCTGAAACAATCGAGCAAAGAATTTCATGATGAAGTTTGTCATCGGGTCTGAGGGTGCTTCTCCAAGAGCCACCAGATCGTCGAAAAACTCTTCACGAAGAAAAGCCTTGTCATCAGGCATCATGTTGGAAATATCATCCTCAAAATATCTATTCAAGACCTTCCAGGCCCTCCTCTTTGGTTTCTTCAGCGCTTGAATGGAGACTTGGCATTGCAAAGCACTATCTTTCGCCCTGATTAGATGATGAGCGCACCTTTGCCGTCACTTGAGGCTTGGCTGAATATGGATGTCAATACTTACTGTACTTCTCTAGCTTGTGTCGTATCTCTTTCACGATCTTGAATTGCTCACTCCCTTCGGACCCGTCCTCGCTTCCGACTAAGTCGTCCCATGATCGCGGCACTTGCCAGCTTGTGAGTCCCTTGCTTGTGTCACTGAGAGATTGGTCGAGCATTACAATCTTAGATTCGAGGTAAGCTAACTCTGTCTGCATGTAGAGTAAGTTGCGTGAGTTGAGGCAGCCAAAACGACGGAAGCTGAGCAAGTCACAAATGGGTTAGCTCACAATACGTCATGTAGTAAGTCAGGAATATCTTCTCTATTCTTCGCTTACATCATTAGGTCTTGAGATGCACTCATAGCGTCTGCGACAACGCCATATCCGAGTTGGCGAGGTATCTCCCCAAGCTCCGTGTTATTCGTAGAATTTGGGGTTGCCATGTCGAGAACTCAAAGACTGATTAGTTGAGAAATCTTGATGTTTCTGTCACCGAAACAGTCAGAGCAGTGGGGTCTGGAAACATGTTTATGATTTGATTGCACACGTATGGGCCAAGCCTGCGAGCCCAGCGAATATGAGTACTTTTGGATTCGTTTCTTTTTGGGGCAGCCCGGGTGAGTACATGTACTTCATGTGAGCCGGAAGAGCGGAATTGCCCATCACTGAATCTGATGCCATGGACACCGCTTCTTAATCGGCTCCTCCTGCTCTTTCTATCACAGCCCGCATCGGTGATTGACATGTAGACCTCCAGCTGACGTTGAAGTGTACCCGACATCCCCACACTGGGGTTTGTATTCACCAATCTGAGTTTAAGACGGAGGCCTGAAGAGGTCCGAAGATGCAATATTGTCGCAGATTTTCCAAGTCATCGCGCCATTGAGAGTATCCAAGGGCAATATGCGTGGCTAGCTGCTAGGCAAGCCGAAGCGATTCGCCATTATTGGTCGCCCCGAATCATAGAAGGCTCTCGACCGTGCTACGGGAGCGGGGTAACATGGACATGATATGCACATCAATCTCTGATCTCTTGGCTTCGGCAGGGGCTGGGGTTTAGTGTCAGTCCAATTGAGATCGGGTATAATTGTTAGGCCCGGATGCCAGTCAGGAGTTCAAAACTATCCATCTACATGCGCGCACTAGAAATTTCCTTCGACATACCTTTCTTTGGTTGAGAGACTTTGAAAGCTGATAGTTTGACAAGAATATCCTCAAGATTCCTCTTTGAACGATTGTTAGCAGAGGTTCCGTCTTTCTCAGTATCCGGCAGCGTGGTTTGATTCGACCAAGGTGAACGTACCTAACTAAGTACGTACATTTCACGATCGACGACCCAAAAAAGTTCCCAACCTCCGCACGGACCGGTCCGAACCGCAATTCCGAGAATGGAACACTCCGGGATCTATCTCGCCAGCGAAGAGCAGGGTTCAGACCCATTGTTCGAAGCAATCGCTCCGAGTATCCAGATTATACGCCTCCAGTTGAAAAGACACAGACTTCGGGAATCCTCACTCTCTCGGGCAGCGCTGCAGAAGATTAATGTTATCTTCAGACAGCACTTTGATGAATTGCGGGAGCCATCACACAGGGCTAGTTGGTGGTGGTTTCAAGACGCCGAGTACATGTCTTCTACACTGCGCGATGCTATAGGAAGAATACAAAGCCCGTTCAGCTCGACCGCCATCGATGCACTCCGGACTCTGGGTGACTACGTCGTCAAATGGTACTCCCCAGACGGGCTGGGAGCCGCTGTTACCATATATAGTCGAATTCTCACCCAGATTGACAGCCAGCCATCCTACCTGCAAGATGAAAGGAGACCGCATATTGTCAAAGAACTGGCGAAACTATACATCGATCCGACACTATCGCGTGAGAGATGTGCAGGTCAACACCCTATCATCTTACAAGGCCTCTCCGAAGTAAGAAAGGGCGATTACAACGATGTCGTCCAGTTCTACCAGAATCTTGGGGAATGGTATCTGCATGAAGGTGGCAAGAGTATGGAGTTGCAAAGTCGAGTGAACTTAGGCGAAGAAATTCTTCGACGCACGCATGAGATACAAGCACAACTCTTTGGCGAGAATGACTATCGCTCGGTAAAGACTGTAGACATCCTCTCAAAGCACTACACTCGGACAGGCAGAGAGGTGGAAGCTGCATCTCTGCTCGAGACTATTCTCCGCTCTCAAAAGGCCTCGAAGAAACCCCTGAATTATGCTTCAGTTGGCACTGGAGACAAATGCGAGAACATTAACGACGATGAAGACGAAGGTGGTGGTGAATTCGAAGGAGCTGGTGACGAGAGAAAACGCCGGGCGCTCGAAGAGTGGAAAGACTCCACGAACAGCTTCCATGATACATTACGTTCTTTGATCGCACCGCCTTCATTTGCTTGGAAGGATAGCCAACTTTATCTCTGCGACATTGACAACATTCATTGGCAGAAAGTGGTACTGACAGAAACGCTCGAAAACTACCCCATTTGCATGGTTGTGAAAAACTGCAAAGTCAAAATTCGGGTACCAATAGCAACCATTCTTGAAAATGGAGAAGAAAGCGCTCAGGTAGCTGCGCTGATCAAATCAGTGGAAGAATCGCACTTCTGCAAGTTACTCAAGTCAGGCGCTGCGGATACAGACCACCAAACAGGTCATAACAACGCAAGCGATTTGCCCGATACTTGTGCAAGTAGGTATCAGCGAAGTAGGAGATGGATACCGAGAGTTGTACCTCGGGGCATCAAGCCAGATTTAACCTCGCCGGATGTCGAGAACAGACTCTGGGTATTTCCACGAGAACTGGTGGCATCAAAATGGCAGACCCCTCAGGTAGGAGATTATTCATTCTGTGTCATCGTATATTGTAATAGCTGACCTTCTGACAGCATCATGAGGGCTTGGGCCAGAGGGCTCCGGATTACACTCATGTTCAACCAATCTACGAATATGAAAAGCTGCCTGGCCTTGAGGAATGGGTAGTCATCGTGACATATTCAGGAGAGACAGAAGTGTTCAAGGGTTGGAGACAGCAAGGACAGTTGCAGTATCTTGGTCCAGCGAGGACGGGTGGCGTTCCTCGTATCGATAACCTTGCTCATACGTGGCTGTTACGGAACGACCTAGAACACACAATTCAACAAAAGCTCAACGAGAGTTCCTCTATCAGTCTCACCTGCCCGTATATCTGTTATGCGGAAGTACGCAAGCTACGAGGTTTCGGCTGGGGATTCAAGTATGCCGACTTTATGCAGCAGCTGCGTCTCTCAGTCCGGTTTTCAGGGCAAAGTGCCGGTATTAGAGGCTTTAAAGCAGCACTCTGCAGGAATCCAACCATGAACTCAGCAATGCCGAAGCTCACAAAAATTGTAGATCGAAATATTTGCAACCACGTCTCAGGCGGCACCAACGACTCAGAATTGAATGTTTCCGGGAAACACCACGCATCAGATGGATTCTTCAATCAAATTCCTGGGCTATCTCTTTTGATACATCCCAGAGATAGATGGCATGGGTTTAATCTTGTTTCGTCGACATGGGCGGATTGGGAGGCTTTCCTAGTCAACGATGACCTCCCGGGGAACGGTTGTCCTAAGCTAATATCTCCAAACGGCGAGCCTATGAACTGCCGTGGGATAATCCGCGGGAGATGGATGCCGAGCGACCTCATGGGGTACCATCTGGTAGAGGAAGTGTACGTTGTCGATGCGGTGTTCAATAGCACCCGGGAACCTACCACGCAGTGGGACTTCATCTTTTCCGCCGGCACCCTCCATGACACATCAAAGACCCCTAGTGCGTTCTACCTCTCGATAATTGCTGAATGGCCGCAGAATTTGCTAAGAAGTGTGTATATAGTGAGCGCAGCAGAGAAACGTTTATTGGTGGGGAGTCTGAATCCATCGTTTTTCGACTACATTCACCCATTCAGCGGTATGAAACTAGGGAGCTCGTGGTTCAAAACAAGAGCCAAAACATCTGCACGTAGGTTCGAGTCATTTCTTTGTCTATCCAATAATTGTTTAAGAATCCGTTTCTAATTCATGGCCTTTGCAGGAACAGCGAAGGAACTTACATTTCAGGAAAACCTGATGTTGAAGGCGGTGGAGAAGAAAAAGGAGTTTGATCAGTTGACTGAACAGAAAAAGCGGTGGAAACATGACTCCCGAAAGATGGCGGAACTCGAAAGAGAGTTTCGTATTTGTGAAGAGAAATGGAAGCAATTTGACAAAGACCTAGCTTCGACGAAGAACCAACTTGATAGTATGCCTATATAGGAACGTTTTGCCCCAATCCATAGTTACTAGCAAACTTTGTTGGAGAGAAGAAGCTCTGAGAGAGTATAATTCACCAATAAAACAGTCTAGCCTGTCAATCAATTTAGTAAAATTGTCGTCCCATCAAGTGACACTGGAAATGGTATTCTTAAAACCTGTGTAACGACAGGGAGTCTCATATGGTGTGAAACATCTTGATAGCCTCTTGGGTAAAGCCGTAGTGGGCTGAGAGAGAAAGAAACATGCTTGGGATTCGTACTCAGAATGCTAGTCACCCCTTCTTCTCACTTTATGAACTGTCTGTCTGCGAAGTTGCGGTCTGTTCTCTCCTGGCCTGATCTGTTCGCAAAGCTTTGCGTTTATTAGCGCCAGATCTTTTCCGAAACCCGATGTTAGGGCTGACCGTGAGCATCCCCGTCATCCCATTTTCGATGTTTATAGTTGTATGGCAGAGAAAGACGTACAATGCCAAGGTCTTCTGAGTTACCAAGATTCAGGGTTGAATACTTCTGTGGCAGAACCGTAGAATAAGAGGCGGGCACAATTAGAGCCCTTGTAAGTGACTGTCAATGTATCCAGCACTGAAAGAGGACAAATGGTTTTGCTCAATTATAGAAGCCTGTGCCGTAGCGGAGACTATGAGTCGTATTCTCATTAGATATTTAGTACGAAAGGCTACGTGCACTCTTATCCATTACTGGGAGATGAACCTCTGTGAAGTTGCTCCTGATGCATGTTCGTCCGGCCCTGCAGTTGGTGGATTGAGGCTCGCAAGGTGTGACTGCTAACTCGGTTGACTGTGTTGGAAGGAAACTTAAGGTTGACTATGCCAAATCGCAGAGCGAGACTCTCGGTGCTACGCTAACAGTGACCCGTGCCTCGGCTCATGTTGGACCAACACGAACTTCATCCAGATAACTTCCCAGGAACCTGGCCATTATGTCGGTTCGACTTTGGGCCAACGCCGTATCCGTACACGTACTTTCAGACAAATGGTATGTGATCGCATAGGGGCTAGGCTACCATGTTTAAAGCAGAAAAGTGTTCTAGACACACCAAGTACGTTTTCGCCGGAGCAAGCCAGCCGGCTGTATTGAGCTTTCTGCAAGCGATCCTCGCCAACGACGGTTTGATTGGCGAAGGGAGGTATGCCGGAAAGTGTTAGTCGTATCAAAATTAGAAATCTGTTCTGGGTTTTCGGCGTTGTTTGTGGCGTTGGTGTTGGCAGAAATGATCGGCGACAGATGTTCTCGTCCCTCTAGGCAGACGTGTAACTAAAAACCAAGGCTGATTGGCAACGCAAAAGCGACTCAGAGGGCTACCAAAACAGCCCCAAGTTGGTCGGAGGGCTCCCATTTGCGTTATTATTGACCTGAGAATACTTTATTAGTGGCCTTAGGACTCATATAGGATACAACATGAGAATTGTGAAGGAGAATGAGGGGAACTTGAGGTGAGGTACTAGGCCAAGGTTCTCGTGTCAACGCCATGGTTCCTGGCCCTGGTTCAAGGCTCAATGGCTAGAGGACAGAAGTTCCCATGGATAAGGATCACGGGGCACATTCACCGACTTGTTCCCATGTGAGATCACGGCTGAGGGATTTACAATCATGATGCTCGGTTTGCCATATTCGGTGTTGGCCACCAGACGTCAAAATTTCTTGGCAGGCGATTGGTACGGCGTTGTTCTTGTCTGGAGGCTTTGCGCCCGTTTCCCATGGGGAAATTGAAGCTTGTAGGTAATTTTAACGTAATGGATGTCCTCCGCGTCCGAAGGGGAGAAGGGGCGTGTCCCCTGTATTGTATGAGGCATTTTTCTTGGCATTCTCACCCAGCTCTCCAGGGCTCGTGTTAGTGATATTGGGGAGGCAGCTTATCCAAGGCGTGATTGAAGGCGTCTCTGGTATAAAAATTCGGGTTGAAATTCTGGTTCGTCGGTACAACAGACATTGTTGCATTGCATTTTATTTGCATCGCTGGTGTTCACCTCTACGTGCATTGTCTTTCTCATCACACGACGTACAGCTGCTGTGGTACCTATCCCTCATTTTTGCCATGGAAGACCGCAAGAAGTCGGCAGAGATTGTCCGCCCCAAGGGTAGTCACAATGCCCATATATCCTTTCACGGAGACGAGGAGATGGGGAACGACATTCGTGGCCGGCCGAATAGTAACGCCAAGAGCGCCAATCGTCCTCGATCAGCACGCTCAGCTGCAAGCTCTATTTCGAGACGGCGTCGACAGAGCACTTCGGAAAACTTCGGTATTCAAATCGGCTATCGAACTCTTTCAATTCATGTCTCGGAATCTCAGCATGCAACTGCGAATGCAGAGAATGACCTCAAGGCGGCCAAGGAAGGTGACGATGAGTACTTTGCTGAGCTCAATTTTCACACCCTTCCTGGTGTCCAGGTCTGCCAGCAACTGGGTGTTTCCCCAGACCAAGGACTTTCCGAACAAGAAGCATCTACTCGTCTTCAGACGAATGGACCCAACACCCTTCCAGAGCCACAAGCCAACTACCTCAAGAAGCTCTTCGTCTACGTCTTCGGTGGCTTTTGTTCCGTCCTATGGATCGGAGCTATCATTTTCTTCATCTGTTGGAAGCCTCTGAGCGATCCTCCTTCCGCTCAGAATCTTGCAATGGCTGTCTTGATTCTTATCGTCATCTTTCTCCAGGCCGGCTTCTCCGCCTTTCAAGACTGGTCCACGCAGAAGACGATGAAGTCCATCACCAGCCTCCTTCCCTCGGAGACTCTCATCATGCGCAATGGTGATGTCAAACGCATGGCAGCATCTGAGCTCGTGGAAGGTGACATAGTCCACCTGCGTACCGGCAGCAAGGTCCCAGCCGATCTTCGACTTCTTTCTCACTCCGGCGATATCCGATTCGACCGAGGCGTACTTACTGGTGAATCCGACGAGGTTGAAGGCGCCATTGACTCGACCGATACGAACTTCCTCGAGAGTCGTAATATTGCGTTGATGGGTACAACTGTTGTGAACGGTCACGGCGTCGGCATTGTTATCTTGACTGGTGCTCGGTCGGTCATGGGAAGAGTTGCACGGGCTACAACGGAAGTCGGAGAGAAGGCCACCCTGATCCAGAAAGAGATATGGAGATTTGTTCGGATCATCGTCGTTCTCACGGTCTTCCTGGCACTCTTGATCTTCGTGGCCTGGATCGCTTGGCTGAAGCGGGACCACCCTTCATACATGAACGTGGTCCAGATGCTGAACAATGTCATGGGCTGTGTCGTCGCTTTTATCCCCGAAGGCATGCCGGTGGCTGTTGCCTTGACCCTAATGATGGTTGCTCGAAGGATGAAGGCGGTTAACATCTTGCCCAAGGGTCTTTCAACTGTTGAAACCCTAGGTTGTGTCAATGTCATCTGCTCTGACAAGACTGGAACGTTGACGCAGAACCAGATGACTGTCAACTCTGTAGCATTCGTGGACAAGCCTCTCAGTTCACCCGACGATGTGCACAAAGGTCTCAACGAGGAAAAGCCTGACGCGATCTTTTCTGTACTTCAGAAGGCTGCTCTGATCTGCAACGATGCTTCATTTGGAGCGGATACTATGCATCTATCTCCTCAAGAGAGAACAGCCGAGGGCAACGCGACCGATGTGGCCGTCCTCAGATTCGCGGCTTCAGCTCGAGACAGTGATGCGATAATGTCAAACTCCGCACGGGTGTTTTCTATTCCATTCAACTCGAAGAATAAGTGGATGCTCACACTGGTTCACGAAGACACTGTGGAGAAGAGCAATCGGTTTCGCGTGTTTGTCAAGGGTGCACCTGATGTTCTCTTGCCCGCCTGTGCCAGCTTCTGGTCGGGGAGAACGCAGTCCATCGAGGCTCTTGACGGCAATGCCAAGATGTTGTTCAAGGATATTCAGGACAAACTGTCACGGAATGCTGAGAGAGTTGTCGTCATCTGCGAGAAAACACTGGAAACTGTTCTTCCTCCTGGAACCAATGCCTTTAGCGACGAGGTTGCAATGAAGGCTTTGGAGAATCTCACCGTCGTGGGTATTCTAGGCATTATTGACCCTCCTCGACCGGAGGCTGCGTGGACTGTCGCCAATTGTCGACGTGCTGGTGCGAGATTTTTCATGGTTACTGGCGACTATGGCGTCACTGCCGCCGCCATAGCTCACAATATTGGCATCTTCACGACATCGGAGCCCGACACTTTCGACACCATCAGGAGGGGCATGACACCTACGGCTGAAGAGCTTCGACATGAGCGCCTTGTTGGCAACGGTCGCAGTCTTCTTCTTGAGGGAACGTCTATCGCTCGGCTTGTCACTCAAGACTGGGACGTTGTGTGCGAGTATGAGGAGATAGTCTTCTCACGCACGACTCCTGAGCAGAAGTTGCGTATCGTCAACGAGTTCCGCGACCGCGACAATGTGGTCGCGGTGACTGGAGACGGTGTCAATGATGCTCCGGCGCTCCGAGCTGCTGACGTCGGAGTAGCTGTCGTCACAGGCAGTGACGTCGCGATCGAGGCAGCAGACCTTGTACTTATGGACCAATTTGACTCTATCGTCGAAGCCATTCGTCTCGGACGTCTTGTCTTTCAGAACCTGCAAAAGGTCATTGCTTACCTCCTCCCTGCGGGTAGCTGGTCCGAAATTTGGCCGGTCCTTGTCAACGTCTTCTTTGGCGTCCCTCTACCATTGAGCGTCTTTCTCATGATCGTTATCTGTGTTTTTACCGACTTGTTTCTCTCTCTGTCCCTCATCATGGAGAAGCAAGAGTTCGATTTGCTATCTCTACCCCCTCGGAACGCGAAGCGAGATCACCTCATCAATCTCAAAATCTACGCGCAAGCATATCTGTTCACCGGGTTCATGGAAACGGTCTGCGCTCATTCAATGTTCTTTTTCTACATGTGGAAATATGCCGGCTTCCCGATCCATGAGCTTTTCTTCTTATTTGAGGGCTATGCTGAGGGCTACCATGGGTACACGCTCGATGAGCTGACCAGCTTCAATGCAACCGGTCAATGCGTCTACTTCGTCACGTTGGTTTTCCTTCAGTGGGGTAATATCCTCGCGGTCCGCAATCGGAGACTCAGTATTGCTCAGGCAGACCCGATCACTAAGAAGAGAAGAAACCCGTGGCTTATTGCGAGCGCCATCATCAGTCTCGCTATTGCAGTCTTCGTCACAGAAGTTCCTGGAATCCAGAAGCTTTTCGGTACAGCGTCAGTTCCAATTGAGTTCTGGCTCCTTCCCATACCTTTGGCGTTGGGCATCTTGTTCGCAGATGAAACTCGAAAGTTGCTTTTAAGGCTTTTCCCGCAAGGCCCCATTGCCAAAGTTGCCTGGTGAGCAACGCCTCGAAATGTGGCCGAAGGGAATCGGGGTATGAAGGATGTGAGAGACCATACTAGATATAGCGTTAGTGCCTAACACTTCCAAGCTATTCTCTGTTGTAGAGAGACAAAGTCGAGGAACACAAAATCACGCCCATTGAAAACTTCACTCCTGAGCACCTTTTTGCACGTGACGTTCCAAATTGCAAAGCCCCCGTCTGGTAAATTTTTCAATACTACAACCAACAAGCTCGAATGTGCCTTGCCAAGCTAGGGTGTTGGCGCGCGCCTAGAGGGGCCGCCAGGGTTGGAGTTCACATGAGCTCGGAACATGCGGACTAAGATGGCGTCCTTGGGGCTGATCCAGGATGGATGCGGAACCCGGCCGGGCCGTCTAACAAGGACCGCAAGCTATAATGGGGAGCAACTGATCAAATCCACACTAATTCGGTATCTTTTTGTTCAAGGCTTGGACTAGGTCTCCTGCATTTCAGCTGTGTCAGGCGTTGTATGGTTGGGTAGTATGCATGAGCTGCGCCGCCCCCTCCGGAGATGAACCAACAGAACCAACCAACAAGTCCAACGACCGTGGGGGTTGTTGAAAATCAGGCTTTCTTTTAATCTCCTTACTGGCCGCGGAATCTTCACTTATATTGACCGAAGTCATCCGCAGCTCATAGCTCTTTGCAACTACTTGGGCAGACTCTTACAAACATGTCTCAAGCTACCCTCGATGCTGGAGCTCTCGATGAGTTGAACTCTGTCGAGACTCGAATTTTGTTCGACACAACCGACAAGCTTTCCTCGCTTGGAATCGGCAAGATCGTCAATCTCCCCCAAATCATTGTCGTGGGGGACCAGTCATCCGGAAAGTCATCTGTCCTTGAGGCCATCTCGCATGTCAAGTTCCCGGTTAGCTCGGGCTTGTGCACTCGTTTTGCCACAGAGCTGGTCCTCCGCAACGGCACCCAAAGACGTGTCAAGGCAACTATTCGGTTCCACAACGATGTTAAACCGGCACAGGAAATACGGGTCGACTTTTCTGAGGGGGAAGACATTGGAAAAGTCGTTGCGGCCGCCAAAGAGCACATGGGCCTCACCGATTCCAACAGAGGATTTTCCAAGGACGTTCTTCGTCTGGAGGTCGAGGGTCCAAACTTGTACCCTCTCACCCTTGTCGATCTGCCTGGAATCTTCCACACCGCGACAGCAAAGCAGTCAGCGGAGGGTAGAACAACGGTCATGGAGCTGGTAGAGAGTTACATGGAAAAGAAGAACAGCATCATTCTCGCCGTCATTTCAGCAAGTAATCAGCTCGCCAACCAGAGAGTTCTAGAAGAGGCCGCGAAACATGACCCTGCCAGAGAACGTACGCTTGGGGTCATTACCAAGCCAGATCTACTCCACCCAGGATCACCAGACGAACTCGAATACCTTCAAGTAGTTAGAGGCCGCGAGGCTGTTCACAACCTCCAACTGGGATGGCATGTGTTGCGCAACCTTCCAGACTACGGTATATCAGAGGTAGATGCTGAATCTCGGGACGTAGTCGAGAGAAAATTTTTCGAATCCGGATCCTGGGCGTCCATACCGGTAATTCACCGAGGTATATCTGCTCTGCGGAAACGCCTCAGCCATATCCTTCATGATCATATCAAGAAAAACCTTCCAAGTGTTCTTCAAGAGATTCAGGGAAAGCTGACTGATAATGAGACTGAGCTCGCACGCTTAGGGCAGGCCAGATCCAGTGCTGCAAGTATGAGAGCGTATCTCGTGGACATTGCGGGAGAGTTCGAGAGACTTGTACGCGACGGCATTCAGGGCCATTACAGTGATCCATTCTTTGGTGGATTCGATGGGACTGATCGGAAGTTACGCTCTCACCTGCGAAATTTCAACCGAGCCATTCGTCACATCCTAATTATGCAGGGGTCATTGCAGAAGATTTCCCCGGGCGTTTCTGGAACGAAGAGACGGAGGACCATGCCTCTACATCTTGAAGAGTTTCTCGAAAAGCATCCATACGACCTTCCCATGCCAGAACCAATTACTTGGTCAGAGATGGCCACTCAATTGGAGCGGCAAGCGGCCGCAAATCAGGGTACCGAGTTTCCCGGATATGCCAACACGACCTTGATTGTGCAGCTGTTTCAGAGACAATCGAAGCCCTGGGAGGCCGTCGCCAGGCTACACCTGAAGAAAGTCATCATTGTTGCGAAGGCATTCGTAGACCAGGCGTTTGAGCACGTAGCTGGACCCTTGGGCACCTGCAGCACCACTTCCACCATTTTGTCGACTTGCGTCGATCCTTTTTTTGACGCAAAGGAGGAAATCCTCGAGAACAAGTTGCGAGAGCTTCTTCGACCCATCCAAGAGGGATACGCACTACCTCTTGACGCTGACTTTCAGGAAGCTGTGGATCGCAGGATTTCTGATCGTGACTTGGACGATGCCTCGGAGGATTCCGACAACGATGACTCAGACGACGACAGCTCGGAAGGCTCCCAACGCACGGGAACGGACCTCCCACATCGACGCACTGAGTTTGGGACCGGGTGGGCCATAGAAACAATGCAAACTTTCTACGAAGTAAGTTATGATGATTTGTTAACTTAACGAGTCGTAAGCTTACTGACTTGGCGCAGATGACATTGCGCACATTTACAGATAACCTGATCAACCTTGCGTTAGAGAGCTGTCTCATTCAAGAGCTTCCAAGAATTCTAACACCAAAGGACGTCAACGCAATGGATGATACAAGGTTAGAGGAGCTCGCGGCCGAGTCGGAGGAAATTCGTGTGCGACGCACACAGCTACAGAGCGATATCAAGCTTCTCAAGCAGGGTCTAGATCAATGCCGCCGATATAGGCCCAGAGGCGTGACAGGTAAGCATATCTCCGTGCCATTTCAATTGAAAGACAGCAAGAAAATGGCTCAATGACAATTTTCTCAGTTCAACCCACTAGTCCCACGAAGAGCGTTCAACGGGAAATTGATGGACTGTTGTCTACAAATGGTAAACAAGTGTTGTATCGCTTCATGATTAGAGTTAATACTGACTGGTGATGACAGCTACACTTCACCACCAACGATCAAGCCCAGCACCCAAACCCAAGGCAATTCCTATCGTCAGACCATCCACGGAATCTGACGAGCTGGTCAATTCTACCCCACCTAAGAAGACGAAAAGACTAGTGGTCAAATTACCTCCCCCCAGAAGCCATGCGCCAACTGCCGAGAAGTATAAAATGAACTTAACAACAAAGGATAGCGGACTCCGGGGCAATACGTATAAGAAAACCGCCGGGTTCAATGACAGAACCAGCACCGCATTGGATCCGAGCCCAACTCAGCCTCATTCAAGTTCCGGTAATACAGACGGGACATCGAGACGATCTTCAGAGGATCCAAAAACGTTCCGCTTTGACAACGGTTTTGGAGGGCTAGAAGTCAAGGAAAGCAAACCTCTCTTCGGAGGGTTCAGTGGGAGCCCAAGTCGTCCCTTCAACTTTGAGTCTCAAAACCCTACCGCGGTGACTTCACCATTCGGATCCAGCAAAGGAAAAGTTCAGGGTGAGAAGACCGGCCTTTTTGCATCGATGCAGTAGAAAGCTTTCTTCTCCGGCTGACCTACAGAAAGACCGTGAACAATTCACAGGGGCAACCGCCATACTCGACAGCAGCCCGAAGATGCTGCATGCTCCCCTTGCTCCATGGACGAGCCATGAAAGGCCTGGGGAGATTTACGGCGGGAGGGAAAGGTTTGGTCACATTTGTTCCTCGGAGACCTTCAGGGACTTTTCACCTGAAGAAATTAGACTGGCAACTTATAAATTACTCTCGCATTCCTAACCACTGGACAACTGGCCATCGTGCAGTTTTTCTTATGAGAACAGATCTGGTATCCATAGTTAGCTGAATTAATTCCAGTAGCAACAAACCTGTCCTCATGCAACCAGCATTGTGATACAAATAGGTAGAGTAAGAGAAAAGGGAAATAAAAGAGAAGGCGGAAAAGAGTCATATTTCCTGTCCCTCTGAGGCCATTGTGCTCAAAGTATCCAGAGTTGATCTGGAGCCACTGCCTACTCTCACAATATGAAGTCTCATGGCACGCCTTTTGTTGTCAGCATGGCCCCAGATATAGTCGAATTTTGGCCTTCTGAAGTTTTAAGGCTCCTGTCTAAGAGCTTAAAAGCTTTAACGGGAATTACTAAAGAGATATTTTCGACGAGCTTGCAACTCGCACATAAGCCTTTGGGAAACTTATATAAGGTATCGCAGGGCCAGCTAGTTTGCCTGAAAACGTAGAATCACGCATAAGCGTGACTGTATGCCTTTGAAGCAATTGTCTGAATTGTGGCCGGGGATGCGACCTTGAGGATTGTGGCCGTCATTGCCTTGTAAAGTTATGGTCAGACATTTTCAGAATTTTCTTCTCCGTCGATACAGTACGACATGAGGGCGTTGAAGAAGCCGGTCAACCGTTGCATCCGTCTTCCGGGCCTCTTAAATTTGTTCACTTGGATTAACTAAATTATTTCTTCGTGCTCTTTGACATTTGAGGATAACTCAGTCCCTGGGACTCAACGCACCGATCACTCTCGGTCTCGGTATTGACATCACTTTGAAAATCTTCACATCTTTGTCAGCCGTAATATCCGTCTCGACGGCATCCGGCCGGGTTATCCGAACTATGAGGCCAAAGTCGCGATGTTCACCATGAAGAGGCTCTTTGCGCTGGGCAACGTGGCAATAATACGATGGAACTACGCATAGTTATTGAGCATAGACCGGAAGCATGACCGTCGTCCCGGTGGGCTGAAACCATAGACAAAAAGCATTGGCGAATCGGAACCGGTTCTAGATCACGACCAAGCCCGGGCGAGTTCAGCCTTTCCTTCTACACACTCGGCCTCGCCCAAGACACCGACTTCCGAAAAGAGGCCAATGGAAAACGGTAAATCCAATCTTCGGATTATTCTTTGCCGCTTTCCATTGAAATTGAAAAACGTGACGTCAAGTTGAAGGTCGGGGTCAGGTCCGTCGCACAAGTCATTTGATGTATCACATATCAGATGAGACCAGGCACACTGCAAAATTTGCCTTTGTGATGAGACTCCCGTCTACGGTGTGGCGGCCCTGCTCCCCTTTCCCTGACCTTTGGAAAACCTCCCGAAAAGCTTTTTGATCCTCATCCCCTACAACACTTCATTCATGCCAAGAAATGATCCCATTTTTGCAACGTCGCATTGAGCAGGCGAGTCATTGGCAAAGCGGTCATCTGAAGGACGGTACTAGGGAGCACTACGACGTCCAACACCAACCGTAACATCAGTATTTGCAAAGTATCGACACGATCGATGCATTAGCAATCGAAATAAACAATCCGATTACTTCCGCTTCTATCATCTCATTGATGTTTACACAGCCCAATATAGCCTGATAAGTACTGATCGCCGTTGGCCATCATGGACGACCTTGGCATAGTCATATCCTGTTTAGAATCAGTTGTTTGATGTGAGCGAAGTTCTTAGCAGTGAAGTGAGACGACGAGGTAGAGGTGGCAGAGCCAGCTCTTTGTGTGTCCGAGGTGCGATCGTCTCAAACGACGATCTAGTCTTTCTGGTAATAGACTAGATGTGGTGTCCAACGTGGTCGAAATCATCCCTCGGCCTTGGAGAAGCGCTCATTTGGCCCGACATTGAGGTAAAACGTGAGGCTGACGATGATCCACGGGTAACAGGAGCTGTTTCTCATGATCAATCTGCTAGGCTACAGCTTGTCGAAATATCCTCATTGGGCTGTTTCTCCGTCCTACCTCTCGTCATCAAACGCGCGGGAGACACTCGCCTCTGCAAGACATGATCCACAGGAGCTGTTCTGGACAATAGGATCCCGATACAATGTTTCCGTAGTCTTGATTATGAAGCAACCACTTGAAGCCCCATTTTTAGCCAAGAGCGGGATGTGGGAAAGTGCTAGCTTGCTTTGATGAAGCTTTGGATGTCACCAAATGACAGCTCTTTGACCTCCACATGGAAAGCTGCAAAGGTCTTGGCAGTGGGGTTCTGATCCAACATGTTTCCCTCTGGCTTGGCATCAGACGTTGCAGGCATTGGGTACCTACGATCTACCTTGGTCGACCCAACGACGCCATGCGTGAAAACATGGCCAGAATTTCACCGTTAGAAAGGAATTCAACTGACAGGTAGCTTCACGGACAATGTCGTAAGCCCATTTCGTACTATCGTACTCACTTGCGTCAATGTATTCGTAACCCAAGAATTCCGACTTCCGAATGTAGACTGAGAACCCCAGCCCATGTGAGACTCTCTCATACAGACATAAAATCACATAGAGAATTTTAGTGAGTGCCTCTAACAGGGCCTCTAAGATGCAACTGCCAAGATTGCTTGGTATCTGTTAGTGTCAAAAATTCAAAGCTTGGTTCAAATGCTGTGTACACACGCGAAGACCCTGTTGAAGGCCATCGCTCAAGACAGTGCCCGTGCCATTTTTGGAGCATAACACCCTCAAGAGGCAGGAATACACGGGCTATCTGCGCGGGGTCATGGACCTTGATCGTTGACACCTGCAATGTTACCTAGAGTATCCCTGGCGCCCTCGTGCTCTTGTTCCATTCTAGCCTAGTCTCGTGTGCCGCGGAAGCTGAGGGATGCGGCTAGTGTTTCCTAGTGCCCGCAGTATCCTAGTACGTCTGATCACGATGTCAGGTCCCACGCGAAAAGGCCACCTCTGGCCTCTGAGTAGCTCAGATTTCAATATTCATCTGACATGCGGCGTTTTGAGCTTCATCGGTATTCCCGTCTATCACAACCTGAACCCTTCGAGTGGCTGTCACCCAATTTCTCTGCAGGTTTCGTCGTACGACCTCAGAGCTTCCCGCCCATAGGAAACGTTCAGTAGCGTCTCAGGATATGTAGATGGGGGCCGTTCATCTTCAATTTCCGACGGTTCATTGCAGCCTGGCTACAACGAGATGAATGGTTGAATCCATCAGCATAGTACCCGTCGAAGTAAAACAATGGGGTCAAGAAAATATCACAAAGCGGAAGCGAGATGACATGGGTGTCCACAACGAGCCTCGCTGAGCTCTGCCCCGGATAATGACAGATTTCTTTAGCGACAAGCGATAATTCCACAACAGCCTCGCTGAGCTCTTCTGATTCGTAACAACTTGCGATCAAGGAATGAAACCCATTGGCTAACGAGGCTCGGGCAGGCGGAGCCACGAGCTCCCCGAATCCGGGTAGTCCCTCTTTGACGCCGAAACGCGGAGACGTTTCGCGGCGGGCCAAAGCGTCACCTATCCGTCCTCTTCGAAGACAAGCAAGACAAGGTCAAGGCTTTCTTTACCGAAGGCGAGATCCCCAGACCGAAACAATTGTTGGAGATTCCCGAGATGAATGCCCTGGATAACATCAAGGTCTAGCGCTGGGAAACGGTGAGGCTGTATCTGGTCAGTTTATTGTATCGTATGCGCGCGGATATCTTCAACGTCCCGCGTGCAACATCGCATTGGGTACTATTGAGATCTACCGGTACGACCTCGGATCGGCACATCTTACTGCGACCCTTCCAATCATGCACTGCCGTTGTTTTGACGAGCTAGGCGTGGGGTTGCTAATCACACGGGTTCAGTGTCAGGTTACATCGATCTCGAAGAATGAGGCTCTTGGTGTGGATGCCAGCCTCAATGGCATACTAAGTGACGATAATATCGATTGCTACTAATGGTGGGTGGTGAAAATGGTGTATGGCTAGACTTCTCATCTTTGTGTCGGCCGAGAAGGGGGCCTGAGACGGAGAGTCGGCGTTCTGTGACGCTGCGCATCGGTGTGGTTTCCTGTTGGGGCTGATTTCGTCCCATAAATGCATCAAACTTTGGCCACTGGAAAAGGAGGAAATGAGCTTTCTCCGTGGGTAGGCCGGCTTCAAATTTCATCAAGCCTATGAATTCAGAGGCGCTTAGAGCCGTAGAGCTAAAACCCGAGCCTGCCGTGGCAAGTACCGGAACCATTAGAGATGCATTTGGGTTGCGTAGTAATCACCGTGGTGGCCCAGAAGTCTGGACGACAGAAGCCAAGTCGTTCTCGCGAAATACGATTTGGCATGCAGTGTAGACTTTGGAGTAAAATCCAGCTTGGCTCATTGCCAGACCTGTACTGGCTGCAGCTGGCAAAGCCTCGTCCACAGAGTGTGGGATTGGGTAAGTTTGGCTGGGTTCTGCTGGAGATGCGTTTCTCGGCATTAACTCAAAAACAAGACAAATTCAGATGGTACTAATGTACCCCGCGTATCTTTCAAGCGTGGATACTTGTGGCGATACATACGGCCCGGTCCCGTCAAATCGCATCTGCATGGAAATGATCAGTTGAATCATGCGGGCCTCCCGGAAAGGATCAAGGCAAGGCCTGTACCCCTTTGTCCAAGAAGCATTGGAGAGAGGGGTCGCGAGGCGCGAGGGTTAAGGGAGGGTAGGGGGACAGGCCAGGTCTCCAGTTTACCGAAACGTCGTGGAAGACGTCTGGTACTTGGTTGCCATGATCAGCGCATACAGGTCTGATTCGACAATGGCAAGAGGAGGTCTGGCGTCTTCTGACCGTCATATAGAATGGAATTTGGGATGTTGTTTGCCTCAGGAACAAGGAGACGGCCTGAATTGAAACGATGTGTAGTACACTTGGCGGACAGAGCGTCCTGGTGGTGCCGTGATGCCCCGACGGCATCCGACGGGAGTCGTTTAAGCTCGCACCACCAACTTCAAGGCCCCAAGCTGGGGTCTGAGGGTTTGGGTTGGGTTTTCCTGGTTGTCCGTGAGTCCCAGAGGTGTAAGACCACCATCCACCAGACTTTCCCATTCGCCTCCTGTTCGGAGATAGATCTTCATTTCATAAAAGAGAAAGCCTCCCTGCCCACTTTCGGGTGGTTTTGTTGTTTAGTTCGCACGAGGGCGAACGGCAATTGCCAAGACAAGAGACTAAAGTAATTGAGCAGGTCTTGAATATTCCTTCTTTTGGACACGAACAACAGATTGCCCATCATGCTCGACTTCCTCCGCCGTCACAACTACAAGGTGACACGCCACATCACATCTAATCTGTTGATGGTCACCTTGGTATTTGGCATGAGTGTATTTACATTCGGATATGAAGGATCAACACTCAACACCATTCAGGCCATGACACGTGAGTATCACATTTCGGTATGAGAACCAGGAAGGACTAGCTGACAATGGGCTCTAAGCGTTTGAGGAACGGTTCGGCGACTACATCCCAGCTAAGAAGGCTTTCGGGTTCACATCAAACAAGCTGGCTTATATGAACTCATTTCCTCTCCTCGTCTATGCTGTCGGTGTAATATGCGGAGCCCAGATTGGCGAGCGATGGGGCCGAAGGCTGGTATTCATTCTCACCAACATCGTCTGCATGGCCGGAACAATCATCGTCTACACTGCAAAAAGTTACAATCAGCTACTCGCTGGCCGAATGATTGTGAACTTCCACGTCGGCATGGAGGCGTTTCTCATCCCGATGTTCCAAGCCGAGATCGCACCAGCAGCTGTTAGAGGCTCACTCACGGCCATTTACGGTGTAAACGGAGTTTTCGCAGCATTCATTGCGTCAATTATCACGGACGTTACGAGCAAAATCAAGGACGACAACTGCTGGAAGATTCCTGTGGGCATTGGCTTCATCTTCCCGGCCTTTTCCTTGTTCTTCTGGGTTCTCATCCCCGAATCACCGCGATGGCTTCTTCGGAAGGGGAACTACGCCAAGGCGGTTGAAAACCTTGACTATCTTTACGGAGCAATGCCGAACTATGACGCCGAGAAGGAAGCCAAGCTTCTTCAAGAAGCCCTCAACACAAGCGAGACCACTGGAAAGTGGAAGGATTTGGTTAAGGGCACGAACTTGGTGAGTAACTTGTTCAACGGTAGAATCTATCCGCTAATGCGTATTGCAGCGTCGTACCGTCAACGGCCTCATCGCTGCTGCACTGGCTCAACTTTCAGGTGCATCATTCTCCAACTTGTACGGCACAATCTTCTTGAAAAGCTTGAAGGTTATCGACCCTTTCATGGCAACCATGGTCAAACGAGGCCTCTTGCTTGCAACCGCAATCACTTTCATGTTCATCATCGACAAGGCCGGTCGCCGCCCGCTTTTCTTGTACATGGGCTTCATGCAAACAGCAGTTCTCATGGTCATGGGTGGGCTGGGTACGATTGCGCACCCGACAGTCGATATTAACAAAGGCATCGTTGCTTTGACGATGATGTTTCCCATTTTCCACTTCGTGTCTTTCGGAGGCCCGTAAGTTGCCCCTCATCAACGTGCATAGCGACCACGAGAAACTTTGTTGACATCCTATACAGTTTGCAACTTACTAAGACCGAAATTCCCCACATTACACTTCGAGACAAGTCGGTCATGCTTTTCTGGCTGACTGCTAACCTTTGCAACTTTATCTCAACTTTCACGTTGCCCTACTTGCTGCAGGAACCAGCGAACCTTGGTTCCCGAGTCGGCCTGATCTACGGTTCGATCTCAGCCTGCGGCCTGGTCTGGGGTTGGTTCTGCATGCCCGAGATGTCTAGGAAATCTCTTGAGGAGATTGATGAGATGTTTGCTGCTGGCGTCCCAGCCTGGAAGTCAAGACGTAAGTTCATCACCACATACAGAACGCGACACCAAGATCGGAAAACTGACTCAGAGCAGATTGGCGAGGCGAACAGACTGCTAGGATCACCGAGTTGGAGAACAATGGTGTGGTGCCTAGCGACAGCGACAGTGAGAGGAACAGCATCGCAAAGTCTGACTTGCAGCCGGTTGTCCAAGAAAAGCCATCTAAGGTCTGAGACCTAGATCTGCACATTCTGTAAATATTTTCACGACGATCGCATGACATGAGTACATGAAACGGGGTCAGTATATGGTATGTGAGAAGGATAGTAATGATAATATCTGACCGTAATAAATCCCTGTTGTCTTTCTATGATACTCGTGACCTTGCTGAGATCGCGTGGCTTTCGATGCGTGGGTGCCAGACAGCCTTACTTCACTAGCTCATCGTGATTGTGACTGGACGGATTCAAGGGTTCCGAAAGTCTGCCACCGGCGCCCCACGAAGGTTCAACTAGGCATCATACGCTGTTGATCAAGTTTTCACTCAGCATATTTTAGAACGTCCCAAGGGTTCCTAAACGTCAGAAGGGAAATGGTTGTGATGGGTGACTTTTGGAACGCGTAGGGATCTTCCTCGCATTAGATTGTAGCGCCTTCCAATTAAATTGTTGATGTTAGAGAACATACCGCAAGGCGGCATGTGCAGATAACCGTATTTTAGCGTTGGCTCTCATGATTGGTGATCGCCGCCAGGGGCTTAACTTTCCACGAGACTCTTCTGCGGAACCTCATCTCACATCCCCAACTTACTTCTGAACGCTCTTCTCTTTCGACTCAAAGATTTCTAGACTCTAGTAGGTAATTCATTATCTGTTTTGTAAGCTTGCCGAACAATTTAGCGCTCTCTCTTTTGAAAATGAGGCTCAATCTTGGGAAGCGAACCGTTCCGTTCGCCAGCGAAACAGTGTCTAATGTTGACTTTGTTTCCCTTTGATCAGATGGCGCGCTCGGACGAAACACCCGACGAGTTGAGAGACAGTCTGGCCGAGGCTACACCACGGGCGGCTGCATGTTACTGCACAACCCACCATTAAACAGGGAAAAAACTGAACGCAGCTGCTGCTGTAGGAGTATCCAGCTGGCGATGTCCCTTCGAACTGCGGTCTATCCCTCTCGGCGGGATCCACTCGATCTGCCGGCTCCCGAGAACTTTACACCAGGTTTGCCGACAGACGCGATCGGCGCGCTGCAGTAGCCTACAGACTTTGTTTCTTCTTGCGTCGTATCGAAGCAACTCTGGCTGTTTAATAATACCTCCGACTCCGAGAACGCGTGTTTTTTGCCTATCTAGTAATTGAGTAGCAAATGCTGCGGCTGCTATAGCCTAGAGGTCTCCGTACGACAAACTCTCGTTGCGTAGATCGGCTAAGACTGTCCTCCTTGGCGTCCCCGCGCTACACCCTCCACAAGCCGTGCTCCCACACATCGAGCTGAGCTCAAATACCATCCACCTGCCGCCTCCTGCAACGTTAGATCTTCACACACTCCCGCAGCGATCTGATATTATTTCAACCACATCTTCTTGCCGTCTCTACCAATCTGTCGAAGCAGCGGTGCCGAAATGAGAGTTACGCTTCCTTGCTCTGTGGCCTCTCTAGGCCTGGCCAGCCTCACTGTTGCGTTGGCGACGCCCAAGAGCTACTCTGTCGACAGGACCTATAGCCTTATGTCTGACTTGGGAACGAACTTCACGGTTTATGAGCACGCGGCGACAAGCTCCAGAACGAGATACGTCCAGGACTCGGGAATCTGCGAGACGACCAAGGGCGTCAAGCAATACTCTGGTTATTTCGACGTCGGTAAGTCTCCTTCCTCAACTCAACTTTCACCATCCTTGCGATGAAGGCAGAGAATCTGACGAGATACCGCAGGTACCGACCAAAACATGTTCTTCTGGTTCTTCGAAGCTCGCAAAGATGCGAATACGGCCCCCGTCGCTCTGTGGCTGAACGGTGGTCCGGGCTGCAGCTCCATGCTCGGCCTTTTCCAAGAAAACGGGCCATGCACCTTCAACAAGGCCCCCGGCGCAGATCCCATTCTGAACCCCAACTCATGGAACAATGTCGCCAACATGGTGAGTCTCCGTCCGTCCCGGTGTGTGATTGACACGGCCCCACAAGCTTAATACAACCGCGCTCGTCCTCTTGCCGTGCTGTCTCTGCACATCTCACATTGTCTTTTAATGCTATTACCCCATGTTCCATGCTGACGGCGGCATGCCCATCAAAGCTCTATGTGGATCAGCCAATCGGAGCCGGTTTCAGCTACGGCACGAGTGATACAGATAGCACCGTCAAGGCCGCGCCAAAAGTCTGGGCGTTGATGCAATCTTTCTACAGCAAATTTCCGGATTACAAGGGCCGTGAGTTCGGTTTGTTCACCGAGTCGTACGGCGGCCACTACGGCCCGGAGTTCATCGATCACTTCCAGGCTCAGAATGATGCTATCGACAAGGGCACCGTCAAGGGCGAGAAGATCAAGATTGTCGCTCTCGGTATCGGAAACGGTTGGATCGACCCAGGTATGCGAAATTTTCACGGCCTTGATTTAACTTGAGATGATGGATGCTGACAACGCGTGACAGTTGTCCAATACAAGGATTACCTGGAGTACGCGGTGAACAACACATACAACAAGATCATCGACCAGCCCAAGTTTGATGAGCTCACTAAGGCCTATGAGAAGGATTGCAAGCCTGCGATGGAGAAGTGCACTGGTCTTGAGGGACAGAACGAAGCTTGCGTGGCCGCTGAAAATGCGTGCTACGCAGCCGTTGAGGCACCCATCGAAGCGGCCAAGACTTTTAACGTTTATGATGTCAGAGCCGCGGACGACAAATTCCCTCCTGGAACTTATCAGGCATACATCAAAAAGCCTGAGGTCATGAAGGCGATCGGCGCCAAGTCCGAGTATCAAGAGTGCCCTCAAGCACCGTACGACAAGTTTACTTCGACTGGTGACGGTAAGTGTACTTGCCGCGACCTAAGTAGCTTTGAAGCTAATGAAAATGCTCCCAGGTCAGCGATCTTTCCTCACTAAGCTTCAAGATATCACAAAGAAGGACGTTCAAGTTCTGATCTGGTCTGGTGATGCTGGTGAGTCTTGTGCATGGCCTCGTGGCGTCTTCCGTGACATTGCTGACCATTGCTCTTAGACTTCATCTGCAACTACATTGGCAACTACAACGCAGCTAAGAAGATCGGTGGTGAGGAGTTTGAGAAGGCAGAGATGAAAGATTTCACCATGAACGGCAAGAAGATGGGAGAATACAAGAACATCAAGAATTTGAGTTGGCTAAGGGTTCATGAGGCGGGTCATGAAGTGCCTGCTTACCAACCAGAGGTTGCCCTGGAAGCCTTCAAACAGACTATGGCGAAGAAGGGTATTTCTTCGCCGTGAATCGTGATGATTTAGTCCCCTAATTAGCAACCTTGTAATAAACCTTCTCTCTTTTCACTCATAGGCCGCAGGATGGACATGTGTTTGCCCGAGGAGAATGTTTCATGGCTATTCTAACTCAACCCGACATTTCCAACACATTGAACAAATATTGAACAGTGTAAGTGTAGCCGGCATAATGTCCAGCATCGAGCGAAAAAGACTGTATCGGCTCAAAATTGCTGTTTTGGGACAATGACGCATCAAAGACGAAAAAACAACCCGCATGAGGGGCATTCTCCACAGATTTCCACGGAATCTCGGCATTTGAAAGGCAAACGCTAGATTCGTAAGCTAAGAATGAATTACTTGCTGTTTCGAGAAAGCAATCAAAGCTCCAATTGCTAAGTACTCATTTATACCTGGGTCACATTCGTTGCTTTACTAGGGCTAGCTTGACGACCACGGCAAGATGTCCTCATCTGAGCCCGAAAGCTCCATAAAAAGAGCGGCGATCCAGGGAGGACCAGGTCTGGCTTACACTCAGCTTTCTAAACGCTGACGAGTTAAGCAGAATTTTCTATTGAGATTTCGAGATACCTACCGGCTTGCAAGAAATGGCTTCTCGAAATGTTCGGGTCGCGCTGGTCCAGGCATCGTCAATCGACTTTGACCTCCAAGCCAGTGTCGACAAAGCCTGTCAACTTATTGCCGAAGCTGGTCAGACAGGGGCACAGCTGATTGCTTTTCCTGAAACCTTCATCCCAGGCTATCCCTTTTGGATTTGGTATGAGATACAAAGCCCTTCCTCGCCGGCATTGAAATCGTCTGACTGAGTTCGAAAGGTCTCGAGGGATTGATGTTGAAATGACCAAGCGATACATAAAGAGTTCTCTCAAGCGAGACTCGACAGAGATGGAACGAATCTGCGCCACTGCCGCAGAGAACAACATTGAAGTTCACCTCGGTTACTCAGAGAATGACGATGATTCTCTGTACATTACACAATCGCATATCAGTTCTGATGGAATGATCAGAATGAGCCGGCGTAAGATCAAGCCTACACACGTTGAGAGAACAATCTTCGGCGAAGGCAGTGGATCATCCTTGCTCAACGTTGCAGACGTTCCGGGGGTTGGCAAAGTCGGGGAACTTAACTGCTGGGAGCACACTCAACCTCTGTTAAAGTACCATACCTATGCCCAAGAGGAGCAAGTCCATGTCTCTGCTTGGCCAGCGATCATGCCGGGTAACAATGAAGAGACCTTATGGAACACAACGACAGAAGGTTAGTATCGCTGACATATATGGTAACATTGGCAGCCGATGAGGACGACCCGCTGTAGAAAAGATACTGATACTGGACTAGGACAACAAAGCATGTCTCGAATATACGCCGTTGAAGGCTCCTGTTTCGTGCTGCACTGCACTGGTGTCTTGACCCAAGACACGATTGAGAAGATGCAGACACATTCGGGACAGCTCTACAACAAGCAAGGCGGCGGGTGCTGCGCAATCTATGGACCTGATGGCAGAAAACTCTCGAATGACCTCCCGGAAGATGAGGAGGGTATTCTGTATGCCGACTTGGACATGGATCGGATCATCGAGGCAAAGATGTTTCTGGACGCGTGCGGGCACTATAGTCGTCCCGATCTCCTTTGGCTTGGATCTGATCACGAGGAGAAGGGAATCCTTCGCAATATCCAAGGTAACCCAAAAGCCAATGAACTGTGGATGCGTCATGTGGCATGAGTACTTTAGACAAGGGGCAAAAGTATCAAGCTCATACTATGTATGGCCCTCCGATCGCCAAGCAAGACACGAGACCGAAGAGGTTGAAGGAATTATAAAAGGTGTTAATGTAGTCCATTTAAAGATTAAACTTTTCCAAACTCTGGGTAACTCAGTCGTATAGGTTACAATCAGCTAGAGAGTTCACCGGAAAGTCGGCCAAGTCGCCCGCTTTATCCTACCAGGTTATTGGGACAATTCGGAGTATCTCCTTTTGTATCTCGAATGATCATTCGAGTGACTACTTAGTAAGGAAGCAGCTATTAGTAGAAGAGCACCGTGAGCTTAGACTGTTAGCATTTCAGGAGGAAAGATTATGGGCCTTTCTATCGTCATTGATCTCATAACTGAAACGATAGCATAAGCATCCTGAGTAAGTATCTGGAATGTACGGGTTAATACTACCCCTTTGATCTCAATTTGATGGAAAAGAGTTTGGCGCAAGTCGTGGGTGGTTTGCCCACGATCATGGCTGGCCTAGGTGACCTGGCGGCCATCAATGGACTTACGCGAAGTTCCCAACCATGGAAGACCGAAAGCTAGGGCACAGGTTTGCGTCCAGAGTTTACGCACTCTCCGCAAGGTGCCCGGTCAGAAGGTATAAAGAGTTGTCTTTTCTTTCTCCAATTCGCAAGAATTCATTCACCATCCATCCATCCTACATACCCACATCATTCTTCAGACTTCGTCAGCATCACACATTACACAATCCACCCATTCTACTCAGTAATTCCCTCTTCATCCACAGACATCGTTCAAAATGTGTGCTCGTCGCTGCAACAAGTCTGCCAAGAAGTCTTCCGCCGTCAGCGAGATGTCCAATCTCAAGACTGCAGCCAAGGCCAAGGCCGACAGTCAAGTCGAAGCCGCAGACCAAGCCAAGGTCGAAGCTCAAGCTCCAACAGACAGCTTCCACTACTTTGCCAGGTTCCCTTGCGAAATCCAAGTCATGATCTGGAAGGAGTTCTACCTCGAGCCTCGTCACTTCGACGCAGTCATCCACGACTACCGCCGCCCAATCAAGGGTAACGGCAACAGACTGGACAGAGAGGAGCGCGAAATCTCAAAGCTTCATCTCAAGGGCAAAGAGGAGTCGATCGGCAACTACAACGCCATCGACAATCAAATCAACTACCTGTCTCGCGAGATCGCACAATCTATCCGCCAGAAGGTCCGCATGCCTCGCTTGGAGGACACCGACCAGGGCTTGGGCTTCGACATCGAGGTTCACAACCGCCAGACCTCTCGGTTCACTGACGTGGTCTCCTTCAACTCAACCATTGACGTCCTCCACATGAAAGCTCCCTTGTATAGAATGAGCGTCTCATCTGAGCTATCAGCCTGGTGCAAAAATATTCAGCACGCTGTTGTCGAGTACAGTGGTTACGAAGACCCTCGTCGCACTATCGATGTTGCTTGCAAGGCTAAGAGCAAGAAGCGTAGCGGCAAATGGCGCGCCGTCTTCTCCGGTCTGAAGTCCCTGGAGACGCTGTACATCTAGCTCGTCACACATTGCAGCATGCAATGGACACATCAACTACGACAGCTAGCGGCACTGGACTCGTATCCCTTTCATAGCTTAGGCTCGTGTTCCTACTACACACTGGGCCCGTGTCCCAACTACACAGATCTGCTGTCATCGTGTCATTGGATGGATTGACATCGACACAGGCATGAATCGGGAGTGATTACATCGGAACGGGTCTTCTGGCGCTGCAACTCTGCAGAAGTTCATCGTTGAGAGATGGACTTGGATGAATCAAGCATGAGCTGGTTAAGTACTCAACAAAGGTACTCAATAGTTACTTGGGAAGGATGATTCTGAGCTAGAACGGGTGCATCGGCTCGTGGAACATCGATACCACATTACATATCCCCCAATAAGACTACGATGCTCATTGAGAGATTCTCTTCTTCCCGTGGGAAATACCCCTTCCAAACATGTGAAGTGAATGGAGAGGTTTATTGTCGGGTTCATTGATGCATTGATTTTACGAGTGATTTATCCCGGACACCAGCGTCAATTAAAGGGCCGTCATAATTCATGGTGCAATATTGTATCCTGTTGGAGCCAAGAAACTGGATAGCTATTACAATGTAACAGGCACGTTCCATACTCTCCTGCCCCTGGCATCTAGGGACTTTTCTTGAGCCTCGGCTCCGTTCACAACCACAGTCCTCTCTTCTCCTACGGGCAGCAGCACATCAACGCCCTTCTCGAGCCACAGAGGACTCCACTTCTCCTTTGAGCCTTCTGTAACATCAGCCTTAACCTCGACCGAGATTCGGTCATCAACTATCTCATATCGGATCGTGAACTTGAATTCGGCAGGCACCTCGCGGCTGATACCATCATCCTCGTACCAGCTACTCTCGAAAACCACACCCTTCACATCCTCACCACCCAACTCCGTCTCAGAGCCCTGGGCAGCAGCTCCGCGCAGCGAAGGCGGAGGGAATATTTCCACGCCACGCCAGTCATCCTTGGCTTGGTTCGGGAACTCGGGATCCACCTCCTTGACCGAGGAGGTGTCGAGCGGCTTACCCACGGGAACAGCCGAGCCGATCTTTGCGATGACGGGAATGCAGTTGTACCAAGGTGAGAGCACGGTGTGCCACTTACCAGCCTCAAAGTGCTCATACGGCGCATTCGTGTTGAGGAAGCCAAAGTCGCTGCCGTCACCCTTCTTCGGGAGGTACACCCTCGCGGTATCGACACCAGGTTCGTAAACACCGCTGATAATGAATGCGTCGCCAAACCAGAACTGCGTGTCGCCGTCCTTGATCGCCTTGGTCCAGACCTCCGGGTCAGCTTCGTAGCCCCAACCGGTCCAGCGCTGCGGCGGGACGGCGGTGTGGTGGGCCCGAAGGTTCTGTGAGTAGGTGTAGGGGACGAGCTCGTAGCGGCGCTTGATGGTGGCGCGGATGATGGGCGTTGCGGTGGGGTACATCCATGGCTCGATGACGCCGCCGATGAGGTTGTCTGCCTCGCTGGTCTTGAAGCAGTTGATGGCGAAGCGCGGAGAATGGACGCCGAGCTGGATCCAGCGAACGAGATGCTCTGGGGTAGGTTGGGGGCCTTCGAAGCCACCGATATCATGACCGTAGCACTGGGACTGTTAGTCTGATCCTGAGAAGAAGAGGATTTCGGAAACACTTACGTGAAGAAGGGAGAAGCTGGCGTTGAGGGCCAACGAGTTTCCGCCTCTCATAGACTCCCATGCGGTCACGTTATCACCACTCCATGAAGCACCGCAGTACTTCATGGTTCCGGCTGTGGCACTACGCGTGAGAACAAAAGGTCGCTCCTCGGGCTTACTCTCAATCGTGGCATCATGAGAAGCCTTGCCCATGAGCTCGGTGTGGATGGCGCGACCCCAGATGCCGACATCCTTGCGGCTGAGGCCCTCGGGAATCGGAATTATGTCCGTCTTCTCAAGGGCGCACTGCCACTCGTCGTCGGGCACAGTGTACTCATTGTTGTCGTTCCACATGACATCGATACCGACCTTCTTCAGTCCAACGACACCATCATACCACCACTGGTATCCAGCGTTACTGGTGAAGTCCAGGTGACTTCCCTCTCCGCTCTCACCTCCACCAGCACTCCAAAGTCTCGTCACCGCAGTCTTTCCAGTAGCGGGATCCTTGAAGAAGGCACCGTTTTCGGACAACTTCTTGTACGCCGGGTGGGTGGCAAGCACATACGGCTTAACATTGGCCAACAGGCGAAGACCGTGTGAATGCGCCTCGCGAGTAAAGGCACGCGGGTCAGGGAAGCGGTGGCAGTTCCACGTAAAGACGTTGCGCGTCTTGGGCTCCTGCTCAGCGACGGTGTACCCAGAGCTCATCTGGAACGCAGAGAATGGGATATCGTGCTTCTCGCAGTTCTTGATCCATCCCATGATGGCGTCGTGGGCCCGCGGGGTGTCCATGGCACTGTACTTCATGCCACCGCCAATGTAACCCATCATGTACCGTGGCACACGCAGAGGGAAGCCGACGAGCTCGGCATACGAGTGCACGACTTCGGCGACGGTCTTGCCGACGATGATGTACTCCTCGAGACCGCCGTGAGACTGGCGATGGACCTTATAGGCACCCCACATGCCGTCGAGCTCGGATCCGATGGACCACGTTGAGCGGGAGTGGGCGGTGGAGAAGATACCGACGGCGCCCTCCGGTGTGATGTTAATGAGGAGCGGGATGTGCTTGTACAACGGATCTGTGCGGTAGGCGTCATATCCGAAGGTGTCGCTTGCGGAGATGATGAAGCCGCGGCCCGCAAGGTCCATTGGCGCCGCCTTCTCTCCGAGTCCGACGTGAAGCGTGTGCTTCTTGTAGGAAGAGTAATGGGCGATGCCGGGTCCGTCCGCGGCATAGGAGCGGAAGGGGAGATCGGCGTGGATGGGCTTGCCGGAGTCATCTTGGCCGAGGTAGAGTGAGACGATGGGGGTGTTTGACCATTCTACGACAGCCTTGACATCGGAGGTGGTGAATGATTGTGACTTTTCTGAAGTCTTGATCTGGATGTCTTTTGGGACCAGGTCTGCGCTTGGCTTCTGTGCGCTGGGGAAGGGAGGGATAGGACGGGTCTCGGAGGTGACGGTTGTGCGGAAGACGTTTGACCTCACGATCTCGAACGTGAAGGTGAAGTCCTCAGGGTGGCCTTCTGAGGACTTGAGTTGTATTGAGGATGCTGCAGCAGCGCTCTTGAGCTCTTGGGGTGCATACCCAGTAGGGATCTTTTCGTTTTGGAGGAGCATCTTGAATGTTCTGAACACCGGCGTGAAGTTCTCACACGACTTTGAGTTGATGAATTGGCCTGGGTTGGGTTCCGGATGCCCTTCTTGGTAAAATGAGGGGAAATGAGGGTAGTTCTGTGGTGCTGCTTGTGTAGAAAATGAGGGAAGGGACTTTTCTCTCTGGACTAGCAGTGCAGATGAACGGATTCTTAAAGT